ATCACATTCTCACTTATTCTTTTTTGGCATTGACCAAATAGAGGTACTATTCCAAAGGAGGCCCCGGAAGAGGGATGGAAGAAGACCAAATCAAGATCCAAGACTCATGTTCATAGGTTTTTTTTTTTTTTTGTACAGAAACTCTTCCTTTATAGTTGAAATATTCAAGTCTTTGCCATAAGAAAAATAAAGTATCCAAGTCTTTCTTTTGACTTATTCTTTGTAGTGAAATATATAATAGACTTGTCGTTTACTAGAATTAATTACAAGGTTTGGGTTAGAAATTCAATTTTATAGTGTGATTCATGGATCTTTAACTTGCTGTAACCCATAATGTACTGAATTTTGCAAAAAAATTCAGAGTGACCCTACCTTTTCTAGGATATTAAAAAGAATGTGGCAAATATTCTTTTTTGGGGATAATTTTGGCAATTCCATCTTCCATGAACTAGCAAAAGTCCAAAATGAGATTCACATGGCCAGTGGCCCCATTGATTTTGATATGTCTGCAATTGATTCATGGTTCATGTTTCTTAGGGATGCTTTGAGTAGTTGGAAAAAGAAACATGAACAATATTTTATAGGAATTAGCTAGGACAGGAAAAATAAAGTGTTTTCTTATAATTAATCAATGGCCAAAATGAAAAAAGAGATTAGGAACAAATCAAAGCAGCATCACAAGTGTTTTAGAGCCAGTATCTGGCATTGAAGCTGAAAAAATGAGAAAAATTTATAAAGAAAAAGTTTTTTCATTTTTTTTTCTCTCACGTCGTTACAGCTTTGAACATTCCCTGGAAAAACAATCTTTCATCTCATCAGCAAAGTCTTGAGGATGCATAGTTAGTCTTGGTCCTGACATCTTCATTAAAATCTGCAACACATTTCATTTTCCTAATGTATTATTCTTGAAGGCAGCTCACAAATTCTTCCCTGGAAGACCAGAAATTTCCCTGGAGCAGCTTCCATTGCAGTTTCAAATATGGAACACCTACACTGCAAGTCTAGGGCTATAGTCTTCTTCTTGGTTTCCTTGATAATTTCCAATTTGCAGTCTCAAGACCCTTAATTTTAGTTTCTTTAACTTTCAGCTCAAGTAAATTTGGGGAGACCAGGCCAAATGAACCACATAATTTTGTACCCAAATCAAGAAGAAAAGAACTGGTGATGGACATGATAAGAAAAGACAAAGAAAAAGGAAGCATCAGAGAAGGGCAAAGACAAGTTAGAGAAAATTTTGGAGCCAGTGATTGTGAACGTGAAAAACTCCACCAAATATCTTAACATGTTTACAATATGGTAAAAATTTGCTGGAACTTTTCAGATTCATATTCAATGTCTTCAAAGTTTTCTCAACTTGCCTTGCACTTTTCTGATACTTTCCTTTTCTTCATTCCTCTCTTATGTAGTTTCTTCCATCATCTTTTCCTTCTTAAAATTCCCATTCCAGGTTCTTCCCTGTCTCTTCCATTAATTTCTCTTCTTCTTTAGAATGCAGAATTATGCACTTCACTTGGTTCTGACACAACTACTTCATTAGACTTTCTTTATTTTTTGTCTGGTTTTTTTTAAGGGTATTTCGGGTTTATAATGGTTTAATTAGGGAGAGGAAAACAATGTTGCACACGGCTTTTACACGATTAAGGAAAGTAAAAGGATGGTATAGAAGCTGAAATCTTGGGACATGATTGTGTTAAGCATCTGATCAAAGTCGGAAGAAACCTCGTTTTTTCTTTAAACTATCTTTTGATTTGTTGGCTGAGATTTGTCTTCTTTTTCCCCCTATTTTAGTTATTGTTTCTAACAAAGAAATTACAGGAAGCAGATCATGTTAGCATCGAATCACCAGGATCCAAGAAAATGGGAACGACAAGTACATCAAGACAACTCGAAAGCATTTGCCCTTTGTGCTGGTAACCGGTTAGTTATGTACTTAGGCACAACATAAATGAGTTGCAGGCGAGTATGCTGGCCAAAAACTTTACATAAATTCCTTTAGTATTTTGCATTTTGTCTTTCAAAATTTGTATATATTGACGTTTTAGGGTTGTGCAGATTCCTAAAGGACCGAAACTAAGTTTTTACATTTTCATCCTTCTGTGTTTTGTGTGTGAAATGGACATATATAGATATGATAATGCATGAGATGAATTTCATATCAACTAGACAAAATGAAATATGAAAAGAAGGCATTTTGACAGTGGGTCATATTGCCTAGAAGGCTACACGTCTTGGTCATATAATACTAGTATTTTTTTATTTATTAGTCTTACAATACATCTTGCTGATTAAGCTGTCAAAAATTTGACGTGTACTTGAGGCTGAAAATGGGTTTCTGACTCAAGCCACGATCCTAAAGTGAACTTATGTAATTTTACCAAGGATGATATATAGTTGAAATTTTTTTAAACTACTTGAGGATCAAGAATGACAAAAAAGCCAATTTCTCTAATAGCCCTTCACTTTCACTAGGCATCAGACTCAAACATTTTGAAGCAAACTAGTTTGGATTAAGATGGGCAGATCCCAGAAGTCTAATTAAGTCTAACATCATTTAATTAAAATATATTCTGAGAGGAAGGATGACTAAACAGCACAGGTGCATGTTGTTGCCAAAATTGCAATGGTTTTGAATTTTTATTTAATTTGACATCTTTATATATGGATAATCTAATGTTGATTCAAACATGAGTAATCATGGTTATAACTTAGTTCTTTTAATTTCAAAAACTTAAGGTTAAATTTATTATTTTTGCATATCACACATTAATTATAACAAAAACCAACATATAGTGAGTTTCTGTAGTCATAAGTTTGTTTCTTCAAAATCTGAGCCAATATGTTTGTTGTTGAGTCCAAATTTGGCCAATCTTTGACATATCTAACATACAAAAGAAGTACTGATCAGAAAATTGTCTGATAAATATGTGTTTAACCAAATAAGAGATAGCAGTCACATTCTTGCCTGGTTTTGCTGTTGATTGCTTAGACTGATTCAGTTCAGGATAATTGCAGCAGAGAGCTGACTGATAAATTAAATCAACAGGAATCATAGCACTACTGTTCTTGTTTATAGGGAAAAACATATATAAGATGTTTATCAAAGAAAATATCATATCAATTAATACAAATATAAATCATAATTACCCAAAGCTGTATATTCTACCAGCTATATTAATCCTATTTTATAGCATATAATATAGAATACGTCATGGACATCTGAAATTTGATTAATTATGTAGCTGCATGCATAAGAGAAATTTCTCAAGCCCTTCATTGAAAGGTATCCAAATTGGTCAAATATTATATAGATTTAGCCCTCTATTTGTTATTACAATTATAGTTGTTGCATGAAAAATAAGAAGAAATTTTGATGTTGAATTGCATACCTGTGTTTATCATAAGACAGGTGATATATGAGGTTGTAGGAGAAGAAAATGGAAGAAATAAGTGAGGAACAAAAATTCAATCAGATTAGAAGGGAAAATCAAAGTTAGAGAAAAATTTGAAGCCATTGGATAGAGTAACATGTTTACATGCTAAATACTTGCTGGAGCTTTTCACAGTCATTTTCAATGGCTTCTAATTTTCCCTTTAGCTCTTGCTTTTGCCCTTTCTGATGCATTCTTGTCCCGCACTTATTTCTTCTATTTGTTTCTCTGATCAATAATATTGTGCTTCCCTTCTCTTCCTCATCCCTCTCATCTACGAAACATGGTCAGAATTACTGTGAATACCCATGTTGAAGCAACAATAACAATGATAAAAGTTTCTTGAATGCATGCTTAGCTCCGGACGTCCTTTAATTTATAGAGGAAAATGAACTGTGCCATACGCGGTACAAGAGCCCATTTGCAAATAAAATTTGAAAAAACAAATTTTTAATTCCGTTCCTCCGAGGAAAATTGCATGGAAAATGACAGTGACAGAAACCAACCCGAAAAACTATAGCAGGTATAGCTTGCAATATGTCAATCACTACCGGTTTGTTCTTTTCCATGGAGATGGAGTTCAATTTCATGATAATTACAACTGGACTCGGATGATGTGTCCAAGATGTGTCTTACATGGGTATGCTCCAATTTTTTTTAAATTTTTTTCATATATTTAGAGGGTCACACTTCCATGCTTATGTATGTGTCGAACACAGCTGCTTGGGGAAAAATAAAGAGCCACAGCAGCATAGAAGTCTTGCTATGCCTAACACCGTGCCTTGAATTTTCCCAAACATTTCTGGCAGAATGGCAAGCTGGCTTGAGGGAAGAGGAATATGGCCTTGATTAAGCACTAAGGAAACCAAGCATAGCAGTTCACCTTGTTAACCACGTTGTACTTATCCTCCCTGTTTGTTTCCGGGAAAACCCTCCTCCATCTCCAACCTTTCTCCACCTTGACTTCTTGTTATTGGATGGAAACTCGACTTCTTGATTCTCTTTCCATTTTCCTTGCCCTTTAATTTCCTTCTCTTCACCTCTCTTTTCCTAGTCAATTTCCTTCTTATTTATGTTACAAAAAGAATTAATCAGATTGACTCATTTGAAAGAAGGAAGAAATTTCCGAAGAAAGAAAAGAAGCTTCTCTCTTTTATTTTGTTTTTTTGTTATTTTAGTTACATGCATGGGACAAAAACAAAGCAGCTTCACAGAAGAAAACAGGTTTGAGAATATGAAAACCATCCACCATGCCAATGACATATATCAACCTCTCAATCTCATTACAGTTTGCCATTTGTCCCATGCTCTCAAGCTGTCCTAATTGGGATTGAGAATTTTTGTTCAATAAATAAAATTTTTGTAATTATCATAATTAAAACTTCCAACACCTTAACATGCCAATGGCAAAGTATTGGAAAATATTCTACTCTACACCAATGGACCCAAAACCATGAAAGCAAGAAAGACAATATGGCCCCACACAAATGGCCCAAAGTTCAAAGCTAATCCATTCATTCAAAAACCCAACCCAATATTAACTTAAAAGTGGTCCAAAATGTCCTTACAATGTGGTCTAAATCTGCCCTAAAAGAGAATTTTATGGGTCATGATTCATAACTCAGGCCCAAGGTTTAAAAGTCAATAATAAGACAACAAGAAGACAGAGCTCAGAACTCAGAACAGAAGTGCACACACAAGAACACAAGTCAACAAGAGTTACAGTTTCAGTCATGTCTCCGAGCCTGAGTTCTACCTCATCCAAAACACTCTGTCGCTTGCACCATAAATTCTCAAAATTCAGACCTTTTTCTCTTCTGCGTTCCTTTAATTTTTCCACTACAAGCTCAAAACTAGATGATACAAAGACAGCAGTCAAAATCCACTCACAATTCTCTGGTAACTCTTCTCAACATTTTTTTATGCTAGAAGTTTTGAAATTTTTGTATGAATATGTGTTTCTTATTGTAACGTTATTGAATTTTTGTGTGTGTAGAATTGGAGAAAAGCATATACACAATTTTAACTATAGACCGTTGGGAGTCATTGAACCACATGGATTACAAGTTAGCTACTTTGAGGCAAGTTCATGGAAGACTAGCTTTGAAATTTCTCAACTTTGTTATCAAGCAACCTGGTTTAGAACTCAGTCATCTTACTCATATATTTTCAATAACGACCCATGTGCTTGTTAGAGCTAGAATGTATGACTATGCTAAATCAATGTTGAGGCAGTTATGTAAAATGGGTGTTGGCTCAAGGTCTGTTTTTGATGCTTTGATGGATACTTACCCTCTTTGCAATTCAAACCCTTCAGTTTTCGATCTATTAATCAGGGTTTATTTGAAAAATGGAATGATTGATGATGCTTTGGAGACTTTTAATTTGATATGTTTTCGAGGATTTAAGCCGTCAGTTTATACTTGTAATATGATGTTAGGTTCAATGGTGAAAGACAGGAGAGTTGGGTCGGTTTGGTCATTTTTCAAGGAATTGCTTGGTTGGAGGATTTGTCCTAATATTGCTACTTTTAATATATTGATCAATGTTTTGTGTGTCGAAGGTAAGTTCAAGAAAGCTGGTTATTTATTGAGAAAGATGGAAGACAGTGGCTACGTTCCAACTATAGTTACTTACAATACGTTGCTTAATTGGTTTTGCAAGAAGGGGAGATATAAATTAGCCTTTGAGCTGATTGATCATATGGGGTCCAAGGGTATTGAAGCAGATGTATGTACATATAATATGCTTATTGACAATTTGTGTAGAAATGACAGAAGTGCAAAAGCTTACTTACTGTTAAACAAGATGAGAAAGAGAAGGATATCTCCCAATGAAGTTACCTATAACACCCTTATTAACGGTTTTGTTAAGGAGGGAAAGATTGGAATTGCTACTCGGATTTTTGATGAGATGCTCAATTTTAATCTTTCAGCGAATCTAGCTACTTATAATGCTTTGATTGAAGGGCATTCTCACGAGGGTAAGTTCGAAGAAGCTTTAAGACTTATGGATATGATGGAACAAGTGGAATTACGGCCTAATAAAGTCAGTTATGGAGCGTTTTTAAAAGGGTTGTGCAAGCATGCCAAATTTGACTTAGCAAGAAGTGTTTTTGAGAGAATGAGGACAAATGGGATTAGTTTTGGTTGTGTGACATACACTGAGATGATCGATGGACTATGCAAAAATGGGTTTCTCAATGAAGCAATACAGATGCTTCATAAGATGTTTGAGGAAGGCGTGTCTCCTGATATTATCACATTTTCTGTGCTTATAAATGGATTTTACAAGGCTGGCAAGGTAAAAAATGCAAAGGAAGTTATATGTAAAATGTATAGAGCTGGATTTAGACCTAACAATGTTATTTACTCCACATTAATCTACAATTTTTGTAAGATGGGATGCACCACAGAAGCGTTGAAAATCTACAGAATTATGAATTGCAGTGGCCATGCTGCTGACCATTTTACTTGTAACATGTTGGTTGCTTCTCTTTGTAGAGATGGGAAAGTAAGAGAGGCTGAGGATTTCATGCTTCACATGAGTAGGATTGGTCCTAAGCCTAACTCCATTACATTTGATTGTGTTATAAGTGGCTATGGAAATTTGGGTGATGGGCTGAAAGCATTTTCTTTGTTTGATGAGATGGTTCAATTAGGTAATAATCCCAGTTTTTTCACGTATGGCAGCCTACTTAAAGGACTATGCAAGGGTGGAAATCTGGTAGAAGCAAAGACATTTTTGAAAAATCTGCACTCTATTCCTTTTGCTGTAGATAATGTTGTCTATAACACTATACTTGCCGAGACTTGCAAATCGGGGAATATGTGGGAATCAGTGGTCCTTTTTAATGAGATGGTTCTGTTTGGTATTCTTCCTGATAGCTACACATATACCAGCCTTCTCAGTGGGTTATGTAGAAAGGGAAAAATTGCTGCTGCCCTTCTATTTTTTGGGAAGCTGACGGAGAAAGGAGTTTTTTCTCCTAATCAGGTTACATACACCTGTTTGGTTGGTGGTCTTTTCAAGGCCGGCCAATCAAGGGCTGGTTTTTACTTTTATGAAGAGATGGAGCAGAAAGTCCCATATATTGATGTTCTTGCTTTTAATGCTGCCATAGATGGAACCTCAAGAATGGGAAAAATGGGGAAGGTAAATAATCTGTTTTCCTTGATGAGAAGCAAAAGTTTATTCCCCAATTTGCCTACATATAATATTCTGTTGCATGGATATTCTAAGCAAAAGGACATACAAACTTGCTCTGTTCTTCTTAAATTCATGATTAGTAGTGGCCTTTTGCCTGATAGATTAACATCCCATAGTCTCATTCTTGGGCTTTGTAAGTCAGGCATGTTGGATGTTGGTATTAAGATCTTGAAAAAGATGATATCTGAAGGCGTTGAAGTTGATCGATTTACATTTAACATGCTTATTGCCAAGTGCTGTGAAAGTGGTGAGATGGGAAAGGCCTTCAATCTTTTTAATGTTATGAACTTTTTGGGAATATTTCCTGATGTACAGACCCACAATGCCATCATTAATGGGCTCAACAGAAATCTTGCTTTCCTAGAATCTCATATTATTTTGCATGAAATGGCTAAGAAAGGCTTCCTTCCCAAGGGTAAACAGTATATTACATTGATTAATGCTATGTGTAGAGTTGGGAATATGCAAGCTGCATTTAAAGTGAAGGATGAAATGGCATCACTTGGTGTCACTTCACGTGATGTTGCTGAGAGTGCTATGGTACGAGGACTCGCCCTATGCGGGAAGGTTGAAGAGGCAATATTGGTTCTTGATAGCATGCTCCAGATGCGACTTGTTCCAACTGTTGCTACATTTACAACACTCATGCACATGTACTGCAAAGAAAGTAAAGTTGCTGAGGCTCTGAAGTTAAGGAATAAAATGGAACTTTCTGGTCTCAAGCTTGATGTTGTTGGTTACAATGTCATCATTTCAGGCCTTTGTGCTGATGGGGACATAGCTGCTGCTTTTGAACTATATCAAGAGATGAAACAAAATTGTCTGTGGCCTAATGTCGCTACTTATACTGTTTTAGTTGATGCCCTACTCACTGAGGGGAGTAACCCTTCTACTTGTGATGTGCTTTTAAAGGACTTAAAGGGGAGGGGAATCATATCTTGTTATTGGGATGGAAGTACTGAACAGTTTCAAGAGGCATTGATGATTGCAAGGAAAATGTTGAAGTACTTGCAGCAGAATAAGAGGAAATGGTATTGAAAACAATTAGGAACGTGGTGCAATGTGGTTGGTTCCTCAAAACATAGACCAATTTTCTGCAGATCTGCTTACTGATGAGTTTCGGATGGAACTCTTACTACACAACCTGTCATAACACTCTGATTTGGTTTGTGTCAAGTCTTCTATCTTTTGGTTCCTTTATGGACTATTTTTCCATTACATTCAATTTATTCTTGTTCTGCTTTCCCAGGTCAAATTCATTTTCCCCCTTTTTTGGATATTATGGAACCACAGAGCACGGTTTTCAGAGGTAGACAGTGATTTACTTCTACGTGTCAAAATAGGCGTGCAACTGACGGTCATACATTATATAGAAGACTGACAATTCTAAGTCATTGATAGTATTGCCAACATGAGTTGCTTTGTTTACTATGTGTACGTCTCTTCTCCTCACTATCTATCTCTTCCTCTCTCCCCTTTTCATTTGCATGAGTCATCTGGCGTTTCTTCTTTCAGTTATTTTGATGACATATTGTTATCTAACCTCTGTGGTTCTGGCCATTAGTCTAAGTAAATTTATAAGTGATTGATATGACTTTATATGAAAAGAATGGCTTTTCAAAGCTAACATCAGACCTTTAGCTTCCTCTGAATTTTCCTTTCACTTACACCTCACTTGTTAATGGATGTGATACTTGTCTCATTTGTCTGATAATTGTATGCCAGATTATTTCATTTATTGCATCTTATAATACCATGGAAATTTGGTTTTTTATTAACTCCAGACTTGGCCTTGGATGATCACATTGCTGCTTTGATTATTCTGGCTGGGTGAAGGATACCGGGTGCAACTGCAGTAAAAGAGGCAAGGAACAAATTCTCAGCAGCTGGTAGCCATTTGCTTAGAAGTGTCTCGAGCTGTACAGACATGAATTAAAGCAAAAGTTTCGTTTTTGGATTGTTCTGCCATCTATTTTCTGGAGATGCACCCCTTGTTTAGTGTCTTATTCATTCAGTTCTTACCAATAAAATAGATTATATTGGTTTAGGTTTCGTTCCCTTTCATCAATAGCATTGGGAACAAATTTAGAAGACAGAACCATGTCATTGCTGTATGCTTGGAAAAGGTTAACTTCACAGCTCGTCACGAGCTGCATACTCTTTGGGAAGATCATGAATTTCAAGCGAGTGCCACACTAATCGAGGTGGTGTACTAGAACTTCATCTAAATGCTTCTTACCTTGTGATTCTTTCTTCATCAATATAATGCCATGTCATGTTTTTTGGGAGAACAAGGATTCCTTATGGCTACCAGCCGATAAAGATGGCGGAAAAAAAAAAACAGCTCTTTGATGAGTGATGAAGCTGCTCGTTTAGCGAGCCTAATGCGTCGTGCTTGATTATGGAGGCAAAGTGAGTACTGTCTGAAAGTTTTGTTGTAGGGTACCCTATTCTTTAGATTTCCCATGTTACAAAATGTTGTGTACTGCTCTTTGCATAGCAGACAGAATCTAGCAACATTAACTAGGAATGTGCTCTCTGTAATTGACTTTGTAATAGTTTATGTTTGCTGTAACACTTGTTGTTTTCTTGAGCCATCCCTCATTTCTTCAATTTTTTTTTTTAAATGGTATTGCTGACACCAACTAGGTTTAAGCCTGGAAATTCATGATCATGAACATATTGGTAAGTAAATGCCATTGAATCTGAATGCCATAAACCAGCTGAAGAAAAACAGGAATATAGTGCAAAATCACAAGCACAAAGATTGTAAGAAGAAAAGAAACCTTAGATTAAAACAAGTTGATCTGTGATTTGAACAAGTTTTTATGTTTTTTGATTGGTTGCCAACAATTTCTCATGTTGTCTTTTCTTAGCCCTTTTTTCGTGCCTTTTGTTTTGGCTTTTTATCTACTTCTTCTGTATCTTCTCTTAGAATACCTCAGACCCCAAAAAAATAATGATAATAATAATAATAATAATAATAATAATCTCATTGTTACCTTTTTTTAATCAAAATTAGTAATTTATTTAAAAAAAGAAGGGCAATTAATTAAATTAAATTAATCCTCAAAACTCCCAAATTTCTAAACAGTGCCAGCAATTCATTTGTCCTCTTTGCCTCAATATCAACCAACATCTGTCATAACGCCGTTTGCCAGCCCATCTCACCGTTTCCTTTCTTGAGTCTATCAATTAGGGTTTCATTGATTAAAGTTAATATGACAAGAAAAAAATTTAAATTTTTTTATAAAAATTATTGTTTGAAATTTTAATTTTTAAATTTTAATTTAATTTAAGATAAAAATTATATTATTTAAATTTATTCGAATAACTTATTATCATAATAAAAAAGTTTGATTTTTATATTTAATTTTAAATTCAATTAAATGTATTTAAACTCAAATTTAAATTAACAAATATATATATAAATAAAATAATAATTTTTAATTAATATAATTAAAATATATTAAAATATAAAAATTTAACTAAAGTCGTAAGTTAATAATTATTGAATGTATTTAATAAATCAAATTATTCACATTTAAACTTAATTTCACAATAATTAAATTAAATTTAAATTTTATTTAAATTAAACACAAATAATTTATAAGTATATCATTTATATTTCTACCCATTGTTCGCTTCCCGTAAACCTCAAAACCAACGCCGTTTATCTGAAATCCTAATTTTGTTTTTTTTTTTTTATTCTCTTTTCTGTTCATATTTTTCCTCCCAAAAATTTCGCTTCTTTTTTATCATTCTCTCTCTAAAAAGCTCTAGTTTTCTCTCTCTAATATCCTCTATCAATCTCTTTCTTCATAAGAAAAGTTTCTCTATCGAGAGAGAATTCATGTCGGTATGTAATCTTTTTTGGGTTTTTTTTGTATTTTTTTCCGTTTAAATTTGTTAAAATAAGTTTTAATTTTTGTTGTCTGATTTGATTTCTTTTGTTTTTGATGGATTTGAGCTTTGGATTGTTTTTATTCATATCTTTTGGGTTTTTTATTCTGGGATTTTATTTTATTTTCCTTTAAAAAAAATCAAGCTTGGCTTTGCTGCTAATCGAAGGTTGTTTTTTTTTTTTTAAGTTTGGGCAAGTTTTGTTTTTTATGTTTAGAATTTTACCCTTTTTATCATTTTTGCTGTTTTATTTGATGAGCTTTGCTGGAAGCTGGATTTGAGCCTTCTTTGTTTGTTTAATTGATGAATTGTATACCATTTGAGCGATTTACTTGTGTATATTAGAACTGGTTTATGATTTATGGTAGAAATTTTGTTTTTTTTAAAGGTAATTTTAAGTTAGATTTGTATTGAATGAAAATGGTATGCAATAGAAAATGAGTGAAAAGCTTGGACCTGTTTTTAGAATCATATCCTCTTGTTTTCCTGTTACCTTCTTTTTTAAAGTTCAAGAACCATCAATGTAAGCAATTTATTAGAGTAATTGTTTTTCTGTCAGATTTTCCATTGCTTATTGAATGTTGATGGATTGTTTATTGTGAGCTTGGATGTTGGATCTGTATGCTTAATTGGAGAACTCTTAGGATGTGCAATTGAATAGGATGTAGCTATTAGCTACTTGGTTAAACTTGGACATGCTTTAATTTTGTCAGGTTATTTTGATATTTTGTCTATCTGCCTACTTTGGTTATAAGGATCTTAATGGAAGCATTTTACATTTTTTTTTTGTGCAACAGGACAAGGGTCGGCCATTGCCAAAATTTGGTGAATGGGATGTCAATGATCCTGCATCAGCTGAGGGATTTACTGTGATCTTTAACAAGGCAAGGAACGAGAAGAAAACAGGTGGCAAACCCGAGTCACCAGAAAAGGCTGATCCTCATGTTAAGTCTGGAGTAGATCCTGGCAAACCTCAGCCTGTAAGTAACCTCTAATGACTTGCCTTGTTCTTGACATCCGGATGCTTATACTAGGCATTGGTGATATAATCTATTCTTGCCTGATGGTAAATGACAGTTTGCTTGAACGAGGCACCATTTCCATCTTCTTATGATTGTTATAAACTGTAGCTATGTTAGATTTCTATCCTGATGTGTCGCTGTTTTTCAGAGAAAATGGCTTTGCTGCATTCAAGCCCCTCCCGCAGAATCTTGATGAAGTCCTGCCTGTATAAGAGCTTCGACAAGTATGTTCAAGCCCCATCATATACTCGTAAACAAGATGGGATTTATAGGGCTGTGATAAGCCCTTCTGGAATTTGTCTTTTTGTGTGTAAAATTTAATTCTGGTGAGAGGAAAGAGCAAAGAAGGACAAACGCTTACTGCATCAATATGTACTGATTTGGTGGGTTATTATTAGAAGTTGAGTTATTTCTTCTTGTCTTTGCCTTTTCTGTGTTATAAGCTGTAGAGCTTTTGTGTGACATATTCTTTCATGTTATACAAGTGATTGGCCTGTTTGTCAAAAGGTTCTCTTTCTTTTTCTCTTCTTATGTCACTTTTTTCTTCTTTTTTTTCATTGGAAACAACAGTGGAACTCTGTTTTGCATCATGGGATGCCGTCCTTAAGAATATTTCAGTGGCAGTAAATAACTTGCAGGCAGCTGAACATGTTATATGGTCATGAAAATCCCACCATTATAGGCTTCTAATATTGCTGTTGGTAGATGAACCATTTTGAGTAGTTCGAAAATAAACATTTCCCCTTTGCATGAATGACAATTCCAGCCAAGAAGAATGTTTGCAGATTATGGCTGATGAACATCACTCATCCATGAAAACCACAAACAATTTAAGACAAATCATCCTTTATATCACTCAACCATGGAAAATCTGAAGGCTCAACCATAACAAAAAACGTTACCGAAATCTTGGATTTATACATTTATATCCAGTGCCTGAAATGACAATAGTCTGCATGATCCTATAGCTAATAAAACATTGCATCACAGTGCTAAAAACTAAACCCGGGACATTCCAAGCTTCCGTTCAAAAAGGCGCCAGAGCAGGTAAACTTGCAGAACACTGGCTCCAATTAGTGCTGCAGATTCATAAAAGGCCTTGTGAACTGCTCTTTTACTCATAGCTTCGTTCACTGCATTTCCAGTCAAGAGAGAAAAGTAATCAACCAAAAAGGATTCATGAAAAAGAGATTTATGCAATGCTTACATTACAGGTTTTTTTCTTTATGTAATATAGATATTAGCAGCATCTCAAAAAGACACAATTACTTCTTATTCTTGCTCCATTTATCAGCAAAAAAAAAAAACAAAGAGCTTAGATTAGTTCTGCAATAAAAAACCATGCGTAAATCTGCATATAATGAAACAAACTCTCCAACTCTAAGTGAGCAAAATATTGTGAATTTTTTTTCCTAGTATAAAACCTAAAAGCACTAATAAAAAAATGTAGCAACCAAAATCATATAGTTCTAATACTTAAAGTGATGCTTTATTGTAATTCACAATAGAATCTAGCAACTTTCTCGAATTGCTTTAAGGTAAAGGTTTCTCGGTACCTATGAATTTGAAGGTGATAGGAGCAGATAAGTTCAAAAGGCATCAATTACAGAACATCAGCCAGAACTGTCTTAATTAAAATAAAATTGAAAAAAAAAAAAAAGGTCAGGTGAATATACCTATTGCCTGTCGTTCTGTCTGAGCTTCTAACCAGTGCTGTTCGAACTGAATGTTATAAAGAGCTTCCTCTAACTTAGATATTTGTTCTAAAAAAGGGTTGAAATGCTCTGCAGAAAAGCATGAGAACCGCAGTAAGTTCACTTTAGAAAAGGTTTAGCAGGGGAAAAGAACGATAAAAGCAAATAAAACATGTGTTACCATCTTTTGCATGCTGATCATAGTATGTAAAGTAACTTTCATGTACATCAAAGTCAACCGTTTCATAATAATGAGATTTATTGCTGAAACAGAAACGATGGACTCCTTTTTGATGAGCAACAAACTCAAATTTCTCACTTATCTTATCCCGATAATCTTGAATCTGATCACCCGAAGGTCCCTTCACCTGACAATTGCAACAAGTAGCAAGCTCAATAAGACTATGACTCTTTGAGTTCCCCAACGATTTTGCGAGTAGGAAACTCAAAGAAAAACGACCAAAATTTTATTTTGATCTCATCATTTGAATTAAAAACACTGCAAGTATAATTCAAATGACACCATTTTCAGCATGCAAATAATTCAGATTGAAACAAAATATTACCACCTACAGCACCATGAAATTATGGAGAATGAAAAGCAACAACTCCTAATTGCCTTTGCAGCCAATGGGTTACTCAAAGTGGGAAATTAAGAATCTGTTTCCACTTCTAGTCTAGGCTAACAACTTGAAAATATATATATCAACATTACCGAAAACAAGAGAACATTGTTGAACAACAAAGTAAATGAACTTATGTTTTCCATATAGAATTTCAAATTGGAATCGTGAACTTCATGAAGAGGGCATGGCGGCAGAGGCGGAGTGCAAATTTAGTCAACAGGCCTTATAATCACTACGAGTAAAAGAGGAGTCGAATCGGATTTATATTCACAAGATCACCTATCCTCAAAGCACTATCCAACTGTAGTTTGTGCTTTGTACTCTTAACGATGCCCTATGTAAGAAATCTAGACAGTGCAATAACTGAACTTCATGTTAGGAATTGAAACAAAAGTACATGACAAGCAATGGCACACAAACACAATCAAATTAGCTGTAAGAAAGAATTAGGAAGCTTACGACAAGATCAACACCCTCATGACTAGAATGCCAAGTTGAATAGGCCTTAATGACAACAAACGACACATGAATTGTACCCCCATCATACTTAACATTATGTGAGAAGCATTCTTCTCTATCGATCACGAATCTAATCCCCAACACAGCACTCGGATTACATAAGAATGCCAGCAATATGACAGCAACAAATTCAAGGAATCCAATATTCATCAGCAAATTACAAAGTCAATGTCTTAAACTTATGAAACACGATAAATAATAGAAACACAAGGCATTAATTTAATTGCACAAATATCAAATTATGTAGAATCAAATATTAACAGAGTTTCATGAGATAAGAATAAATCTTATACAGTAGCATGCTTTTCTTAAATAATTTCCCCAAAACAGGTCATGATATTGAAAACACATGTGATTGTTTTCTTCAAATTTCATGACAATTGACGGAACCAAGAAAAAATTTTTCCCACCAAAAAGCATTCAAAAGAAAAAAAAAAAATGGAAACCTTGGCCTAGAAAATTTTCCAAGAAAAGCTCAAATTTACTGTAGCAAAAACAAAGAAGAAAGCATATAAACAAGGTGAATCAAACTTACAATTGAATGAAATGTTAGGTGTCTCATCAAAGGCAGGAAAAAAAATGAAAATAATTCAAAACATGATCAAACCAATGAAAGTCAAATACGATTTGTGATAAACTGAGGTGAGAATTGGAATTATAAATTTTTATTAAAAATAAATAAACTTTAACTTTCGGGTTTTTTTTTTTAATTTTAGAGTTGACAGGAATGTGAAAAAGATTAGATCTTTGGAAGCGTCAGATACAGCAACAGTAACAGCAACAGAGGAAGGAGTTTAAAGTACTTCGGTACTTTAGTCCAATGATTAAAGATGTTTGGAAGAATATAAAAAATCTGATTTTGAATTAAATTTTTTGTTTTTTTTTTTATTTGTATTAGGGTTTTGTCTGTCTGTCTTATATACTTCGGTACTTTGAGGTCCGGTGAAGTTGTCCTAACGGGGTTATAATCACATGTATCTCGTTACACAATAACATCCTTTATCTTATCTATAATTTAAAATATAAGATGAACATGATAGAAATTAAAATATAAAAGTGATATAATTTAAAATTTTAATAATAATTATATATAAATTTAATAAAATTTAAAAAATATATTTTATATCTTTATATCAATATCAATTATAATATGTAAAATATAATATACATATATAAATTTTAATATTTTATATTACATAAATATATAAATCATAAATTCTATCTATACGATCCTATTATCTTTTTATTTATTTTTTCTCTTTAGTTGGTTTTGAAAATTCTATTTATTTGTGCATCAAAAATTAAAAATAAAAAATTTTATTTACTTGGTTTTCTTTATCTTTTAAGAGTTTTACGCAAAGTTGGGATACAAAGATAAATATATATATATATATATGAATGTATTTTTTATGCATTTTATATATTTTTTTGGTAATTTATATACATTTAATTACTTGACATGAAAACTTCTTTTTTTTTTCCGAGTTGGTTCTCTAAAAATTTTGTTTATCTTAATATTGTTAAAAAAAATAGATGGGTTTAGGGGTTCGGTGATTTATAATCATTTTTTACTATGAAATTCTTTTTTTATTTAATTTATTATTATTATTATTATTATTGTTGTTGTTTTTATTTTTTTTTTATTTTCTTAGGAAATAAGTTTTTTAAGGCATTCCTATACATTAATTGATGTATCTCATTGTGGGATGCATGACTATCGATTAAATTAAATTACAGAGATTTATTATATTAAAATTGATAAAAAAAAATTAGTATCTATATATATTTTTTATAAAGATTTCAAGATAATTCATTGAAGCATAAGAATAATAATATCAATAGAATTAAATATTTTGACTTTATAGATGACAATCTCAGTAGCTCATGAAATGAAGCTATAGCTAACAAATATCTTAGCTTTAATACTGAAATTTTCAATAGAAAAATGAGAAACAGGTAACAGCAGAAACAGTAAGCTAGCACAACTGATTTAACAGCTACAAAGCTTGTAATTATTTTTTAATTGTTAAAGTTTAAACTATGCATGCTTATTAATTTGATATTCTAACTTGACTTGGTGGTCCTTGTTTATGTTGCTAATTCCATGCCATTGAGCAGAAACTATAACTTGCTTGATCGACATGCCAAACTGACAATCTTTGTCTTTCACTCTAATTAATCTGCCGATGAAAGGGTAAACGAAGAGAGTTTTTGATAAATTATTTGATAAATAATTTGTAAATATGTTTGATTTTTGTTTTCATTTAAAAAATATTTTAAATAATATTTTAATATTTATTTATTAAATAAATTAAATACAAACAAAATTTTATTTAATTCGTATATATTTATAAATAAATTCGTTTAAAATTTATTTATTTATTGTTTATTTTTTATTTATTTATAACAATACTAATAAAATTATATTTTTATTTTTTACTTTAATCTTATTTTAAACTTAGCTTATGTTTGTTCAAAATTTATTTGTTTAAATTTATTTAGTTATAATTTATTTATTATTTATAAATATGTTTGTTTATATATATATATATATCGTGAATATATTTGTTTATATATTTTTGTGAACATATTCATTTAATATTAACGAACGAGTTCATTAATTTAATTGAATAAAACATAAATTAAACGTGAATATTTTATCACTTAAATGAATCAAATTCGAACAAATAAAATAATTGTTTTTATCAAACATAAATTAAATTTGAATATGTGTAAAAATAAACAAACAAACTACATATATATGTTTATTCATTTATATTCGACCAAAAAATTATATTCTAAAACAAAACCTCCATCTTCGCTTTGCTTGGCGATCCCTCTCTTAATTCCTTTCTTGTGTTACAATGCCATCTTGTCTTTTAGTCCATAATGAAATTAAACATGAAATAAATAGTCACAATAAAACAAAGAATTAAAGATGGTTAGTGGAATTTCACATTCCCACATGTTTTTTACTCCATAACTTTTCCAATATTTTACAATTTATATCATTGACTAGGAACAATTTGTTATATAAAATAAACAATGGTTAGTGAATCAAATTAACTTTGAAATATAAAATTGATTTTATCCCCCTCGATCAGGGCCCATGGTCTTTGAGCCTTTCTTTAAATGAATTGTTAATCATTTAATTTAGAGAATGTGAAAAATGCACCTATACATTTTTGTTTGACTTAACTTTCCTGGTCATTGTTTAATTGCTAGTAATTGACTCATTGAATTGAGTAAATCTGATAATTTGTGTTTATGTTTTATGTTTCGTATCGTGATTGACATGTATAGTAGACTCAAATTATTAAAATATAAATATGATACGTAATTATAAAATGCGTTTAAATTTTAAATACGAATATTATATATTTAATATATATGTTATATATGATATAACATTATTAATACGTATATAATTAATTCATTTAAATACGACACGAATATATACAAATAGATATTATTAACATTGATATACATGAGAACATAACTAACACGAATATATAAAAGAACACAACTAAAATAATAAATAATTATAAACTGTCTATCATTTATAACTTAATAAATTTGATATATTAATAATATAAAAAAGTATTTACATATTAAAAATTTTAAATTAATATCATTTAATATGTATTTAATATTTTTTTTAATTTTAATTCATATTATATATAATTATATTAATTTTATTATCAAATTTAAAATGATAAACTATTAAAGATTAAAGAATAAAATAATAATATATAGAACTAATATTAATATTTATATTATATTTACATTATTAATATAAAAAATAATTTTATAATAATTATTAAATAAGTATCATAATTAAATGTTTAAAATCATTTTTATATGATATTAATAGCTAATTAAGTATTATAATTAAAAAAATTAAAATTAAAATAATTTTTATATGTTTATATTAAATTAAAATAAATATTAAAAATGTGTTAAACATATTAAATATATAAAACGTGTATTCATATAATAAATTAAATTAAATGTGTTATTCATGTCATGTCATGTATTTAGACGAGTCAATACATATATGACATGAATTGTGTTATATCAAAATTTATGTCAATACAAATAACATAAAATACAATTTTTTAAAACTTATATATAATTTTTTTCATATTAATTTTATATCATATCACCTATTGTATCTAAAATTATTAGATCTAGTGTTGAGTAAGAAACAAAACAAAGCAATTTGTTGTCTATAAAATATGCTAAATCTTATCAAAACTACTCTCTGTATTTCACTTTGCTTTGCTCTCTCTTATGTTTTTTTCTTTTGTAGTGTTGTGTGTCAGTGGGAAAAGGTGGAAGTAATGAATCCTACTTTCCACTATATGAAATTGATCGAATTTCCAGGAGGAACTGGCCCAAGATCTCTCTTACTTACGCTCTCATAACATTGCAGTTGCTGCTGGCTGTTGCAGTTGGAATTCTCGTTGTTTCCCACTCTGAGAGCCCTCAGTTTGTGCTCCACACCGATCTTGGCCTTGCCATATTCATCATCTGCTTCCTCCTTTGGTTTGCAGTTAAGCAATTGTTGTTCTTTAATCCAGAAATGGTTTGGTACATGTTTTTCTTTCTTAGTATGGGATGCATATTGATGCAGATTGTTTTCTCGTACTTTGTTTTGTTTCACAGAGTTAAATGCCCCCTTCTTATGTTTTCCGACAGCTACTGGAACTATCCTTTGTGCTTTGGTCCATTGTTTTTGGTTTAATGGTCGGACTCTCTTGTTCCTATTAAGAAGGTAACAATTGTTTTTTTTTTTTTAACTGTTGTTGATGACAAAAAAATTATGATATCTCAATTTTATATCGAGATATTTTAAAAATTTATCATTGTGTTGTTGGAGTGTTCGATGACAAAAAAGTAGTGTTCTTTTTATTTACATGGATGATAGTGTTTGTGTCAAGCTGTTTTCAAGGAATAAAACCTAAAATTAAAAATTAAAGAAAAAAAAGAGAGAAAGAGGCCAGTTGAAGATAAAAGTTAGAAGTGGTATTAATATTTGTGCTCAGGCGTTCAAGTCAAAAGTCAGCAAAAAAGAGAATAATGGGAAGGAGAATGTAAGAAAAAAAAAACAAAAAAAAAAGCAAGATTGTGAAATGTTATCTGCTTGGTCCTATTTATACCTGTAAATAGAGAGGACATGGGTAGCCTAAATTACCCAAGGTCAACCTTAGGACCTAGATGACCTAACTGAGCTAACTTGTATATTGATCATCTACTTTGAAGATGACAAATTAGCATTTAAGGGGACTTATTGGATAAATTGATGAGGTAGCCAAGTTGATATAACCTCGTAAAGTTATGTTGGCCTGATACGTCAGCATGGTTCAAATTAAAACTATTCTTAATTGTTAATTGTCTGTTGATAATTTCTAACGGAGAAATAGATTATTTTATCATTTGAACCTAAAAATGCCCGTAAAATTAGGATTGTTTTTATCTAATTGTAGGAAGCGGAAAAGTTGTTCTGGAGGCAACAATTCTAACAAGCACAGGGAGCATTTTCATAACACTTTATTCCCTTTTTGGTTGGATTGGAGGTTGTGATTTCAGCTTAAGGGCTCCTGCTTTTAGGGGAATCTTCCTAGTATTTGTCCTTTATGTTCTCCTCCAGGTTTGTGCTGTTTGTTGGATACTTTTGTGTTCCTTTCTTTCATTTCTTCCCTTTGTCTAAATCCTGCTTGGTGAACTTTTTTTTTTTGGACGATCCAGCAGATCTTCCATCCTTTTGCAGATCAAGTGACATCCATGTATGGTGGCACAGCTGCAATGGCTTTCTGTGGCAATTTGTGCATTGTTGGAAATGAAATGATCAATCAGTCAGGGCCGATTTCTGCTGTACTCGAGCATTATCAGGGTATTATTAGTTGCATAAAACAGGCTCAAAATCGTTAGAATTATGATCTCATATGTGACTAAATAATCATGGAATAAATTTGCTTGTTGCTTTGGTTCTTAAGAGTTCTCTTAGCTAGCTGTCAGATGTTGGAAGAATTAAGCGCTGCAATGGCAATTTGCAGAAGCCAATTTCCCTGTTTTTACAGTAATTAAGCTATTAATTATATGGTAGAGTACATATTTAGAGCAGGCACCCTTGATAATGTATACCATAACAAGAGGAGAAAAACACTACATGAATTGTTTTATTTTAAAGGATTAAGCTCTTAATTATATGGTGGAGTACATATTTAGAGCAGGTACCCTTGATAATGTATACCATAACAAGAGGAGAAAAAGACTACATGAATTGTTTTATTTTAAAGGCACAAGGCATGCCAATGAAGCTACAACAGCAGATTTGAACATGACTGAAGCCGGCATGCTGCCCTTATCCTTGCGAAAGAAGAGTGCTTCATACACTGGTGCATTAACCAGAACTATAAGCCCACAAAGGATAACCTGAGAGATCAACTTTTCTATATCCTTGTAGTCTAGACCCCAGAAAAACATCTTAACTACTCCAACTAAACTGACAAGGTTCAGCATTGCCAATGTTGCTATAACAGTGAACATAATGGAGGTGCTCCCGAAATCCATGATCTCTTGCTGATACCTCTTTGACACATCCTCATCGACCACCTTGGCGGTTAGGGTAAATGTTGATTGAGATAATCCCAATTGCCTCACAATGCAATCGATGAAGGCAAAGAAGAAGGAAGTTGTCCTCCGAATCATCAACATCCTTTGCAGGTTCCACCAAGTTTTCAATGTGCTTCCACAAATTAAAGCCTCAGCTATGCTGTAAATGTTCTTAGATAGAAAGACATATGCAAAGGGTATAAACCATCTGCTTGAAACCTGAATCAAAAATTTTAATCAAGTTTATTATCTTTTGGACTTGAAAATTGGTTATGAGTGGCAGAAAATACAGGAATTATTGCCTTCATAACATAGCAGGATGTGGTAAGTGAATTACCTGTGGGAATAATGGAATGCCTTGGAGCAAGGAAAGGGGAAGAACAATTGCATAATACAGGTTAGGCAGGGAAATTGGAGCCCATAACAGATAAACAGAATATCCCATCTGAGCACCCAATTTTATCTTCTTATATCCGTATATGAAGGGACAATATTTGGATAAGAAAGTTTGGAACATTCCATCAGACCACCTTGTGAACTGAACAAGAGCTATGTCTAAAGTGGGTGGAGCAACACCCAGGAAAGCTGTGTTATCAGGATTGTAAAAAACTGATTTCCATCCCCTGCAATGGATTGTCAAGCCAGTAACAATGTCTTCCACTGGACACCCATATATTAATCCCATCTGCAGAATCATTAAAAATGATCAGTTTCACGAGTCAAATAAAAACAAGGATTAGAACAAGAGATATACGTCTTTTCCCCATTGAGTTCCTTTCTCATAGCCACAACTAGCAAGAACTTTTGATGCTTCTTCCAATTCAACAACTGTTCTTTCATCACTCTTTCTAGTTTCCAAATTCAACAATCCTTTAGATTCATCGGAATACTTGCTTCCACAAAGACTCACTCGTCGATGAAAGCAGCCGGTGCCACAGTACAAGGCTGCACCAAAACCACCTACTCCAGCAAGTTCAACCTTCAAATCATCAAAGAAATCAGCCAAGAACATAATCCAAACATTTCCAATATCTTAAAACCAAAGGTTTATTTCTAGCGAGCACACATTCTTGCTAGTTAAAAACAAACCTTATTAAGTACTGTGGAAAAATTTCCATAAAGATCATTCTTGGTAATATTATTGAATTTCTGTGGAAGCTGCACAAAAGCAATCTGATGGCCTCTTTTTTCATCCATGAAGAAGCAAAGGTCCTCTCTTATTGAGTCTGCATTATTTGCATACATGTCACAGTCCAGATTCAGGATGATTTCTCCATTGCTTATCTCTGATGACACTCTTATCTGCGCCATTGAAATTATTTAGTACCATATGTAAGTTTAAACTAATACATAGGAGTGAATTACCAGTGCATTCATGGCTCCTGCTTTGAAGTGATGAGGACAATCCGGTCTCTTCTCTCGTGCCATGTAAACTAGCGTTGGCAACCTACATCCATCACTATCTACAGCACTTCTGTCTCTTCCATCAATGACAATCTGAAAATTTTCAGGAAAGTGAAATCAAAACAAAAGAATATTCTTAAAAGTTTTCTAAAATTTTTACAAGGTGAAATTATTTATGTTTGTTACCTGCACAATGGGCTGATGATTCTGCTTAGTTACATTAGAATTCCACTCACAAAATCCTTTGTGTTGATTCTTTAGTTCTTCAGGAACACTGCCTTTATTGGTGACTGCTTCAATTCGTTTCTTCATATCTTCATATTGTTTCTTCAAAATTTAAAAAGAAAAAGAACAATTAATTTTGTTATTACGAAGCAATTTTTTTTTTATCTTCACCAGCAAATTTATACATCTTTTCTATGAAAAACCATGCTTTATGAATAAATTTTGGATACTTAAATTATCTCTAATATAAGATCTAACTAGAACTTAAAATTCACTATTGAAAGCTTTATTTGAATTCAATCGAGATTTAATTTTCAAGTTTGAATTATATTCAAAATAAAAATTGTGTTATTTGAGCTTGATTCATTAAGCTCATTTAATAAATAATAACTCAATTTTTATATTCAATTTTAAGTTCGATTATGTAGTTGAATTTCAATTTCAACTCAAAATGATATATATAAGTAAAATAATAATTTTTAATTAAAATATTAAAATATATTAAAATTAAAAATTTTAATTAAATTTACGAGCTACTCAATAATAATTGAATCGAATTTAAATTTTATTCAAACTAAATTCGAATAACTTGTGAATATTAATATATCATTTATATTTTGGTAAAATATTAATATTAAAAAATTGATGTAATTTTAGTTTCAATTACTAATATTATTTAATTTCTGAGAATTTCAAATATAAAAAATATTTTGACGATGTGATCAGTAACTTTCATATCTACTTATCAGATTAACCAAATTCGTAGGATAAAATGGACTACCACTGTTTAATACATGCTAAAAAGAATTTTACCTTGATGGATAGCCATTCTTGAGCATCAATTGCAGTGTCATGCGCATCAAAATTCCGAGTAAAGTAAGCCTCAGGGGCCCTCGGTTCAACATTGAATTTCTTGCAAAATGGTATCCAGTGCTTAGAAAAACGAGAGGCCTCCAAGAGAGCATAGAAGGCAAGTTGTGATCCACCGTCATCAGAAAGATAGACACTTAATTTTTCAGTAGGATAATTCAAGGACATGACTGATAAAATGGTGTTAATCACCATAGTTGGTGGCTCCAGCGTCGGATCAGCCGTGCAAATAAAAATGTCGACCCCTGGTAACTTGTCGTCATAACTGTGAATTTGATGAAATGAGGTAAGAATTCGAGTGAAACAGATATTAATATTAGATATAACTTTAACTAAAGGGTGTTTTGATTAGGATATTAATTTTATCTATATTTAATGAAAATTTTGATTTTTTATTAGAATGAAAATGCATATTATATTATAGATATAAAAATAAAAATGAAAATATGTATAATTTTTATTGAATACTAGGATAACAACAAATAATATAATATTTATCTTGTACTCGTATCTTAAATATATAAATATAAATATATATTTATATATTTAATAAATAATTTTTTTATTAAATAATATAATTATTATTTTAAATTAATTAAAATTAATATAAAAAAAATGGTAAACCCTGATGTGCTAGGCTCCCGCTTTGTGAGGGTTGGGGGGAGGCATATAAATATTTATAGAAAAATTATCTAAATATATAAAATAAAATATAATTTTTTTTATTTTTTTAAAGTTATAGGTATGAAAATTGTTCATACTAATTAAATATTTGTAAGTATAAAAATATAAATAAATTTAAAATATTTGATAAATATAGTATGAAAATAAATATAATACAAAATTTTAAAATAAAGATAAAAAATAATTTATTGCTGATACCCTAGTAGGACTATTAGCATCCCTAATTTTGTCTTTGACAAAATAACATGTAATTTGCTTTTATCCATTTTCTGCCTTTTTTATTATAATTAAACCCAAATCAAAAGCTGATTTAATTTCAAGGATAAAAAATCTGAATACTTCAAAATAAATCATTTGATCTCGAATCAATAATTGAATTCATTGCCCTAAGTGTTGCTGTTACATTTATATGGTCTTTGGTCTGCTATGTCAGCCACCGAATTTATGGAGTCACACACTCTCCTAGAAATTTTGTCTTTTGTTTTTTTTATTTTCTTTTATCAATTACTTTCTGAGATGTGGTGAGAATTTTTTTTTTACCAACCGACACATTAATAACTATATTTTATTAAGTAGAAAGTTGCATCTATATGCCAATTCATTAACATTAAACTATTCATCATTAAAAAACTACTAAAATCTACGTAAAACTTTTGTTTTTTTTTTTAATCTTAAACACATACAAGCTTGGTTTGAAATCTTATTGTCTTTTTAACAAATTTATAAATATTAAATAATTAATTACAAAAAAATCCTTACAATTTTTCAATAAAATAAATTTTTTTGTCACAACGCGATAGAAGAGACTACCACCAAGAAGGGACTAGCCACCACCACGACTGCTACTATTGCCGGTGACCATGACCAAACATTTACGCCGGACTTTTTGATAATATTGAAGACATAATACAGTGAATATATGAAACAAAAGTTAAGCAACTTATAGTAAGAGCACTTGACAAACCTTTGAGAGAGCCTTTGTTTGAGAGGATAGTAATGAACAACGTTCCAACGAACAGCTTGAGTGAGGATCCAGTAGAAACCAAACCCAAGTTCGGCCATTAACATACCAATCCAAATCCATCTTCCTCTCTCTCCTACTCTTGGAATGTTTGTTAACCTATACACCCATATCAAGCATATGCCAACGAATATTGAGGATGAAAATAGCCTCAAAGCAAGCTTCCCCTTTGCTTCTTTGGTTTCAAATAGAGCCAAAGCTTTGTCTTTCTCTTCTACTGTATCCTTTCTATTTCCCATCCCTCCCTTTTCTCAATAATAAGCTCTTCAGGTAGCTATGGGATATATACATATATTAGTCATGTAGAGAAAGGAACAATGAGAATATATTCTTTCAATTTTTTTTTATTGACTAGATTTACATATAACTGAGTGAACGAGAAATATGTTGCTCTCTCAATACTTCGACTATTGATAAAAACAAAGTTGCGATATTTTTCTAATTACCTTTTAACTAATAATTATAAATTAATAATGTACTTATCATCATAGGACTAGACTTGATAAAGAATCAGGTTGTCCATTCAAGTTATGAAAGAATTTAAACAAAAAATTAATAAATTTAATTTCTGATAATTTAAAATATAAAAAATATTTTGACTATATGATAAGTAAGATTCATATCTACTTGTCAATTTAACCAAATTCGTAGGATAAAATCGACAACTACGGTTTAATACATGCTAAAAAACAAATTTACCTTGATAGATAGCCATTCTTGAGCATTAATGGCAGTGTCATGCGCATCAAAATTCCGAGTAAAGTAAGCTTCAGGGGACCTTGGTTCAACATTGAATTTCTTGCAAAATGGTATCCAGTGCTTAGAAAAACGAGAGGCCTCCTAAAGAGCATAGAAGGTAAGTTGTGATCCACCATCATCAGAAAGATAGACACTTAATTTTTCAGCAGGATAATTCAAGGACATGACTGATAAAATGGTGTTAATCAACATAGTTGGTGGCTCCAGCGTCGGATCAGCCGTGCAAACAAAAATATCGACGCCTGGTAACTTGTCGTTGCATCTGTGAATTTGATGAAATGAAGTAAGAATTCAGTAAAATAGATATTAATATTAGATGCAATTTTAGCTATCCATGTGTTTTGTATAGGGATATCAATTTTATTCATATTTAGTAGAAAATCTAATTTTTTATTTGAATGAAAATGGATATTATATTATACGTATTTAGTAAATAAATTTTTTATTAAATAATATAAATTATTATTTTAAATTAATTAAAATTAATATATTTTATTACAAAATATATATTAATAAATATTTATAGAAAAATTAATATTGACTTGACCTATTAAAAGGTTGAGCTATACATCCAAATTTCAAGAGAGTCTGGACAAAAAATTAAATTTTGAGTCGGACCTTAAATACAAAATTTAAAACCCGAGCTTGATCCAATTCAATCGAATTTATATATAATTAAATTTTTTATTTTTATATATACGTAAACTATATATAAATTAATTTACATATATATAAAAATTAAAATTAAAAATTATATATATTTTATTAAACTTAATTTGTTGTTTTATGTAAATTTTATATATATAATTTTTATTTTGATTTTTAATATATATGTAAATTGAATATAATCTCATTAATTTTAATTTAATTATTTTTTAAAATTTTTATTATATAAATTAAGTTTAATGGATGAATTTGAAAATTTTTTTCTTTTAATTTGAGCTAAATTTGAAAAAATTTTGAGACCTAAAATTTTGGATTGAACATAATCTAAATAAACATATAAACTATTAATATCAAATATGACCCAAATCTAATCTAACATATAAACACCTCTATATAATATATGTATCATGCAATATTGTAAAATTCATTATATTTGTTTATAAAAAAGTTGCCGTTATTAAAATTTGAATATTAAATTTAGTAAATATTATTTTTTAAAAAATTTATATAAATTAATTGAGTTAAATTAAATTTAAATTTCATTATAATTATGGTTGGTACCAATTTATCTTATGGAGGACAAAAACTTAAAATCATAAGATGAAAGATAGGCTAATAATAAAACTAGGAAAATTTTTTTTAATATTTGTACTTTGACATTAAAATCAGTATTCCAAAAAATTAAAAAAAATAGAAAATATATATAAATTAATATCTAAGAGAAATTATTTATATTTATACGGTGAATGTGTTCCACCTAAATAGCTCGAGGTCCAAATGACGAAGTTAAGACTGACGTGCCAATCCAAATTAAGCTATAAAATCGATGATCCAATTATAAAAATGACAAACAAACATTCTCGCATAACATTTTATAATTAATTGAAATGATTGAACTAATGTGAAGGTCGAAACTCCAAATCAATTCAATATATCAAATCAAATCAAATTGACACAATTTTCCCTGACTCATAACCCGTACCAACATATAGGCTTTACACTCGACGTGAAACACAAGGGCGAGAAAGTGTGACACTTGCCAGTTAGTTGCTTATGGAAAAATTAATAAAATATAGATAAGGGGAAGACTATATAATAAATATGGTTTAGCCGTCTTCTACATTAACGAGTCAACAGAGAAGTATGAAAATTAAAAGTATGTTTAAGATTGGCCGTCCAATTAATATAACTAACGACCATAAATATATAAAGATTTAAAATTGTTTAATTAAGGAATGGTCAAAATAATACAGAATTAAGATATAGCATAAACGTGTTTAGGTAAAGATTTAAGGATTAAAATTCTGTTTGCAATCTTATCTTATTTGGTTTGTCTAAAAGCTTGTCTTTTTCTTTTTTTTTCCTTTTTTTTTTTACATAAAAAAGTTTGTCTTTTTCCCATATCTACAATCTATAAAATATAAATGGTTTTTAAAAAAATTACAATGCTCCTAATAAAGTTTGAAAAGTCAATAATGAAAACAATAATAATATATTTAAATATTGAATTTAAAAATTTAAAACTTTTAGTATTTTTATCTTAATTTATGTGTATGAAAATTTTTTATTATTAGAAATTAATATTTTATAATATTTTAATTTATAATTTTTTAATATAAATTATGGTATAATCGAGTCAAGTCAAGTAATAAAGTAAAAAACTTAAACTATAATTCAACTCCAAATTCATTATTCAAACTCGACTCAAAATCTATTGAGTTTTAATTTTTAAATTTAAATTTAATTTGAAATAAAAATTAAATTATTCAAATTTATTCGATTAAACTCGTTTAATAAAAATATGAGCTTGATTTTCATATTCGCTTTCAAATTCAATTATGTGTTTGAACTCAAACTCGAATTGATATATATATAATGATAAAATAATAATTTTTTAATTAAAATAATAAAAATATGTTAAAATTTAAAATTTTGATTAGACTAACAAGTTATTTAAATTGAATATGAAGATAATCAAACTTAGCTCGCTTGATAAATTAAATTGTTTGAGTTCAAACTTAACTCGATAATAATTTGAGTTTTATCTTAATCAAACTCAAATAATTTGTAAATATTAATCATTACACCTTTAATTCAAATCATATCAAAGTTTAAGAAAAATTTAAAGATTGAACATTGAATCTTATCCTTACGGAATCTACCTCCAATAATTGAGTGAATTATTGGTAACTATTATTGTTAAAGGATGATCCATGGCTCTTAAATTGGGGTTGTTTAGGGGCTGAAAGTTATTGATAATCAGTAATTGATGGATTATTGCTTTGGTAGTGGCATGATCCTGATCCTTTTTCACAATTAATGTCAAAACTGATATGCCAAATTCAAGTCCATGAATGATCAATTTTTCATGAGACCCACTTTCGTATCTATTTTCTTCTTTCCAAGTTCATGTACAATAAGGAGGGATAATGATTTGAATGAAATTAAATTTAATTTTATGTTTTTGAATAATATATAAAATTATAAATTTTTAAAATTTGATTCAAATTTAAATTGAATTTTTATATGATCTGTTTTAATTTGAATCAAAATTTGTCAATTTAGTTTGATTTATCGATTTTTATACTTAAAATTTTTATATATTATTTTAATTTATTTAAATAAATTTAGATATAAAATAATTATTTTTATTTTATAAAAATTTTTAAAAATATAGATATAAACTAACAAAAATATATAATTAGATTTGGTTCGTTTTATTTTTAATTTTTAATTTTAATTTTTTAATTTAAAATTCGATTTAAATTTAATATATACATTTAATATCTGAACTTAATCAAAATTGAATAAAACAAAATCAATCCAAACTAAATACTACAATTTTAAATTAATTTTCAATTTCTTTGATTTTTTTTTTTTTACCCCTATTGCCAAGTACTGATCCCTGAAAATATATGTTTAAACAGTTTGATGTCCATTCTTATTTACATTATTGTACACTTTCTAGCTTGACTCATTTGTCTTATATAAAGAATTGCCGTATTGTTTGGCATATGCAACTGGGAGAAAGTGCCAAAGAAATAGGCATCTTCAATGATAAAATTATTATATGGGAACCAAAAAAAATTATATTTGATTTACTAACAATAAATATTGTTACTCAGATCCAATATTTTCTTTTATGTTATTATAAGATCCATTGACTAACAAAAAATGAATTGATATTATATTGATACTTTAAAAGGTACACTTTTTTTTTCATACATACCGCCAATAATTCATCATATCAAATTATTGTACCAATGAACCTTACAAGAAGACAATGTTTTTATATTTATTTTTTTAAAATCATGTTGACGACTTTAATTAATAATTATATGTGTAATTTCACATTTAACGATAGTTTATTAAAAACAATAATATTATTGAGTATGAATTTCATTAAATTTTTTTAACTTGTTCGAACAATCTAAAATTCAGTTATTTTAATTATATTAAATAATCTTTTAAATTGGTCAAGATTTTTCGATTTATTACTGATTTTTTATAATATCAATTGTTGCTTCAATAATATGTTTACAATTTGATTTTGATCATTAAATGTTGGTCCTAAAATTGAGTCAATTTCATGTGCAAGGATCAACAAGCATAAAAATTAAAAATTAGAAGTTAATAAAATTTAAATTTAAATTTAATTAATTTATAATATAAATATTTTAAAATATAATATTTAATAAATTTAAAATTTAAATTCTAACCGTTACAACCTCTCTCTTACTTTGAAACTTCAATCTTCTGAAAAAAATTGGAGTTAAATACTTCAAATTGCATAAAAAAAAATCAAATGTGAGCCAAAAAGTCAATATCCTGAAAATGATTTTTTTTTTGGATTATTATTTGTAGCGTGGAAGCAAACTCCAAGGTACGCTGACCCATCATTGTTGTCTTCATGTTGGATTTTGTTACCTTGATCATGAACTCATGTTTTGGCCGTTTGCAGCAACATACTGTTAACCACACAGTCATCTTTGATCTGATCACGACCTTGTTGCACCTTTTTCTTTGGTTTGCCTTATCTTGTTGATGATAGTTTAAAATACGATTAACATGATATAAACAGAATATACAATATAAAAATAATATGATTTAAAATTATAATAATAATTATATATCAATTTAATAAAATTAAAAAATATTTTTAATTTTATATCGATATAAAATATAAAATATAATTTTTATATAAAATAAAATATAAATATATAAATTTTAATATTTTATATTATATAGATATACGAATTACGAGATAAACTGTTAACTATGTTAAAACAAAAAACAAATATCAACTAAGAGAAATGATGGTCTAATTGAAACTATAGAACAAAGAATACAACTCCGGTGTATAAATGTGGGATAAAAGCTTACTTGATTTTGACATGTGCGTGCTCGAAGTTGCCACGTAGGCTACAAATGAGTGGCCAAGCCGCTTTGCCTTGTCATTTGAAGCTTCCTTTGATTTGTCTTGTAATTGAAAAATCTACTTTGAGAGGGTTACGACAAAGTAACGGACATATATTATTTTTTAAATATTTGTTTCAAAATTTATTTAATATTTATAATATTTAAATATATTTAAATATTTATTTTAATTTAAATTTATTTAAATAAATATTATGTATTTAAATATTCGAATCTATTAAAATATTTATTTTTTATTTTTTAAAATATGAAATAATCAATAATTAAATTTAAAATTTGAGTTTATTTTTATTTAATAACAAATAAAAATTATTTACTAAAGATCCAAATATTTCATAATAATAAATTTTTATATAATTTATATATGTAAAAGAGTAATAAGTTCAGATATAAATTTGGATATCTGTTATTATTTATTAAAATTTAAATAAATTCAGATATTAAATATTTAGAAGATATTATTCGTATCAAACTCATCACATATAATAAATTTTTTATTTAAATTCATTAATTTATTATTTATAAGTATCTAAATTTGACATAAATAAATTAAATGATGACAAATATCCATTTTATTTATTATTTATTGTCATCACTAATTCTAATTAACATAGTTTAGAGTTTAGGGGTCCAAATCAATTTGGTTCCTCGTTAATACAATTAACTTTACATTACTTGGATAAAAACAATTATTTCATTTCTTATGCTAAGTTGATTATTAATATAAAATAGTTTTTTTATTAAAAGTTAAAGATTTAACCATAAAACACACTTTGTAAGAAATCTCCCACCATAATTTTAAAAGAAGCTTTAATTTTAGATTTGGTGATTTGTATATTCGTATCATATAAAATATTAAAATTTTTGTATTCATATAATATTTTATATAGAAATTATGTTTTATAATTTATGTTGATATAAAAATATAAAATATAAAATTTTTATTTTATTAAATACATATATAATTATTATTATAATTTTAAAATTATATCACTTTCATATTCTATTTTTATATCATATTCATATTATATTTTAAATTATAAGCCTATTTAATCTTTTTTGTTGTCATAAAAAGCTTTTGATTCGAAGGAAACAAGGAGAACAACAATTGATTAAGTGTACTACTAAGTACTTTTTCCTCTTTGGTGTTGTCTAAAATTGGGACTATCCATTTACTCACATCATCCATTTGCTACATATGTATACTTCTCAAAAGAGTAAGCTTCGAACATTAAAATAATTATATTCAATTATTAATACATAAATTTTTATTTAAAAAAATAAATTTTCAACTAAAAAAAATTGAACAGCTTATTTTACTCGATTTCAAAAGGTAAAATTCAAATCTTTATTTTTCAATTAAAAAAATTTAAACAACCCATTTTATTCGATTTTTGGATCGGGTTTAGATTAAGATTTTTAAGTTCGAGTTCGGTTAATATCATTATTATTTGATTAATTAAATGATATTATTATATTTATTAAATTTACCTGTAAAAAGTATAAGTACATAGATGGAGCAAGATAGGCTCGAGTCTTAACTTGGGAAAGGAGAGGTCCAATAAGGCCGAATCTGTAACCGTCCCATTAAACACCTTTATTTGAGCCCACCAAATATTATTATAAAATTCGAATTTTGTTGTTATTTTTTATTTCAATAATAAACATTTACTGACGTGGCAATCCTAGTTTATCCCCATTTTAAATTCCCTTCACATGGCAAAGCTTCTTCATCTAGTTGTTTTAAGACAAATCCACCCTTTATTTCTACTCAAAATTACACAATTCCTTCTAAAGTACAACTGTTTAAAGCGTCATTCTTTTCTCTCTATCTAATCCACGAGCCCACATAAAACGAACTCTGGGCAAAGAAAAGAGCAGCTGCGCTCACATGGTGGTTGTTAAATTTTGATTTTGACCTTGTTTTAAAATTTCCTAGGGTTTTTCCTATTCGATTCCAATTTGGGTTTTTATAAAATTATCATTTCAAGGTAAGTTTCTTGTTTTCCCCCTAACTTTTACTTTTTTTTTTTTGGTTTGTTTTGGCTTTGAGTTTGCTTGCTTTTATTTATTGAATGTAGCAGTTTTTTTAAAATTCTCTTTAAATCAGTCGTGTTTTTGGAGATTAAAGGTTGGGTTTTGGGTTCTAATAATTTTCAAAATGCTGACTCTTTGATTGATAGAGTTGCTTCTTTTTTTGTGTTTGTGGTGTTATTTTTTTAGGTTGAATTGGTATAGGATGCATGTTTAGCAATCTTGGAAGCTGTTTTAGTGAAAAGAAAAACATGGGTATGATGAAAATGGAGTAGAGCTTTTGTTTTTTCTTGCAAGGTTAAAACTTTTTGGCTGTGGCTGGTTTGCGGAAAAGCAGTGGAGATTTCGTTATAATTGATTTGATTTTTTTTTTTTTTGTTACGGACTATGCAGGCATATTGAAATAGTAGAGTGCAATTGCTGTAGTTATCTTATGTGGATGAACTTTCTTGTTAATAGGGAATATGGTCTTTAGTCTTTAGTCTTTAGTCATGCATTATTTGTTTGCTGCTAGGTTTTTGAAAATGAGGCAAGGCAAGGAAGAAGCAATATGCAGTGTTGAACAGGTTGGTGTTCTTATCTGAATTGAAACTTGGATTTGCATTTTATCTCTTTTCGCTGTTGTCCCGTCATATTTATCTAGACGTTTTAATAAGTAAAGCTCCATCAGGGACTCAGATGTGTTTTGGTTTATATGAACAGGCTATTGACTTGATTTCAGTGGTTAAGGAGATTCATGGGCTTAACTCACAGGAGCTTAATAAGTTGTTAAGAGACTCTGAAAATTTTACCATTCACTTTGTTACTGAAAAAGGATTAGAAGTAAAGGTACAACCACGTAATTTGTTATTGTTTTGGTATCACTCTTTTTTTTTTCTTTTTCTTTTTCACTGAAACATCTCATATTAAATTGTTTTATCTTTCAGATTGATGTGGAAAAACTTGCAGGATTTCTTCCTTTGCACCTTATTGCAGTGCTCTTGTCATCTGATAGAGATGAAGCCCTGCTCAGATATTTATTATGTGGCATCCGACTTTTGCATTCTTTGTGTGAATTAGCGCCCCGCCATACTAAACTTGAGCAGGTTGCTCTTAAATGATTGTCATCTGGTTATTTTCTATGATGGTGATTTTAATTTTGTTCCATTATTTGTTGTGTTTGTCCTTGCATATGACAAGGACTTTGAAACAAATTGAACTGCAATAATGGGACAATCCTTTTTATCAATTTCCTTGCAGTTAACTCCATTCGTTTCAGTATTCGATGGAAAATTTGTTAATACATCAAAATGAGGGGAAGGCAGGAAGAGTGATACTGTAGGATAAATAATTCACTGCTTAACTTTAAACTAAAGGCATTTGGTTTAATTGAACTCACTTGTTTTTGGTACAAAGGAGGCCAAATCCTAGGGGAATTGGGAAAGGGGAATTTGCAAGTGCCGGGGAGCGAGCCCCAGCCTTGAGAGAATCCTCCTCCTAAAAGAGGTGGGTGAACCATTTGGGCTAAGCCCCAGGTTTGGTTTAATTGAACTCAGTGCCCCCACGGAAAATTAAGTAATTAACCTAAGTTCCTGTACGTGTCTTCATGTTTTTGCATCTCAAAGTTTGGAAGTTGGATTTAGTTATATTGGAAATCTCTCTTAGTTGTAACTGGGAGAAAAACTTCTTATATTTTGCTCCCAGTGACTGTAATACATAATATTGGTAGCAAGCCTCATTGATCTTGAGATCTCCATAATCCTTGATTAAGTCAAGATTAAATCTGCAACATCTTGCAAATTTCTTAGGGACTTTACCCACTACTCTAGTCTGCACCTTTGCTCTATGAAATGCCCTTAACTGTAAAGACAGGAATATGGATATTATGGAGTGTACCCGTTAATTGTGGAAGTCATTTCTCTATCTTATAACTCACTCTACTGGGTCTTCATTTCTCTCTTTTCACCAGCCTATCTACTACATAGCAATCTTTGAAGATTTTTATGCGTGCTATGAGTTTCTTTCTCCTAATCTTTTTTCTTTTATAATGTTTACAGATTTTGCTTGATGATGTAAGAGTATCAGAACAGCTGATTGATCTAGTCTTCTATGTTTTGATTGTTCTCAATGATTATAGACAGGTTCTTTTTAATCATTTCCTTTATGCCTTATCTTCCACAAAAGTTATTTTTATCTTAATTCAAACTTCTTTTCATGTTGTAGGACATCCATGATTCCAGTCCCGTACCTCTTTTGCATTCAGCACTTGTAGCATGTAGTCTGTATCTATTGACTGGATGTATATCTTCACAGTGGCTAGATCTGGCTCTAGTGATAGTGGCACATCCTAAGGTACAATTTAGTTCTCTATGGAATTATTATGCAGGCTATTGCTCCTTTTTTATGTTCTTCTATTCTTTACATGTCATTTCCTTAGCAATTCAAGACAATACTACGGTCTTATTGAGTTCTCCAGTCCATGCACCTTATTGATCCAAATTTTGTTACAGGTTGATGTGTTTATGGATGTAGCTTGCAGAGCAGTTCATCTAGTTGTCAGGTTTCTCCAAAACAAGCTGTCTGCTCAGCATACAGATAATTGTCTCAAGTTGAGTCCAACTGCTGAATCAATGGTTAACTATCTTTGCCAACAATGTGAGGCTTCTTTACAGTTCCTTCAGTTATTGTGCCAACAAAAACCGTTTCGGGAGCGCTTACTGACGAATAAGGTTTGCATACTAGCATTTTATTTATCTATTCATCTGGTATGGAGTAATGCATTAAAAGGTATTACCTTTATTATGTTCTTCTAGAAAGGAATAATTTGTTGTGGCCAAAACTTTTACCTTTGTTCAGAATTCTTAACTGCACTTGCTTGTGGAAAACAAGAAAGAAGGATTATTTGTGAAAAGCAACTTAGATTAAGATGTTAAAATTTTCATTTAGGCACTAAAAAGAATCATGGTTGCAATAAAGCAATGTGTACTCATTGTAATTTGTTAATATTTGTATGGAGGATCTTTACTAGATCCAAGTGACATTTGAGTCCTATTGACTCTACTTATTGAGATTATTATTGTGATACGCTGGGATATATTGCATTTTTTAGAAGACTGATGGGATTTTGTTTCTGGCACTCATTCAGGAACTATGTGGAAAGGGTGGGATTCTTTTTCTGGCTCAATCCATCCTGAAGTTACATGGACCGTATTTTGTAGAATCTTCCACAGTCATGGCTGCATTATCTAGGCTGAAAGCTAAAGTCCTGTCAATTGTAAGTGCTAGGCCTGGATAAATGTTTTTGCCATACATGTAGAAGTTTAAGCTGCTTTATGATCTTCTTCAGCTCCTTTTTAATATGGCACTTATGTGAATAAAACATCCTGTTTATGCAGTTATTGCATTTGTGTGAAGCAGAAAGCATTTCTTATCTTGATGAGGTTGCCAGCTCTCCAGGAAGCCTGGATTTGGCAAAGTCTGTTGCACTTGAGGTTAGTTTTCTGATGTTTATGTAAATTATATTTTGCTTTGATAGAGTGGGAATTATTTTCAGAATTTTCTGATGGCCTATGTCTTGGATTCTCTGTTTTAAAGCCTGCTTTTCACTGTCCTATGCTGTCTTTAATAAAATTATTATAATGATGCAGGTTCTTGGGTTATTGAAGACTGGACTCAGTAAAGATCCCAAACATCTCAGTGCTAGTTCTGATAGAACCTATCCTATGGGCCATCTTCAACTTAATGCAATGCGTCTAGCTGATATCTTCTCTGATGATTCAAACTTTCGATCTTACATCACTATTCACTTCGTAAGTTATTATGATCAGATTTCAGAATTTGTTTCTTTAGTCTCATTTCTATCCTGCTTTTGGAAAATTGCTATATCATTACTTCTGAGAGTGCCATTAGAATGTTATTATCCAAAAAGTATAATAGCTATAACTTCTTGTTTATCAAAACTTATACAACTCTCAGAGAACCAAAACCTTATAAATTTTTGTGGAATAATATGCAAATATTTTTGCTGGATTGACATGTAAATAATTTTCTGTTCATCCTTTATGGCAAGATTTATGACTGCCTCTTTTGTGCTCCTTCAGACTGAATTTTTGAGTGCAATATTTTCACTCTCTCATGGAGATTTTCTATCCATGTGGTGTTCTGCTGATCTCCCTGCAAGGGAAGAAGATGCTACCCTGTATTATGAATTATTTCCCGCAGCCGGATGGGCTTTGGATTCAGTTTCATCATCAGACCTATCAAATACAACAAATCTAGAATTCACCTTTATCCCCAACAACAACATGCCTCAGGCTTCTTATGTACATCAAAGAACATCTTTATTTGTCAAAGTAATTGCAAATCTTCATTGTTTTGTTCCTAACATATGTGAAGGTAAATTTCCACCTGAGCAATGGGAGGTTCTCATGAAATTCGTGTTATATTTTTATGGTAATTGGATTACCTGTTTTTATCCACAGAGCAAGAGAGGAACCTCTTCCTTAACAAGTTTCTTGGGTGCTTGCGAATGGATCCATCTAAGCTATTACCCGGTTTTGCCTTTATCTCTGGTTCACAAAAAGTTGCTGCTATTTATAGGAACTTGCGTAAGTATCCTGTTGAACTTTGTCTTCTTTTCCCTCCAAGTAGGACATGATTATAAATGTTTTTCTTGTTCCTTACAGTTAACCTGTTCGTGTAGGTTCCTTGTTAAGTCATGCAGAATCTTTAATTCCTGCTTTTCTGAATGAGGATGATCTGCGGCTCTTGAGGTGATCCGGAGTTCTTTTTTTTTTTTTTGTAAACCAAATTCCTGCAAGTTCAAGTAGCATTAGAACTTGTTAATATTTTTGGATATATCAAGCCTTCCTGGAAAATTTTTAATACTGCTTTCTTGCAAACTCTACTAGAAAAATGTTTAAATCATCACACTTAATGCATGAGTATTCATACTAACTAAAACCTTAACATAAACTCATGGAGCGTGGCATTCTTTTTTATATTCTACCATGAGAGATATAATTCATATATAAAATATCCTTTAAGGTTTTCCCTACAACTTTAATTTTCCTACAACTATAATGCACTCCAAAGCCTTTGTTTGCAATATTCAAATTGATCCTTGTTTCAAGGTCATTATTGCCCACTTCTCTGTTTGAATTCATGGATGGTCCAACATTATTGATTTCTCTTGTTAAACAACTTTCACTTTTTCAGGGTATTCTTTGACCAATTGCAGTCACTGATAAATCCTTCTGAATTTGAAGAAAACCGAGTTCAGGTAAACCTTCTGAATATGATAAAGGAGTAGTATTATATTCCTACCTCTAATCCCTCTGTTTTGGCTGGTATGTATCTCCTTTCTTTGTTATATTTTCAAGTGTTTTGAGACTATCTGCTTCTGTTGGAAAGATTTTGAACTTGAGTCCATTTTAAGAATTAGTTTCATAAAGAATATGTTAGACAGAAACATCAGGTGAATGCTGGAAGTTCATTTGTTTTATGTATAATTAAATTAAGAACCTTATTTTGGTAAAACAAATTTAAATATCAAGTGCTGAATGGTTCAAACTGTGTTTACCAAAAAAGTTTGATCAGAGAGACAAAGATTTCATTCCAATTATATTTTAGACTAGTGAACTTAGTCATACTTAAATTGTTTCAGATGCAGTTTTTAGTTCCAGAGGCTATTATTTTGGCATTGATGCAAATGAAATCTCTTGCTTATTTTTCATTATCTTTTAAATCCACCACTCAGCAATGTATTGTAACTGATAGGACGATCGAAGTCTAGGGGGTTGCTCATCTCCTTTACTGAGAAGAGAACCTCAAAATCTTAATAACCGAAATGGTAACCTGAAAGAGGAAATGTCTGAGAATTCTGCTTTCCAAGAAGACGAGCAGTTTTATGTCAGAAGCAATCATATGGATCAAGCTGATGATATAACAAGGCAAGACATGATAGATGATAAAAATAAACCTGTTTCACGTAGTGGTTTGAAAGAGATTGACAGAGATGTTCAGAATGTTGAAACAAGTGGTTCAGATACAAGTTCCACAAAGGGAAAAAATGCCACTGATAAATTAGTAGATCGCCTCAAAGAAAGTACACATCCAGGAGTTCGAGAGGATGACAAAGTTGAAACTGTTCAAACTGAAGAAAAGCAACGAAGGAAAAGGAAGCGGACTATAATGAATGATGAACAGGTAACAATAATAGAAAGGGCCCTCCTGGATGAACCTGAAATGCAGCGAAATACTGCTTCTATACAATCGTGGGCGGATAAATTATGTCATCATGTACGTAAAATAGATCTAGTATTTATGCTTGATGCAAGTTTATTTAGTTATCTACTTGAAGTAACATGTTTCTTCTACATTCATTTCTCAGGGCTCAGAGGTTACATGTTCACAACTAAGGAACTGGTAAGGAAGCCATCTCTGATTGTAACGTTTTATATGCTAATATTTCTAGAAACCATTCTGATATCACGTGGTAGCTTCTTTAATGACAAAAATAAAGTGAGAATCAGGAAAAGAAAGAAACAAAGAAAGCTTATAATAACTGATATGTGTTGCATTGTTTCTTTAAAGTTTAGAGTTTCTTTCATAGAACTTCTATGGCAAGCTACTTAAAATGAAATGAGTATTTTGTACCTTAAAAAGTACCAATTGGTATAATTAGCTTTTATCAGTTCATAGATTCTGGTTATTAAAAGTTCTTTAGCACATTTTTGCAAGTTCTATTGGTTATTGTATGAAACTAATTTGTCTTATGTTCTGTGTTCAGGCTTAACAACAGAAAGGCCAGGCTTGCACGCTTAAGTAAGGATGCTCGTCCCCCTCCAGAACCTGATAATGCTTTTGCAGGAAAGCAAGGTGGGCCACAACAAGGTCATTCGTTAAAAGCACCTGATAGTCCTGGTCAAGAGACTGCCCCCTCAAATACCAGAGGTACTCGAAGCATGTCAAGAATCAACACAAGTGAAAACCCAGAGGCTTCAGAATTTGTTGATTTTGGTGCTGCAGAATTTGTTCAGTGCAAGCCAGGCCAGTTTGTTGTGCTTGTAGATGGAATAGGTGAGGAGATTGGTAAGGGAAAAGTACATCAGGTGCAAGGTAAATGGTGTGGAAAGAGCTTGGAGGAATCGGGGACCTGTGTTGTTGATGTGGTTGACCTAAAGGCCGATCGATGGGTGAAGCTACCCTACCCTTCTGAAGCCACAGGTACCTCATTTGAAGAGGCTGAAAAAAAGGTTGGGGTAATGAGAGTTATGTGGGATTCAAACAAAATATACTTGTTACGACCTCAATAAATTTCACTCTTTGTTGATTTATCATTTTCCTGCTGCTGGCAATGATATGTTTCCTCTTCCCAATTACTTTAGAGCACATACAATATCAGACCTTCACAAACAAACTTGCCAAGTAAAAGCAAGCTAGGTAGGAAAGTGGCCTTGCGTTTTGGATACCTATTGAGTTCTAAACACCAAAATTTGATGAAAGACAGAATGTGAACTCAAGTTTGGAGGTACCCTTTTCTCCTTTTTCCTTATGCAGGAAAGTGACACTCTAATGAACACTGAAATGGGAGCCAACGGATTTCCTGTGAAAAGCAATGGTGGAACATTACATTATGCTACACGCCATACTTGGGGTTGGGTCCATTTACAGGTCATGCTTAACTATTTGTACACTTTGAATGAGCCATTGGAGGACATATAAGGCTATTTCTGCCCCACAACCACCTGAGGAGGCCAAGGTTGGTTGCCATTGGACAAAGATGCTTTGAGCTGAGAGGGCTGTAAACATTGAAGTTGGATTCATTCATTTAATGAAATCATTCGAGGGCTTAAAGGGTTTTGTTCGTTTCCCCGAAAGCTAGCGACCAACGAGACGTAAGGATGAGAAAAAATTCGAAAAAATTAAAAATTGATTTGAAATGGTAATATTCGATTAGATTTAGATTAATTTTTTTATTTAATTTGAATTAAGTTTGATATTGAATATATATATATATATATATATTAAATTTAAATTGAATTTTAAATTTAGACTTAAAAAATAAAAAAAATTAAATCAAATCGTATTATATATTTTTATAAATTTATATATATTTAATTTTTATAAAATAAAAATAATTATTTTATATGTAAATTTATTTAAATGTATTAAAAATAATATATAAAAATTTAAAATTAATAAATTAAATTGAATCAAATCAATAAAATTTAATTTAGATTGAATTAATTTTTTTAAAAAATATCAATTTAAATTTAAATTAAAATTTAAAATTTAATAAATTATATATTATTTAAAAAAACCAAATCAAATTCTTATCACCTTTAACGAAACCATAACCAAGGGTACTTAAGAAAGTTGCCTGTCATCACAATCCAACATGCTTTCTCTCTAATGTCAAAACTTAAAATATTGAAAATTGATTTTTGACACCTTTTGGTTTTTGCCCCCTTATTTCACTTAAAAATAAAATTTTTATTTTCAAGATTAATTCAGTTAATCAATTACACAGACATGAGAAAGAGAGAGAGAGAGAGTGAGAGAGAGAGAGAGGAACAGCAAACCAATTAGATCCATAACAAAACTCTTTACACTTTTCTCTCAGTCATTTTGTCACAACTCATCTCATCACTCAACACTTTAACGTGGCATCCCATTCCCGTTCTTTTCGTTACTTGTATCTTTGAGACAAAACTACCCTTTCACTTTAGGATATTCTACATATCTGTCCAATAAGTACAACCTCGGAAAGTTACCCTCTTTGTCTCTCTCTCTCTCTTTCAATCAAAAGAAACAGTCTTCACTGTCTTTGCTGATACCAAATTTTGTCTCAAACGGCTTTCGAATATTCAAACTCTCTCTCTCTAATAAGTAACAGTTACTGTTTGAATCCTTCAAATTTTCTGAAAAGCAAAGATAGTAAAGCCCTTTTTAATCAAAACCCACGAAATTTTCTTTTCCAAGAAGCCTACTTTTTGTTTTCTTGGCGGAGAAAATGTTGTTAATCTAAATTTCTTGGGAGATTCTTGTTAAAAGTTTGGAGTTTTCTTGGTGGGTTTTGGTCTTTAGGTTGAAAGGTTAAAAGGGTATTTGAGTGACAGAAGGAATAGTATGAAGATCAAAGAAGATGATCATGAAGATTTGAAGGGCTTTTAGAGAAGGTGATTCTTTGATTTTGACCCTTTGATTTGTTATTGGTTTTTGATTAGGGTTTTTGTTGTTTTTATTTGTTTTAGCTATTAAAAGGTAAGTTCTTTGTTCTTGTTGTTATTTTATATGCTTTTTGTTTGTTTATTAAACCTTCTTTAACATTTCATTTCTATCCTTGACTTGAGCTGTCAATTTTGTCATGTTCTTGAATTCTATAAATTTTTAAAGACATTTCTTTCTTTGTTTCTTTCTTTCTTTGATGTTGAGCTAGGGTATTGTGGCTTGAATTTCTGGGGAAAAAAGTTAAGAGTTTTGTCTTCTTAAGGACACGGAAGTGATTAGGCAATCTATTTGGTTGAAGACTTGACAAGTATAATTAAGGTATGGTCAGCTTCACTCATGTTGTGATTTTTATCATGATGTTGAAACCTTGATGATATTGACTAATTTTTAACTGGAATCTAGTTTCATTGATGCTGTAGTGGAGTTTTTGCTTTATGGATTTTTGGGTTAATAATCTGTGAAGGCTTGAAATTTTCAATTCTTGAATTAAAATGATTATGTGATAAGGTTGTTGCTTCTCTAGTATGTGATTATGCTTTAACTTACACAAGCTTCAATATGTGGAAACCCTTCAGGCATTACTTATTTAATCTTGGACAGATCTATACCATAACTTTGATCAAGTGCATGGGATTAACCTAATTTTGCTTCGAAAGAGAGTAGCCCTTTTGATTTGTGATTGAGCACATCTTGTTAAGATCCTGAGATTTGGAATTGTGCCGAAGAATCATTTGGCCGTATAGGAGAAAATAAAGTTTCTTTTTAGATTATAGTTTGCATTCTTTCTGCTGAGACATGTTGGTTGTCGGATGTTCACATCTTATTAACTTGTCCTCCATTATCTGATTCATGCCAATTTTTCCTTTATTTCAACTTGTGAATTTCAGAGAAATAATAAACAAGAAAAGCATTATGGTTGCAAAGGGACGGCTGAATGCCACTGACTCTCCGAAAGTGGAGGTGGGAGAGATAGATACTAGTGCACCTTTTCAATCTGTTAAAGATGCTGTCACTCTTTTTGGTGAAGGTGCTTTCTCTGGGGAAAAACCTGCCGTAAAAAAGGCAAAAGCTCACTCCGCTGAGGTATTTTTGACTCTTTGAAGTTCCCTTTCTTCTTTCACCTGAAATGTTGTGTCAAGGCAAGGTAGTATTAAGTTTTTGAGACTTGGATATGATATTTATGGTACGTTCAAGTTTTTCCTTTCGCTTTCTTATTCCCCTGTTCTCATTCATCTTGAATGATTGTAAATATTTAAAAGTATAACAACCATACAGCTCAGGATAATGAACATAGCATCTACTTTTATTGAAGGCTGAGAAACCTACATAGCAACTAGACCTTGTTAAGGAGCACTATGCCCTCTTTCTAAGCAGTGTTTATTAATATTTTCATTGTTTAATTACTGAGTACAGAATTGGAGCGTCACAGATAGATTGTTGAGAAATCTAATTATATGAAAATTGCATGATCAGTAATGTTTAACTCTTATTTGTTTCTAAAATGTATTTGTTGTTGAGCTGCAGAGAGTCCTCGCCAAGGAGACACAGCTTCACCTTGCTCAAAAAGAGTTGAACAAGTTAAAGGAGCAACTAGAAAATGCTGAGACAACTAAGGCTCAAGCACTTGTAGAGCTTGAAAGGGCTAAAAGAATGGTTGAGGAACTGACTTACAAACTCAAAACTGTTAATGAATCAAAGGATTATGCAATCAAGGCTACAGAAGCTGCAAAGAATCAGGCAAAGCAGATTGAAGAAGCCAACTCTGGTATTCTCCCTGGAACTGATGGTGCTAGGAGCCTGGACTTGGAAACTGCAAGGGAACAATACATGAGCGTGATTACTGAACTTGATGCTGCAAAACAAGAATTGAGGAAGGTTCGTCAGGATTGTGATGCATCCTTAGAAGCGAAAATTGCTGCCTTTAACCAAACAGAAGAAGCTGAACATGCAACTAAGGTTAACATGGAGAAGGTTGGAGAGCTCACTAGGGAGATTTCATATGTACAGGAATCAATCGGACAAGTGAAGCTTGCATCTCTTGAAGCACAGCAAGAACAAGCTAAAATGTTTGCTGAAAAGGATAACCAGAGGCAATTATATAAAGCTACCCTTGAAGAGTCAACGAAGAAGTTGCTTGCTCTAAAAAATAAATTTGACCCTGAGCTTACACGAAATCTGGAAGCACAACTGTCTGAAACGGTCAATCAGATAGGGGCTTTGCAGAAGCAGATGGAAAATGCAAAGGCTTCTGATCTGGAGTCTTTGCGAAGTGTTACTTTAGACCTAGATGGTGCTAAAGAATCACTGCAGAAAGTTGCTGAAGAGGAAAACTCCTTGAGAAGCTTGGTGGAGTCTCTTAAGGTAGAACTAGAGAATGTGAAGAAAGAGCATTCTGAACTGAAGGAGAAGGAAGCAGAAACAGAGTCCATTGCTGGGAACCTGCACGTCAAGCTTCGGAAAAGTAAATCAGAGCTTGAAGCTATCCTTGCAGAGGAATCCAAAACAAGAGGTGCCTGTGAAGAAATGATTTCAACCCTCCAACAACTATCAGTGGAAACAGAAAATGCGCTGCAAGAAGCGGAAGAGATGAAGAAGGAAGCTGAGAAGTTAAAGTTGGAAGCTGAAGCCTCAAGAATTGCACTTGAGGAAGCAGATAAGCTGCTGAGAGTTGCTCTGGAAGAAGTTGAAGCTGCCAAAAAAGCTGAGACAAGAGCGCTTGATCAGATAAAGATGCTTTCTGAGAGAACAAATGCAGCACGAGCCTCAACCTCTGAATCTGGAGCCAATATCACTATCTCCAGGGAAGAATTTGAGTCTTTGAGCCATAAAGTTGAAGAGTCTGATAATTTAGCTGAAATGAAAGTGGCAGCTGCCATGGCTCAGGTAGAAGCTGTGAAGGCTAGTGAAAATGAGGCCCTCAAGAGGTTAGAGGCAACTCACAAAGAGATTGAAGACATGAAGGTTGCAACTGCAGATGCTTTGAAGAGGGCAGAGATGGCTGAAGCAGCGAAGAGGGCAGTGGAGGGAGAGCTCCGAAGGTGGCGTGAAAAGGAACAGAAGAAAGCCGCTGAAGCTGCGTCTCGAATTCTGGCAGAAGCACAGATGGCAGCAGAATCATCCCCACAGCACAATAGAATTCAAAAACAAAACCAACCAGAGAAAATTGTTCAGGTGCAAAAGTTAGAAAAAGAGAAGTCTTCTGTCTCAAAAAAGGTGCTTTTACCTAGTATCAGTGGTATCTTCAATCGAAGAAGGAACCAAATTGAGGGTGGATCTCCCTCTTATCTACCTGGTGAGAAGCCTCTGTAACATTGCATTTGCCAGATCTTTGTACATTTATCAATGTTTGAGAGAAACGTATTTGGTTGTGTGTACATCTGAGAACTGCGGAATCAAATCTTTGTTATTCTTGTCTGTTTGAGGAATTTAAAAGTGGAATGTGTAAGTATTAGTTTGCAAGCAACATGGGGTACCAAGTTCTGTGTACAGGACTAGCGGTGGTTAATGGATGACTCAACATGAATGCTTGTGTATTAGGTGCCAATAGCTCTTGGAAAGCAATGTGGCAGCAATGATATTGATGAAGCTTTGGCAGTAAGCAAATTTAGGCTTTGGTCACCAAGAGACTAGTAGAAACAGCTGGCAATTCTGTTAAATAATATTCATGAGATCAATGAATGCATCCAGGCATCTTCCATGCTTAAGTTGGTGTCTAACTTAAAGAAAGAAAGCCTTCTCCTTGTGAGATTTTAATGCAACAAATTAAGCATTGTCCTAAAACCTTAGCACTTGGTGGTTGAGAAGTCAGGGTCGGATTTTGTGGAAACAACCTTTCACCATAAGTAGTTCGTAAGTTGAGATAGAATGACAATTATCTTGAAACTTATTCAATTTGCATTATTTTGATTGAGTAGGTGAATCCAATTCAATATTCTTTTTAATGAAAGTATGACCAAAGTTGGTATAACTTGGATGAGAGAAAATCCAATAGTATCATAAGAGTACAATAATTATTCAATCTCAATTATTTATATTCACATGTGAATCCTTTTAACCAATTAAATTATTGACCTGACATGGATGGCAAAGGAAGGGAAGTGGAAAAGAAAAGAAAAACATGTTCCTCTTTAATACTTGATTTTTAACAAAACAAAATTAATTCAATTAATTCTATGTAGATGAAGCACTGTGAAGATCAAAAGTACCCTCAAGCCCAAATTTTGAAAATTGGCTTAGAATATGAAAAAAAAAAAAAAAAAGGCTTTAAACAATAAAAATACAAAAACATTTAACTATCAAGTCTCAAGTCAATACAAAATTTAGAAAAACAGTCGTAAATTTTGAAAGTTAGCACACAAATATGAAGAAAAGACCTTTTAACAAGAAAAGTACAAAAACATTAACTCCATGACTGAAAAAGACTTAAAAAATCCAAAAATTAAAATAAATTTTCAAAAACAAAAAAAATAAAAAAAAATTGAAAAGTTCTATTTTAAGTGACAAAAATCTGGAAAAGTCTATTTTTTTCAAGTCCATAAACAAGAAACTTTAACTAAAGAAAAAAGGACTAAGAGTCAATATATAAGAGAAAAAAGAAAATAAAAACTAAAAATCATGTCTTTCCCTTACAACTGGAAACTCTGGAACTTAAAACCTTAAAAAAAAAAAAAAAAAAAAAAACCCATTACCACTTCCTTTGTCTCAAAAGACAACAATCACTTTCTCCAATCAAAAACAAAAAACCTTCCTTTTTCATGAAAAAAAAAAAACCCTTCTTTTCCTTACCCTAAAACCCCTGATTTCTGTTTCCTTTTCTCTCTCTTTGTGCCTTTGAAATGATGTCAAGTAGCAGAGAAAGAGAAGATTCATTGACTTTTCCCATAAACCCATCATCATCCTCATCTCCAATTACACTTTCAGAACACCTTGAGAGTTTTCTCCAAGACCCAACTTCCCACATCGGAAGTGCTTCAGGAAGTTACTCAAACGAAGGTCTTTTAGCTACTGAGATAACTAGTCCTTGTAACAATGATGTTGAGTTTGGTTTCTCGAGGCCTGACTTTCGGCAGCAAAGTCCAATCTCTGGCACTGTTCAGTACTATCAACGCCATGTCTTCCTTTGCTATAAAAACCAATCTGTTTGGCCTCGTAGGATTGAGGCTGCTGAGTTTGATCGTTTGCCTAGGTTGTTGTCTGCTGCCGTTTTGGCTAGGAAGACTGATATGAAAAAAGAGGTTGGTGTGTTTGTGTGTGTGTGTGTTTTTAGAGTTTTTTTTTTTTTTTTTGGATCGATTTTGTTATTTGAGAGATCTCAAGCTCTGGAACTGTTAGATTTCTTGGCTTCAAAATTGTTAACTTTGTATGTTTTTAGGTGAATTTAAGTGGGTTTCTGTTGTTTCCTGGATTGTTTTCATTTTTTGAGTGATCTCAAAATGTAGAATCTTGTGTTTTTTTTTTTGGATTAAATTTCCATTTGTAGTCAATAAAATTGGGTCTTAATTGGTTTTTTGGTGGTCCTTTATGTATGGATTGGCTTTAAATTTTTGCTTCTTTGGTTCTTTTAACAGCAAATTATCACATTGATTCAGACTGTTGTTTTACTTTTTGGTAACTTGAAGTTTGGTGTTTATAGATATGTTTTTGTTTAGGAGACTTGGGACCTTGGAGGATTGCAATTTGATACCTTGTTTGCTGAAAATTTTTCATTTTGATGTCACTTTATGGTAAACTAGACTGGGATTTGTTCTCTTGTGTGATTATGTTTTCTAAATTTTCTAACAAAGTGAAATGTGATTTTTTGTATTTATAGTTTAAAATTCATCATTTCAAGGTGGTTTGCTAAATGGCTGTGTTTAAGAGTGATTTGGGGGTCTGCAATCTGTCTTGTTTTTAGCTTCAAATTTGTCATTACAAAATTTAATAGGTTTCATTACTCTAGAGGATACAATCCTGTTTTTGGTGGTTTGTATGTATTTGGAAGTGATTTGGTGCTCTGCAGATTTGATGTTTTTCCTGCTTCCTTTTTGTCATTTCATGTTGACTAGGTGTTTTTAACTGATGGTTTATGAATAAGAATGATTTGGATTTGATGTTTTAACACACCCTACTTATGTTAAGGTGGGATTCAAATTCGATGTGGTTTTTTAATCAAGATAATCCTATGAATACAAGTTTCACAGTGTGTTAATACACCTTGCTTATCCTGAAGGAGCTAAATAAAAGTAGTTTTCTTTCTTTTTCTTTTGGTTTTTACTATTACTGCAGTTAACTGTTCAACATACAATTCCATCTTTCAACAAATGTCCATGACTATAAAAGCATGTCCATACAGGCACATAATACTGTTATAATGTCGGTTGGAATTACTTTCCCTTTATATCATTTGAGGACAGCACATTGAGTCAATGAAGTGTTCCCTTTTGATTGCACTGTAAATCTTCAATCAACAGGAACAAATATAAGGATTTCACCCTGAAATGACATTCTTTAGAAGAAAGATAAATGATGTGATTGTTGGCTGTTGGTTTATCTGGTCTGATAGGACTTTTCGCCAGTCCTTAAGTTTGGAAGGATTTTAGTGGTGCATAATTATTTGCTAAGAATTTATTGATAAGCATCCCCTAAATGTTTGAGTTTTTGCTTTCCAGCATGCTTATCTACCTCCTTGTCTTCTTTTAGACTCGCTTAACAATATGTGAGGGGCATGATGGAACTGAGACATCAAATGGAGATGTTTTAATATTTCCAGACATGATAAGATACAGGTCCATTGCAAGCTTCATTGAGGTTTCTTTAGATGTTTTTCATTGATCTCCTTTGTTTTCTGCTTTAATACTGATTTCAGTTTAGCTAAGTATGCAGGAGATTGACCCATTTCGATGTTGACACATTTGTTGAAGAAGTTCTTGTCAAGGATGGTGAGTGGCTGCCTTTAACTCCTGAAAAACTAGAAGGATCATTCGTTTTTGTTTGTTCTCATGCATTGCGAGATTTCCGCTGTGGAGTTTGTGGACCTGTACTGGTTACCAGATTCAAAGAAGAGATAGAACTGTATGGTCTTCAAGGTAGAGTGTCTGTTAGCCCATGCTCACACATTGGGGGGCATAAGTATGCAGGAAATGTTATTATTTTTGGATCAAGTATCAATGGAGAAGTTACAGGACACTGGTAGGATTGATTACTCTTCCATTGTCTATTTTGTTGAATCTCCCTTTATTTGTTAATTTAAGCAAGCCTAGTTCCTGTGCTTCTTGTAAATCTTCTACTAGATTGATAACTGAGCCTCTTTTTTAATATTTTCTGCAGGTATGGGTATGTTACTCCAGATGACGTACCTAAGCTGCTAGAGAGGCATATCGGAAAGGGAGAAATTATAGACTTGCTGTGGAGGTGACTTTTCTGGCATCAACTTGCTTCTATACTACATCAACCCTTCTTTTGGTGTAGGTTTCATGTGTAGAATGGAATATGAGAGGATTAAGAATGGATTATGCAAAAACTTAGGTATCTATAAGGTGGGCCAAGCATAGGATAAAAATTGTAGTGGATAGTTTGAATAAAAATAGAATATGATCTTGTAAAACCGGACAACACTCAAGATCTTCATTTTCTATTAGTTGATTAGCCTCATGTAGTGAACAGTGGGGGCTAGGATAGGACCTCGGCTATATTCTTACCAAACAACAAGGATTCTGATTGTAGTAATAGAATTTAACATGCTTACTATGTATTGATAGGACATTTAAATGCTTATTTCAGGGGTCAAATGGGTTTATCAGAAGAAGAACAGCAGAAATGTCAAGAACTAAGGCACCTAGCAAATTGTGAGACCACCATAGAAGGAAACACGAAGGAGGCAACAGAAAGACAAGTGGATGAGGTGAACACGACCGCCTGTAGGTCTCAAGATGAGCCTGTAAGCTGTTGCCAGGGAAATGGCAGTGCTTCTTGTTATCATGACCCTGCACTACCTGAAAACTTGGATATTCTGGATACTGATGAGGGGGCAGTAAAGTTGACAACAGAAAAGAAAAAGGGTAGCAAGAAACCTATTTCGAAGATCACTAATGGCAAAGGTGCTGCTGTGCGCAAGGTTTGTGCCAAGCCAACATGGTTTGAGAGCTGGGAGCGTGAAGATACGTATGCTGCTCTTGCTGTGGTTTGTGCTGCTGCATCAATTGCTGTTGCTTATAGCTGCTATAAACAGCTAAGTTAGAAATTTGATATGTTATTTGCATTGTTGATATTAATCTGATGTTTCGGAGTATTCTCACATCCATCTTAAGTTTGATATGCAATTACTCAGGTGAGGGTACTTGAGTTCTTGCTTTAGCTATGTGTGTTAGTTATGTTGCTGCTAGAATTTCATTTAGCTTCACTGACAACCACATATCAGTATGCTGGTCCAAGACTCTTGTATTCTATTAAATGATATGAAGGGTACAACAGTGGATGAACTTGCAATTGCATCAGATGTGAGGGAATGGTGTACTATATTCCATGTAAAACGGCTCATTTTCCCTTTTCAACAGCATGATAATGATAGTCCCAGTCGACACTTTTTTTCTGCTTCAAATTATCTTGGAAGTCCTAAAAACTCAAAATTTTTCAGGATTGACCTTCATGTAAGAACTTTGAAGTTTGAACCATCAAATTTAAGACTTAATGCAGCACAAAGCTGCAAATTCCCTATTAAAGCATATTATCGTCAACCAATCTTATATGTTAAAGCTCAAGTTGAACGCATGCAGAACAATAGCTAACAGCATTTTCAACTAGCAAAATTGTGTTAGATAAACCTTCACGGGTGCTGAAAAGAAAATTATTAAAGAAGCAATTCCGATCCTACAGATTTCGGAAAAGGCATGTGATATTATTCACCGTAAGGTGGCATATCAAGTTACACCAGATTAGTTGTCTATCAAACCTGCATCGAGCTGATGCAAGAAGGCTCTTTGATAATTGAAATACACGACCTCTCATTCTAAAGTAGTTGATGAGCCTTTTGCCGTCAAGTGCCGACCTTTCATAACATATGTTGGCAACAATTATGTAATCAGTATTATCAAAAATCTAATCACCATTTACTTTAAGGCCATTTAATGAGTTGCAAATACCATTCTGTTCTGCAAGCCTATGGAACTCAGATTCAATGGTCTCTGCAATTTCGGTATCTTCTGGATCCGGCTCAGGAAATTCTACATGAACTGACCCCTGTTTGATCGGCAAACTAGTCTCCATATGCTTAGCTTGCTGCTTTATGTAATTGTAAAGCTGTTGGTGGTAGGTATGATCCAATGAGAAACAATTATCTATGGTTCCATTGCTGCTGTGATGCAAGGATCCGGAACCTTCTTTTCTACAAAAATGTGGGAGGGACGAATAATCCATTATCTGCATAGTTGGGATGAACATGTCAAAAGCTGTAATAATCCTAACAAAGCTGGATCAAGCAGAAAAATATATCAAGTCCAAGCAAGCAAAAACATGATTCACTGAAAAGCATCTATATATACCACGGATAGCAAGAATGAGTAAAATGCCTTGTGCCAACCGATTGAATGATGAACACCCTCATACATTGAGTTATCCATTTTGATTACAAGGAAATACCAAGAGAACCAGTTCAATGAAGCTATCTTTTCATACATCAGATTAAAACAGTACATAAAACTTCGGAAGGAAGTTGGGTTGGGTTGGTGGAAAGTACAAGTAGAGTTCTGTAAAATCCAAAAGACCAATTATCTAAAATAGTTGAATGCAAACTAAAGACTTGCTACAATCCTCTTCAGATAATAGGAGCATAACATTAAAACAATAATGGACTTGTGAGTCAAAGTGGCGATTTTAAGATGAGTGCAAAGATAATGCACTTGAAAGAATAAGAAGCTATTGCTGATATAGGAAAAGGTAAACATGCTTTCAAGAGAGTTTTAAAAACGTGGACGGCTGGGTTTTCTTACTTTCAGTAACTCATCCCTTCCACAACCTTGAAGCACCTGAATTTTCCTCTTCGTCCTTTCTTGTAAGAGAGGTTTTACAGCCTGCCAACAAAGCATAGAAGCATTAGGCTTCTATTTTGTATGAGGTAGCTGAGAGAAAGAGGGAATTAAGAAAAATAAAAACCTTCCAACATGCCGAAAATATGTATGGCGCATTGACAATATAATATGTCTGTGTCTTCTCGGGATAATTCAAGTCATCAATTGTTGATATAGTAGTCAATAGCTGCATTGGCACGCAGGATATGAGACTGATCAGCATTAGAAAGAGGGTTGGCACAGTAATGAGCCAAAAATTCCTAGTCATTTTTATTTATTTATTTTTGGTTGCCCCTTCTTCCTCTGCAGAAAATGAGAGAGATCTACTATCAGGTTAAAAAATAATTTACCATTGAACACAATTCAGACTAGCTGGCCAATCTCAGCTCCTGTTTCCAGTTGACCAGCTTCTAGTGGGGGAAGTTGTAACAATTTACATACTGAGATTGAATCAAACTTCAAAGGCGTTCACATTTCAATCACCCCCTCCCCAAGTATTTATGGAATTTCCTATAGAATCTCATAACAACTTGCACATAGTCTACAGATATATAACAACTAGCTAACAGTCAACTACAAAAGGAGTTTTAAGTTGAATACTAGGAGCAAAATTTAGACCTATGTATAATGCTATTAAAACAGGAAAAGATACATAACTACACAAAGATCAAATAACATGTGAAATCAGGTGGATGATTAAGGGAACTATGTTGGGAGAGAGAGAGAGAGAGAGAGAGAGAGAGATGCAGTTAAAGAGATGGTAAGGAGGTTATGTGATACTAAAATGCACCTTTAGTTGGTTCAATGCTGAAAGTTTCAAACCAGTCATATCCAAAACCTTCAGACATGTACTAATATGTCGTCCATACTTTTCTGTTGCCATAGGCTATAACAAAAAAAAAAAATGTTAGATTACATAAAATGTTAGTAAGTAATCATGTGAGAAACATACATTGGCAGAGTCCATACTCACCGATACTACACGATCTCTATATTCATTCATTTGAATGTGAGACTGTACATAGTAATTAACCTATAACACAAAAGAATTACAAATTTAAGAATCTATAAATAACTCCATACACTGCAGGCTGAAGCACATACATGCACCTTAGAGTCCTAATAGATGCCTTCGACCCCATCACAACTTATTTATTTCCCTTTCTAATATGTTAAGTAGCCAAGTCCCCCAGCATTATAAATAAAACATGGCTATGAGAAGGAAAAAGGGATTATGAAAGAGGAAATAGAATGAAGAATGTTGTATGTCATGGTCAATTTCCAGGAGAAAATGGAGCAAACTGTCAGAGTACCTCATTCCCTCAATTAAATGCTTGAATCATGTGCATTTAGAAATAGAACACAACTTGCTTTGTCCTCAAAAGTTATGCCAGACACAAGGTAATTTTTGTGGAAAAGCATTACTTAAAAGCTCAATAGCAAGTCTTTGAATGATTTCTTTCAAATTCAGTTTCAAAAATCAAACCAGATTCTACATGTTCAAATGCCAAATTTAAAAATAGAACAAGTTGTGATGTCCTCACAGATGCTTTATCATATGTGCTGAGCCCAACACCAATAGCAATGACAGGAAGACCCTGGAAATATCAGAAGACATGAGACAGTTAATCACCAAGGAGCACTTTGAATGTAACAAAACTTTTCCTCCCAAAAAAAGGGATCCCTAATAGCAGTCTATTCTACATATTGTCACAGCAAAACAAATATGAGTTTACCAAATGCACTTGCAGGACAATCACAATAAATATGAATATCAAGATAAATCCTAATGAGATAAGTAAATACCTCTTTTGAGTAACCCGACAATCCGACAAGCTGAGAATCTCGCACTGCTCTATATAAGTCAGTGGGAATAATAGGTTTCTACATAATGAAAAACGTAAAATGAGATACCTGAACAATCATTAATTGCCACAAGAAATCAAGCTGTTTCAACAGCGTGGTTTTGCAATATCATAAACCAAAAAATGTTAGTGTATAATGGAAAAACTCACTGCTAATATGTTGTCAATCTCATTCTGTATTCTCCACTGTAAGCAATCAATTAACTGGAGCAGGCAACAAATTAGGAATTAATAAACAGAAAAAATGAGATCTTTGATGCACAACATTTTATCATAGCTTAAGCGCACCAGATGAATCTCACCATTTTATGGGCTTTCTGAACATTCCAATCTCTTGCTTTGAGAAACCGGACTAAAGTTTCAGTTGGATATCCATGGTGCATGTTCTGCAGACCAAGGTATTCAACTTTAAATTAAATTTTGGTGGATCATAGTATAAAACACATATGTAAAAAGGCTGTGTTCATCCATCCTATCCACACAAGTGCATAAAAACAGGTAGATATACTGCAGCAATACAAGCAGGGCACACAAGTCACGTCAGTGAAAGAACATTATAAAGAACTTAATTCCTTCAGAACAACCCAAATCATTTTCTTTATAAAATGCATTTTCTTTGTCTACACCACACTTAGCTCTAGATACTTTGGGACACTAGTGAAATTTTCATCTCCACTTTGTCTGGTTAAATATCAAAACTACAAATCATTTAAGATGATCTTACAATTCGATTGTACCACCTTTACTGTTGAATGATCACTAACAAGCTAGCATCCTGTTTGAATAACTAATCAAAAAGATCAAACTAGCAATTAGTATAGCTTGTCTATAACTCTTGGACAAGTTATACAACTATGTAACTACCCCAGAAACTAGTAAAAACAGTGCGAGACAGTTCCAAACTGAATCAACTAGAAATTTACAGAACAAAACAAAAAAAGCTTATAACTGACATTCAAGCAAGAGATAGATCAGAATCAACAAAGACAAGAAAACTGTCAAACATGAAATTTCAAACAGCCAAGTACTCAGATCAAGTCCACCCTAGTAACTAAAAGAAACGTAGTCAAATCGTTAAATAAAAAATCTAATTTCCTATTTCTTCTCCCCAGACCCATATCTCAGCATCCAATTATAGAAAAAAAAATCCAATAAACTAAAAAAAACAAAAAAACTAACCTGAAATGTGCCCTTCATTCTCTCATCAACTGTAAGTCAAATTTCCCAAAATGAAAAATGTTAGTGATTTGCAGATTGAAAGAAAAAAGAAAAGAAACCCAAAAAAGAAAATAAAGAATCATTTTTTTATACTTAAATCTCACCATTTTCCATCAAAGACAGAAATTGCTTGATATCTTCTTGATGATCATTGCTCATTTTCTATTTCCTTCCTCACAAACACCAAAAAACAAAACAAAGTAAAGAACAAATTTTGATAACAAAAACCAAAACTTTAACTAAAAACAAAAGCTCTAATTCTACTTAGTTTCTCCCTCTTGCTCTCTTTATAGCTTAAAGTTTGGACATTTAAACTTGAGAATCACCAAAAGAGAGAAAAAAAAAAAAGGACAGAATTTGTTTAGAGGAAGAAAAAAAGAGAATAAAAATTGAAACTTTATTGAAATCTAGGTTTTTTTTTTTTTCTGCTGCTGCTGCTTTAAAAGATCAAAATTGTTAAAGAAAAAAAAAACAGCAACAACAACCATTGCTGTCTTGAATGAATAGTTAAAAATGGAAAGAAATTGGAATTTTAAAAAAAAAAATTTTTCCTTTTGTGAAAGAATAATATTTGGGCTTTAAATTTAATTTGTTTTATGAGGGAAAAAATTAAAATTTGATGGTTTAAAGAAAAGTAGGTATTTTGTATGTTACAACGTATGGTAGTTGTTATGACACATCACACGTTCACAATCACACATAAAAATATTTATTTGTTAAAAAAATATTTATAATATAATATTATTACAAAATACTAAAAAGTATTTATGTGTATTTATATGTATAAACATGGGCATTTAAAAGTATTTACATTTATGAAGTATTTATGTGTTTGACAGTTTAAAGTAAGGTCAATTCATTTTTAATTTCAAAAATTAATCATTAAAACAATTTAATACTTAATTATGAATACATTTAAATTGTAATTAATTCTTCATAAATAGTTAATCGTAGACGTATCAAATTTTATTTTATAATAAAAATAACTATAAACACGCATTTACATGTGTTCAATTATTAAATTTTTTTTAAATTATTAGTATTTTCAGTATGTAGTAAAAATAGCATTAATTCAAAAAAATATTTTAATACTATACTATAAATAAATCATTTAGTATAAGGCATCAATTTCATCGACATGATATTTATGTACTTATTCATTAACCTATAATGTCTTAATATTATTAATTACGAATTAATTTTTGTAAAAACATTCTTAGAATAAAATTATAAATGCACGTGAAAAATATACGTTCTTAAAATCATAAAAAAAAAAAAATTTAGATAAAATTAAAGAATAATAAGATTTTATTACCAAAAGAAATACCATTACAAGATTTTTTTCTTCTTCTTATGTTATATTAATTTTATAAAAAAAATCAGAAAAAAGTCATTTGTGATAATTTAGATATATCAAACGTAAATTTAGTTGTACATCAATTAAGAGAATTAAAATTTTAAATTTAGAATATATCAAAATATTTAACGATAAATCATAAAAGATATATATATATATATAAAAGTAATAAAAAATAATATAATAATTAAAGAATTAGATGAAAAGATAATTTTTAATAAAAATAAATAACACAAAAAATTTCAAATTATAACCTAAATTAATTCTTTTATTTGATTTTTCTTACAATCAATCTCATCGTATGAGATATATAAGACTTAATGTATTATTATTATTGTTGTTATTATGTTTGATTGATTTATTTACTTAATTGATGTTACTTCCCTTGGCACACATCAGAGGGCATGTGTTGTGTCCCCATGCTGCTTGTTTCTAGTTGAGCCTTGTTTAAATGGCTGGCCCTTTCCTTAAACAAATAGGTGATGAAGATTTTTCTTTGATTATCAATAAAAATTCTTAATTGTCCTTATCTTGATTTGCTTTTGTTACAAAACAAAATAAGAATGGTTAAAATGTAAGGCATAAAGTTGATTCACATTGAAAACTATCTGTCACTTAGCTATGCCCTGATGGATCACCTTCCAACTCTTTTCTTCTTTTTCTAAAGCACCACCTGTAAGACATTGATTAATGGTTGTTGTGAAAGACCAAAACTCCCAACTCTTTTTAGCTCTTGGTCAGCTACCATGATTGAGAAAAAAATAGAGAAAATTAAAAATTAATTTAAAATTATAATATTTAGTTTAATTTGGATTAATTTTTTATTTGATTTGAATCAAATTCAGATATTAAATATAAATATTAAATTTATATTAAAATTTAAATCAAAAAAAAAAAATTTGAATTGAGTTATATATTTTTATTGATTTTTTATAATTTTTAAATTTTAAAAAATAAAAATAAAATATTTAAATTTAAAAATTAATAATTCAAACAAAATTGATAGAATTCAATTTAAATTTAATGGATTTAAAGAGAAAATCGATTTAGATTCGAATTAAATTTTAAAAATTTATAATATTACCTATTATTTGAAAAAAAAATGAACAAAATTTATTTCAATTTAAACCCATATCACTCTTAACAGCTAGTTCTTGAGTTTAAGTCTTATATCTTATAATTTTAAGATCAAAAGATCAAAAAATATCATATTATATTATAATTTTAAAATTTTTTAAGTTATTGATTTTTATCAAAAATAATTTTTTAATTTTATATATTTTTATTCATTTTTTTTATTTATCTCAAAAAATTTTGATCTCTAACCTTGTAAAAGATTCTATCAAGGGAAGATGCCTATAAAATGTTTAAGAAAAAATCTTATAAGTTCAATGTTGATTTGCCAAATTAAATTTATCTTGTGACAGCTAAGAAATAAATTAATTAATTAAAAGATGTAAAGCTAGAGTTTTGTGGGTACGGCGACAGAATGCTCTTCACTCTTGACCTTTGTCCAGGAAGTTTCTTGGAAGTTTCATTCATTACATGTTCTTTTTTTTTTTTTTTTAATGTTTATTGCTTTCAAAACTGTTCTGATTCTGCCAAACATGTCAGACAAAAAATATTATTGAGAAATAGGAACATATGCTAAGTTTTGTTGCTTACAAGTAACAAATACGACCAAATTTAATAATTTAAAATATAATATAATAATATAATAAAAATATGATATAAAATATAAATATTAATATGATATAATTTAAAATTTTAATAATAATTATATATAAATTTAATAAAATTAAAAAATATATTTTATGTTTTATATCAATTCATAAATTTTATATAAAATATGATATAATTACATAATTTTTAACATTTACATAATATAAATATACGAACTATTAAATTTAACTATAATTAAAGGTGTGCATAATTAGGTTTTAACTGAATTAACCCATTGAATCACTTTAATTCAGTTATCAAATTAATTTCAATTGATTAACAAAAATAATTTTTAAAAATTTTTAATTTTTAATTAATTCAGTTCAAAAATTAAATTAATCAAATTAATCAAAATTTTTATCAAATATAACATAATTCAAATATAAAATAAAAAATACATGAAATGAATCATTTAATTTCATAATTTATTATAGTTTTTAACATAATATTTTGATATTTGATTTTTTTAAAAAAAATTATTTAATTTATTTAAAATATGAGAAATTAATAATTTAAAATATAATTTAACATAAATAAATTTATTATTCAATTAATAAAAAATTAATAAATCAACCGAATTAAATTTCTATCAATTAATTTTTAAAATTCATAAATTTAATTTGATTAATAAAAATAAAATAATTTAATTTAATTAAATCAATTTTAAATAATTTAATTCGAAATTAATCAAATTAATCAAATGAATACCTTTATCAATGATTCACCTAAACACAAAATAAAATAAATAAAAGAAAGGAACAAGTTTCAATAAGCTAATAGGAATGTTCCAATGTGTTGCTTCCTGCCAAATCAAACAAAATTTCACTGTTTGACATGTGAATTTTTATGATTTATTTCTATTTTCTCAATCTTCATGTGGCTGTTTCACATGTAATGGATATGGGTTCCATGTTCTCCACCAATGTCCTTCCATATTGAGAGGATCTGAAACATAACAAAATCCCATGGATGCTATATTCTGAATTCATTGTTTCTCAGCTTTGATTGATTGATGGGCATAAATTCATTAGCTTTGACATGTATAAAACAATCTGAAAGAAAAGTAAAACCCTAATTTAACTGTGAAAACTTGTTTTAAAAACATGACAGATACAGCAACTTCATGCAATGTGTCATCAATGTCTTATCAACACTTCATGCGTTTTGTTATATTCTTTCCATGGTTTGAGTAGGATGGAATCTCTTTTGATTAGTCACAGACCATCCTTTGTTCCTGCCAAGATAAGCATCCAATCACCTCCATAATTCCACTATATTTCTTTTTATAGTGATTTTGTTGTATTCAAATTTTAATTCTTATAATATTTCTCGTCCGAAACGAATTTTAATTCACAAAATCATAAAATTTTTATTCGTTATGAATTTCTTTATTTAAAAAGAGTCGAAATTAAATATTTTATCTAAATTAAAAGACGAATTTTTTAAAATAATAAAATAATTAATGCGCGATAATTTTTATTTAAATATTAATATATGTAAAATCTCGCATATTTGTTTTGAAAATTTGGTTTTGAGAGTCACTAAGCATTAAAAAAAAGGTCATTAAAGTAAGATTGTAATTAAATTACTTGGTTTAAAGCTTGAGGATGCACTTAATCAAAACTTGCCAAGTATGCTTGCTAATGTTGCATGTCATTTCAGGAATAAGATGCTCCAATAATTAAAAATTGCATGTGTTTTGTTGATTTTGGTGGGATTTAGTTCATTATTCAAAACATAAAGGCAGCACTAATAGATCCAATAATAATAATAATAATAATAGAAAGTAAAAATCTTGTTACCCTAAAAGTTTCAAACCGTAATAAGATAATTCAATCTTACTCAAAATGGGCAAGTTAAAGAGCACTTAAGATCATGGCCCCAAAAAGAAAAGGTAGCAATCCAACTTCAACAAAGGTGGGGGAAATGAAAAGAAAAAAGGGAACAGACTTTGTGCATATAATTCCTGTAACAGTTTTCATATGATTGTTGTTTTGTATGTCTGAGATGTTTTGAGAGGATGTGATGTTACTTTGTTAAGGATGGAAAGATCTTTTCTTCCATTTCCTTTTCAATTATTGAAGTTCCTCAAGTGGGAAGAATGAAGGGAAAAGTATAGCCTCTTTGATCTTTTAGAGGATCTTAACCAAATGAAATGGAGGAAATGGAAACCTCAGGGACTGAAAGTTTTGGTTTTACCTTATTGTATCTGTGTGAATCGCATGTTCATGAATATTTTGAGAGAGGCTTAAAAATGAGTTTCCAACATTGAAGAGGGACAGAGGGGCAGAAGAGATGGTAAGACACTTGCAAGATCTTTGAACATTTGATCCTTCTATAACATCTTGGAGAAAATCAAGACAATAGCCTTTAGGGAAGCTACAATTCTCATGAAAAGATATATTGCAGAACCAACATGATGTTTTTCCACTTAGCACAGCATCAACATTTCTCTCAAATTGAAAATAGAAAGGAAAACAGACAGGAAAATGGTGCTCAGAATGATTAAAAGAAATCAAATTCCAGATAGTTATTCTGATCCTTGGCAGCAGGAACAACAGCTTTATCACCAGCTGATGATGTCGGGGCTGGAATCCGCTCGATCTCAACTGGTTTTGGAATCTCCGGGGGACTTGCACAACGAATTAAGGCCCAATTTACACCTTCAAAGAAAGGATGTTGCTTAATTTCTGTAGCTCCTCGCTTATATGCCAATCTATGCTGTGGCTCTTTGACCAGCAAGCCCCTTATCAAATCTCTAGCTGAAAAACTTACTACTGGTGATTCTGGGAATCTCAAGGGCTGCCCTACAACATTGAAGAGGGTTGCTCGGTTCCCGGACCCTTTGAAAGGAGTTTTACCAAACAATAGCTCATATAAGAAGATCCCAAAAGTCCACCAATCAACAGCACTTCCATGTCCCTCACCTTTGATAATTTCAGGTGCCAAGTACTCATGGGTTCCTACAAAAGACATGGAGCGAGCATTGGTTGGCTCAGCAATAAGCTCAGGCAATGGACTGACTTGGTTCCCCATTTCATTCTTCAGCTTGCGGTCTTTTTTCGGTTTTGATGAGAAGAAGCGGGGTGAAAAACATGTTGTAGGGGCCACACATGATGGCTGGATGCAGGAGGGCTCAATACAAGCTGGTTGTACACAATAAACTGGATTCTTTCGCAAGGGTTCAGACTCAAGTGTGGTTGACTTGACTAGTGTTGGGCTGACAGCACAACGGAGGGAAAGATCAAAGTCGGAAAGCATTATGTGTCCATCTTCTCGAACAAGAACGTTTTCCGGCTTGAGATCACGATAAACAATACCAAGCATGTGGAGATATTCCAAAGCAAGAAGAACCTCTGCTACATAGAACCTGCATATTTAAGGAAAATATAGCAATGACTATCAGAAATTGGTTTCAACCTATTGTCATCAAGTTATAAGGAACAATCAGTTTTTGTCACACAATTATTAAGTAAATCAGAAACCTTCAAAAATATCAACGTTTTAACCACAGGGTAAAAGAAAGGCAAAGTTGTGTTGTTATATCCAACTCAACCTTTTAATTTGAAACAATTCTTCAAAGACACTGACCCAGTAATGTGTTAAAAGGGGACTAAATAAAGTCTAGGTTAGTATGGTCATAAAGCAACCCTTTGGAATTATCACAATAAATTATTTCAACCAACAATTAGCCAAAATATCAACCAACAATCACTATATGTAAGTTCCAAAATGGTTGTACCTTCCCACCATATACCAGAACCGAAAAGTGACAATCTATATGATGGTGCTGATGCAATCCTAGTTTTTTACCTGCCTGTTGGTTCATATACATATCATCAGTTATAACAGATAAATCTACCGTGCAGCATGGCAACACAATGATACTGAAAGTAATACTAATACGAATACCAATAAAAGATAGGAATAACAATTAAATATTCTAGAAACTTGATCCACTTTTAACTCTAAAGAAGTTATAAATAGGAGTAATTCTCATACTTTACTGCTTGCTCAGTAAAATATTTTCCTGGTTGTCTTTGTCGTAGTGTATGCAAATCACCCCCAGGGCAGAACTCCATCACTAAACATGAAAATTTATCAGTCTCAAAATGGGTATACAATGTTGGAAGGAAGGGATGGTCCAGGGATTGTAGTATTTCCCTCTCTGTTTGAGCTCGAAGAAGTTTCTTACGACTTGCTAAAGATGCTTTGTCCATCACCTTCATTGCAAAATAACACTTTGTTCCACTTAATTCTGAAAGATAGACGCTTCCAATATCCCCACAACCTAATCTCTTTAGTAATCTGAAATGGTTCAAACCCAATACACCATCTTTTGCTCGGACAGCCTGTATGGCTTCCCACCTTATATCATTTGCCTTATGAGGCTTGTTGATACTGCTACTTAAGCTGCTACAAGAACTTTCATCGCTTACATCACTGCTTGTGCTACCTCTACACATACTGCTCTTACCACTCTCAATATAATCTGGACGATCACCAACTTTGGCATTTCCACAAGTCTTGACAAGACTGGTGGCCCCATCACTGGATTTAGCTGAAGCTGAATTAATTCCATGTTCTGATGCTTTCGTTTCTTGTTCACCAGAACCTTCTGGCAATCCACCAATCTGACTCACTTCAGAATCAACAAGATTTGGAACTTCTTTTGGATTACTCAACGATAGACCTGAATCTACTTTCTTTGTCAAGGAATCAATGGACTCTAATTTATGAGGTTTCAATGGTTTTATATCCTCTGTGATTTCAACAGAATCTTGCTTGGATGCAACTTGCTGCACACTCTTAGGTACTGTCCTTGGTGTAACCGGCTCCGATTTGCTTGTCTTTGTGTTTTGTATAGGAGTAGGCCGACGAGAATTCCCTTCAGCTGTTTGGTTACCAAATGGTTTCTTCTGCTTTTCTGGGAAAGGTCTGGCACCGGATTTTGAGGCCATCGAAAGAAGGAAAACTTGTTACTTTGATTGGACTATATACAAATCCATTACTTAACCCCAATCATAAATGCACAGTTCCGTCCACCAGCAATCCTAGTTACTTCCATCTCCAACAACAACATCAAACTGATTTTGACAGCTGAAAGAACAGAAAAATACCACCTGCAAGCAAAATTTTCACGACCATGAGATATTCAAATTCATAGTATGCCTAAATAAAAATCTACTAACCACAACTGGTTGCTTGGTTTATTACATCAAAACATTAGGAGAACCTAGAAAGGACACTGTAGTCCTCCAGGTGATCCATAATTTAACTATCAAAACCAGATCAATACAACAGCCCTTTCCAGATTAAGTGAAGAACTAGACAATCCAAATCCAGAAATTGGCACCTATAACAACACCTTTACCTGGATAAACTTTACCATTTCATCTGAAATTAAGGATAAACAGAAAACCAAATAGGAAAAAACAATGAAAAGTGGCTAAAACAGACAAAATTGCATGCCGAACCAGATCAAGACTATCTCCAAAAGCCAACCAAAAAAAAAAAAAAAAAGCCAACAAGACAACTTTCAACAAATTCATTGTGGTAAAAAGGAAAACAGCTAACTACCTAGAAATGCAATCCTTTTTAGTCACCAGGATTTAAAGGGCCAGAGAAATAAAAAGGAATTAAGAAACAATCGAATCAAAGCAAAAATGCAGTCATTCATAGTTCTCTAAACACAGAGAAAAAAAAGGCCAAAGAGGAGAAGGTAAGAACAAAGTAAAGAAGATTCAATAGAGATCTCTCAAAAAACACAAAAGACCCACCTGTGGATCCAAAACCCCACTAAGAACCATATGCTAAAAACAAAGTAGAAGCTAAAAAAAATCCAGTAAGGAAATCATAAAAACAGTTAAAAGCTAACAAAAAAAAAAACTTTGAAAAGGAAAAAGAAGTACCTGAATATAGTTTCAAAGATCAGAAATTTAAAAGGCCTTTGCTTTAGAAGTGGAGCAAAAAGAAACCAACTTTCTCTCTCATTCAGACTAAATTACTGTAGAGAGAGACATAATATAAAAAGAAGTAATATCTTCCTCATCTTCCCTGAAAATATGTGGAGAGAAAAGAAAAGAAAAAAAAAGGAAGCGAGAAAGAGAAAGACTTTAAAAGAGAGAGAGAGAAAGAGATGAGCTTTTTGACAGAGAGTGTGTTGGAGGGGTTGGGTCTACCATGAAAAGAGAGAGAAAAGAAGGGTCAAAGCTAAAGTAAGCCTTTTTGGTTCTTGGAGGGGTCGTTCAATTATTTCAATGCATGTATTTTGTTCTTGTCCTTGAAACGACAACAAAGGCAGTAATTAAAAAATAAAATTATAAAAAAAAAAAAAAAAACAACAACACATACTCCAACCTGTCTTCTCCTATGCCTTTGAGCCATTTTATATTTTATCACAATAACAAATATGCTTTTTGTATGTAAAGATGTGAGATTGAATTTGATAACTAAAACAAAAACATTAATTAAAGGAGTGATATTTGAGGATTAAACTTGTTGGGAATGACCAATGGTGACCCTTTGTTTTGGCCCCCTTTAAATTTGAGTGGTCCATAAACAAACACAGCCTTGAATTTGCTTTTTTGGGTTGTTATTGATGAGCAAGCTATGGACATATCATGGACCATTTTAAACTTCACTTAATTGGTCTATGATGAAATAAGATCAAATGGCTAGGATTCATATCCTCCTAATTATTACTTTGGATGGGCAGTTACCTACTCAAGTTTGGCGGGGAATTTCTTTGGAAAAAATTTAATATATATAAACCATTGTTTGAACTTAAGGTATTTCGTATTTAATATATATACGGACGTGAATATAAAAATTTAAATTTTAATAAATATAAAAATTAAAAAATTATAAATATTTATATTGAATATGTACTCATATATGATATTAAGGTTTCATTTGGAATGCATCAAATCTTCAGTGACGGTGTAATTATTATAAAAAATTATACCAACAATAATTTTAATATCCAAATATTATTGTGGTGTGTTGAAATTTTCGTCAGTTTTTAATCGGAGTTGAAGGTTCCAATTACTTCAAACGCAGTTTCTTCTTTTTTTTTTTTTTCATTTTTCTTCTTAAGTTAACAGCTTTTAATATTTTTTTAAAATATTTTTTTCTTATTGTTTTACTTTTTCCCCAAATTATAATTTTTTATTTAAAAATTATAAAGTAATTTTGTTATTTTAATATAAAAATAAATTTTATTATATAATAAATTAATTAAAAAATCATTTAAATTTATTTATTAATAAAACCATTATTTGATTTTAAAATAATTTATTAATTATTTATTAATTTTAAAATATGAAATAATTTAAAATTTTTTAATATAATTTTAGTTAATATATTTAATGTCCGTCTTTTTTTTCTCAATATAATTTATTTCGTCATTATTGTTTCTTTTGTATCTAAACACATATTTCACTACAAATTTTAATCTCAACGTTATAATAATTAATCTTACCTTCATTACTAATTTTAATCTTATCAAAACTAATCCACTATTCATCCAAATCCAAATAATTACAATCTTTTTTGAAAGAATTTTAACAAAGAAGAAACCTAACACCCTTTTTGCATCATTGAATTGGATTTGAAATGTTTAAAATCAAAGGACTAACAATTGAAATCTTCCCCTTTTCCAGCTAGATTTGATGCTGCAACTTGCACTCATTTTTTGGCAAATAAGAGGACGCTTATTTAATGCCATGAATTTGATCACAAAACTCAAAATGGAATGAAATTTTGGTGCTTTTCTGGATAAGGGGATTTATTTTCTTTAGATTTTTATCCAAATTCAATCAATCAAAGTTCATGCACTTTATTTGATATAATCATTTGAAGAAAAAAGAATTCAAACCATTTTTTTAATAAGAGACATTATACATTATATATAATTATTGAATCAAATATTCAAAATTTACATAAAAATTTAAAAAAAATCCTCTGAAATAAGCATCTAGATTACTTATAAATAAATAATTAAAAAGAGAATCGCAATATTATTGTTATTGAATTATTGTTGAAGTGTGAACAAAACAATTTTCAATCAAATTTCATAAATTTTGATTTGCCAAATACCTAATTATGTCTCCTCTGAAACACAAAGATCAGATTTGTCACTTCATGTTAACCTCTAATTTATATATCTATTTGCTTGTCTTATCCTGTTTTATGGTCTAGATTTTTTAGTGGTTTAGTGGGACAAAGTAGTAGTTATATAGGGTGATTTAATTTCAAAGAAAATGTAAAACTTTGGGACTGACCCATTTGGTTTAATTGCCATTTTTTCATACACCCTCCATAAAATCAATAAGTCTATAAACTTTTGTATGGTCTAGTTCAAGAATTTGGTGTGAAAAATGATTAAAAAAAAGAAAGAAAGAAAGAACTTGGCAAAGTGACTCAATCCATTTTGACCCTGCCTAACTGGTTGGTGGGTCAGCTTTGGATGATTATTTTCATTCTTTCACATTTTAATTGTGTTTTTGTCCTTGCCCTTAGGTGGCCCAATGTGCATTCATATGATATAGTTGGAATTGACAATGAAATTGTTCTGGATTTGACCCTTGTAATTCTTGCATTATATATGTTTCTTTTTCTCTCATATCTCATTCTTGAGTCCAATACCACACAATCATTGAACTGCATAAGAAATTAGTTTACTCCAATATAATTGTAACTTGTAAAACATTGAATGAGATAACACAAACTGACTGTCCCTTTCATCAGTTAACATGTTATTAGAATTAATACTTGGAAGTTACGACTTTGACAGAACTTATACGTGTAATGTTCTTTTCAATCAGGTAAATAGTAAGGTACAAGGAGTTTAAGAGTAAATTAAGATCTTTAAAAAAAAAAAAGAGTTAGCATAAGTAAGATGAATCTAAAAATAAATGTACCATTCATTACTATATATAGGTTATCCAGGCAAAGATTTGTTAATTTGTTCCTTGATTGTATTTTATTAATACCAATATATATATATATATACTGATTTTTGCTAAATATCAAACCTGAGTAATTCTTCTAATGCAAGAAAATATGATCTGATGCATAACATAATTTGCATTCAAGATAAGTTGAAGGGCTGAAGAATTAGCTATTTCATAGGGTCAAAACCATTGATCATTGTATTACAGCTAAAATATATAATTCAAGAGAAAAATGCAAAAAGCTCATCACCAATAATGGCTCTCATTGCACATTAACTTACAAAATTCTAATAGAGAGGGATTTAGACTGTCCACTGCTTCTATCATCCTTAGTATCATGAGAGCTCTGTTATCACACGTTCACACTTGTCTTCTAAAATCTTCACAGCTTCAGTAAATAGTACTTCAGGAGGTAATGCTCCAGTTGATTCAATTGTGACTAGAAATGGGGAGAAAACATAAATTAGAACTCAAAGTTCTTACAGAATTTTCACATAAAGCTTGAAAGCTGCTACTTATGTTACTTTGAAAGAAAAGATACCTGGGATTAAGCTTAAGTTACTTTGAAATCATCAAAAACATATTAACCAAGCACTAGCATCAAAGAAATCTAGAAATAATCTGAAAACTATCCATACAAAAGGTGTAAAGTAGCCCTACATTACTTACATATGAAATGATCTCTAACACGACGTATTGCCACACGTTTCTCCCATTCATCACCCCTTATGCATTCTCTACAAAGTGTGCAAGCTCGTGGCCTTGCTACAGTTGCCCTTTTCCTACCTGCTTAGCAGCCAAATTATTCATCAGGAAATGTGTCTAAAAAAAAAACACATCTTGTAATTTCACATGTTTAAGCATACCAAGCAGAACCAGTCAGCACTATCAGAGCTAGTGACCCAACTATTATAGGAATATAATCCACATTCAGTCTAGGATTTCTGGAAAACTCTTTTATAGGGAGGGAAAAAATAATGACCAAAATTTTCACTATATAGAGAACAAATCATAGTGAACAAGATTACTTCACCTTTTCCAAGATCTTCTATATCAAATACATTAACTGGGCATTTGCTTTTGAGTTCTTCGGCAAGGTCATCTTCTACCTCTTCCAATAATACAACCTAAATATTTATACAAGAAAACAACTTGTAATAATATAACGTAAGAAGAAGAAGAACAAAGGAAAGAAACGCACAAGGTTTAGTAAAGAAGAAATCTACAGTTACAGTCCATCCTCACCTCTGGAAGCATTCGATACCAAGCAGTTGCCACAGGAGACCACTTTGCATGTGTTTTTCCCATACCCTTAACCGCATGCACTTCCAATTCAATTTCCTAATAAAAATTAGGTAAGTTTTAGTACAGTGGAAAACCTCAACAAGAATTAAATTACCTTCTAACAACTTCAAAGCAGATCCTGAATTAATGAGAAACAGTACACCAAACCTTTTCGATCTACTAGCAACACAGTAAGCTCAACAAAGACATTAGATCTAAACCTAAGGCATGATATGTCATGTAGACATGTTCTATGAGCAGTTACAGAAACAAACATAAGCATGTAAAACATACCTGTCCAGGGCCAAGTTTAGCAATAATAATATCTGGATGCCTAGGGGCAATGGGGTTCTTGGCAAATTCTGACAAGGTATCTTGGCTACAACTGAAGGAAGTATAAGTTTCAGGTTTAGATGATGAATCTGAAGTTGCATTTCTTGATTCCTTAACCAGTTCACTCCCATTAGGCAACCACTTTAAGTCATCCGATTTAACTGCATTACACATCTCATCATCATCAGAATAAGCCAGACGAAGCTAACAAGGGAAGACTGATTAATTTTCATTGAAGTAGAAGGCTTTATCTTTGATACATAGAAAACAAAACCGTACCTGTGAAACGTGGACTACCTCGTTTGCATTGAACATGGAGCTTGAAAACAATGGTGTTCTTTTCATTTGGCTGATCATTTTCTACAATTAAAAAGAGACAATAGGAAAGAATTAGCAAATACAAAAAGGGAGACTCCATAATTTCCTTTCTTCTCCAGAATATTAAACAAATAAAATATTTGAACTAAACCTGTCATATATTCAAAGAGCCTTGGATCAACACTAATTGGAATGAGACCCAACCTATGGGCAAGAACTTCATCTTGGATTATTGATGTGTTGTTTGCAATGAGAACCTTTTCAATTGCCATTGTTGGAAGCTGCAAGCATAATCAGCTCTATTAGTACCAGCTCAGTCAATATGCAGCAAACTAACTTAGTATATGATAGCACTCAATAACATCATTATCATCATTGACCTAAAAGAGGTACTCCAAAAAGGCACAGACCTCAGCTATGAGGATCCTCCGGAATGCATTGGCAATAGCTGCATCAATACCAATCATATCGAACTCCATGTCCTCGTCAGTGAGTCGAACCACTTCTACTCTAAAGTTGTGGCAGAAATGATCAAGTCTTAAACTATTATCAAGTCCCATGGATGCATAAGCACCAGAGTATTGCACACTCTCTGTCTACAAACATCAGAGTATCAAAACACAAAGAAACACACAAAATTCAGAACTTTAAGACAGAACAGCGTAGATAACACTAAAAATTAAAACCCAAAAAAAAAAAAAAAGAAACAACTTCATTAAACCCAAAGGAGAAGGTCTGGTCTCCAAGCATCCCAAACAAGGAAAAAGTTTGATCCTTTGTGTTCACCAATTAAAACAAACCCCAAAAAATCATTTTTTTCTCCATAAATAAATAAAGGGTATTTGTAAAACTTCTCAATCTGAAAATACAAACTTGATAGGAAAATAATAATGAGTGACTGATATAAAGAAAAGGGTAAGAGAGAAATACATGAATAGGGGCATCCTTGTTGCATAAAACACGACTTCTTTGGAGTTCGAGGTGTGGTGGCAATTGACCCATTGGCACATCTGGCAAATCCCAAATTGAAAATTTATTCTTTTCTTCTCCTCTCCCCTCTTCTTTCCCAGCCATTGCTTATTAGCTCTAACTGTTAGGATTTTAGGGTTTAATTAATTGAGAACTGAAGAAAGAATGTGTCTAGGCTTTTAGTTGTAACAAATAAGAGGAAAAACATGAGTTTTATTAGGGTTTTAGGATTTTGAAGAAACCAAAAGGAAATCGCCTGGCCCAGCCCCGCCCCCAGCAAATAGTTTATATAAGGTGTAATCATATAATAAGAAATTTGAGCTCGAATTTCAGCTTAAATCAAAATTCGTTTAAAATTATTCGGGTTGAATTTTAATTTTTAATTTAAATTGATATATATAATAAAATATATTAAAATTTAAAAATTAAATTAAATTAATTAATTATTAAATAAAATATTAAAATGCTCAAATTCAAATTTTATCTTAATTGAATCTGAATAATAACATATCATTCATAACTTTTTAGCTTTTCTTTTTAAACGAAAGCCCAAAGTTATATCTTTTGATTTTCTTTTTCTTATAAAAAACTTATATCTTTTGCATAACAGAGGATTTTTTACTGAAAGAAAATAAAGAATCTTTTGATCAAAAGGTTATATACCATCCACTTTTACTTTCAAGTTACTTGATTTTTAATTCCAATTTATTGAATTCAAAAAATAAATAGAATACATTTGGCTACAAAAAAAAAAAATGAAATCATATATGTCATTGATTGGTGAGTTCAGGTTTAGCATTAAGGAGCAATATTGAATTCAACAGCGACGAGTGTTAAAACAAATGATAAGATCAAATAAAAACGATAAAGTTTGGTTAAATAGAATACAACTAGTAAGCATCCAAGTCACTCATCCACTTTAATGCATATCACTACAAACTAAGATGTGTCCCAAAAGGAATTTATCATTCTCCAGCCTTCTGTTTCCTTCCTCGCTTCTTGTTTTCCCTCATGGCCTTTCTCTTCTCTTCCCTGCAAGAATTTGGCAGGAAAAAAAATGAACAAGATCTCTAATTTAGCTCATGCTTCATGAAGAAATAACATATCTACCTTGAGATAGCTATATCTACCTTGCTTTGGAGATTTCCTCTTTGGAGGGAAATTTTCTTTTCTTATTTTTTGATGTTGATGGCGATTCTACTTTCCAGTTTTCGGTTCTTCCCCTCTTTTTTGATGTTGGAATTGATTCTAACTTTCCATTTTCAGATAAACCATTCTTCTTTAAGCTCTTCTTTTTCCCTTTAGTTCCTTGTTTCTTCAAGTGTTGTTCAAGCTCTTTTATGTTGTCCTTGTCACTCCAAGTCTCCTCCGGCCCCTGAGTTTGCTCTACTGTTTCTGCATCTTCAGAACTTATGGGGTTCTTCTTTGCATTGCTCATTTTCTTCAACTAAAGAAAGTCGAAGAGGAACGAAAACAATATATAATCAGTAAGCAAAAGGTGCTGGAACTGAAGATCACTTAGGGTAAATGAGATTTGGCATTTTAAGTTCAACATATACCTTAGCCACAAAAAATCCATCCATATTGTGGACATGAGGATAAAACCGCCTTGTGTTTTCTAAGGATGTGTGAAACCGATTCTCCCTAAATCGGATATATCTGGTTGAAGAAATGAAACAACATTAGATACAGAAATCAGTCAGGTTCAGTTGGAAGTTCAATGAAAAAAGAAAAACTGATCATTACCCGGGACAGCCAAAGTCAAGTCCACATGGTACTACTTTGACATCTCTCTTCTTGAGTGCATAGTCAATGACCGCTTCGTTCTATAAAGATAAAGGTCTAGATAAGAAAAAGAGAGGACAAAAAGTGCACGGTAGGAAAACCAGAAGGGCATCCTTAAACAAACCTCTGGAACCATCATAGAGCATGTTGAGTAAACAATGTATCCACCAGATTTGGAATTTGCATCGACCATATCAATAGCAGCAAGTATCAGTTGCTACAAACAAAAAGATTTTTTATTCACTTTAGCATTTGCAACATATATTTATAACAAAAGGATCAACTCATCCCCTTTTATGTTGACTTTGAACTCAGGAGGATTATTGTAGTTCCCAAATACAACCAAAGGGTGAAAAGCTAACGCACCTTCTGCAAATGGGCACATTTTTGTATATCGTCCAAACTTTTAGATGTTTTAACAGATGGATCTTTAGTTATAACCTGAGCCATAAAGTAGATATCGTTCAGTTCAAGAAGAAAACAGTGTGCAATCCACCAAATGAGGAACAAGGTTTCCACAGATGCTTACTCCTGTACCACTACAAGGGGCATCCAACAACACTCTATCAACTGAGTTCTGACCCAAAACCTTGGGAAGCTGAACGTTACAACAAAAAGCAAAGGATTAGACAATGTCCATTCTGTCTCCTATCCTAAGTGTGTATGATCCACAAGAAAATACAAAGGACAAGTTCATGCAATTTGTTTAAAGAAAAGGAAGGATAAAAAATTCATCAATTTATGCTTTCAAAGCCATTGAACTTGAAACATTATACTGTCAAATTTTCATAATTAGTATTGTATTATTATTAGTGGCAGAAAGATGCTAACCTCCCTTCCATCATAATTACAAACTATTGTGTTTGTCACCCCCATGCGATGCAAATTTGCAGTAAGTGACTTCAGTCTTGCTTCCCTTATTTCATTTGCATAAATTATTCCTGGTCACAATACCAGCAAAATATTACAAAAGGAATTCGGAAACAACTATAAAAGATATATTGAATAAAGAGCATACCTCAACTATAAAGGATAATTATTTATGATTATACAACTAACTTGGCCTAAGGAAAATAGACTGTAACGCACCACTATTTTTCATGAGTGCAGCAACATAAGTTGTTTTACCACCGGGTGCAGCTCTGCAACAGGTACAATTATAATCAAAATGGAGAAAACAGTGATTGCCATTACTAAAGATAGTTTTTATTTTTAATGGGATGTTTATATATGCAAAACCCAGTTGAAGCAATTTATCCTTATCTAATATTAATATGGAGCACTTGACAGGCATCATGGCTACCAAGAGGGGAACAAACTAGTAGTTATATGAATGTTTGGGATTTTACACTAGTCCTACTATACACTATATAGTGTGTAAATGCATGTCCCTGATGGTACATCAAGACTTCAGGTTGAGATTATATGATCCACACACCCGTAAACATTAATGAACCACCCAAATCCAATTTAACATCAACTAGTGTCTGCCCCAAACCACAAACTTGAGTTTCAGTAATCAGTATTTTTTTTTGCTTAATCAGATGGATTAGCCTTAAAATGTCAGAATGGCATGTATGCAAATCTTATAACCATGTCAACAGAAAAAAGAGTGACTTTGCTAGCACAAAGCTGAAAGACAGATATTGTAAAACATCACTATAAACCCCCAACACCTGTTTTCTAGAATATGGTTCACAAGGAATTCTTCAATCATAACACCACATCTTTAATAAAAAAAAATCAACAAATAAAAAGGCAAGGCAAAGATACGGATAGCTAACAGAACGAGTAACTTACGCCATATCAACTACGCGTTCCTTTTCCTGAGGAGCAAGAGCCATAACCGGCAAAAAGGAGCTTGCACCTTGTATCTGTTTGAGCAAGAAAAAAAGGTAAATGAAAGTGCAACAACTTTTTTTTTACTAAATAATTACATTTAGGATAAAAAAGTACAATGAAAGAACACACACATAGTAAAAGCCAGCCAAATACTCTGGAGTGGCACCAATGGGCACATGCGAGTTATACACCACCAACCCAACCTACAAATACAAAATCACTATTCCTTATATACTCCATTAGGAAAAAAAAAACAATTTTGAAAAATGAAAATATAAATAAGGCAGCTCTTACTTTTGACCACTTGCTTAATTGGTCTAGTTCTACTCCTCTTTTGGAGAGAACATCAGCCAGATCTCGTCTACGTGCCTGCACATAAAAGGTGATTATGGCTTTAGATTGACTAGAGAATTGCATAAAAAGTCAAAGATGAAGGCAGCAACATAGAAATGTAAATTCACCCTTAATGTGTTCGTCCGAATACATGTAGGTCGAGGCTTTTCAAAAGCTTCAATAAGTTCCATGAGTTCAACAACTGGAAACATCTGTAAAAGTGATGGCTGGTGTTAATATAATAATTGATCAGTAAACATATTGCTCCTACAAGAAAAGTAGAATACCCCCCCCCCTCTCAAAATAGGGAAGAAAAAGAACCATGTAGTGCAAAAGGAAAATGTATTGTAGACGACATATTGTAGAACAAGATGATCTTACATCCACCAAAACCCCAATCAGGAATTCATTGTAGCCATAATATGAAGCCAAATCCATTTTAAGTTGCTCAATATAATCCTTTCTTGTGGTTCCCTCTTGCCTCAAATCCTTAAAATTTGAGAGCACTCGAACAACTACAAATAAGTGAACAAAATCTTAGCAAATTGGATCATTAATGGCTAACCATGAAACAGATAAAATTAGCAGAAAAAGTTACTCACTCTCTTTTATTCTCATCTGAAGATTAGCAAGATCAGGTGGATGTTGTTGCTCAGCTTCAAGTTCCTGAGTGATTACATAAAAGGAAGGAAATATAAGCACCTTAACAGAATTAAACTGATAATAACAGCACATACAATCAAATTCAATGTAAGACCTCTTTTGTTGGCAATCTGAACTCATCAGACTCTTCTTTAATGTTCAGCTGCATTTCTGCCTGTGCATCCTCTTCTTCCCTCGCCCTTTGTTCATCAATTGCCCTAGACTTCCCCTCAATATCAGTTTCATCTGAATCAGAATCTGAACCTGAAGTAGAACGTGAATCTCCGTCTGCAACAATATGATAGCACAATGACCACCATCAGTCAGACTATGAAAAATGTGAAATTTACGAAACATACTAATATTTTTGCAATGCTACTGCATGAAAAGCTATGTCGCTAGGCCTCGGGTATGTTTCTGACATGATTAAGTTCAATTTTTACTTACTTTTCCTTGTATTTGGAGTGTCAGTGCCCCGCCTACCAATGTCCACTTTCATGACATGGGAACTTGAAGATCAAGATTGATGCAAACTATAATTTTAAGATTGTCATTCACAAGCTCATCAACTACCATGACTAATACGTATTTTACACCCAGAACAAATTTGTGCCTCCTTGAAGCTCAAAATCATAAAACTGTACGGCCTTAAATTCAATCTAAGTAATTTATTTAAAGAACTTAAAGGGAAAGGACAAAGCCGGTACCTTCATCATCATCATCTCCTTGGAGGAAATCATCAGCCAAGGGAACATCATCATCATCCTCATCTGAAATTTCAGAGGCATCATCAAAATCAGAGACTTGTTCATCTCCATCCAATAAGTCTTCAGCTTCTATTTCTTCTTCTTCTTCTTCTTCTTCTTCACTGTGGTTATCATAAACATCATCAAAGGCCTCCTCTTTTTTGTTGGGTCGCTTTTTTTCAGTGAAAAGATCACTTCTTTGCTTCTGCTTTGTAGGTGGGTTCCTTAATTTTGCTCCTTTGTTCTTATTAGCCGCCATTTAAAGCTGCAAAAGAACACAGAGAACCTTGAGCTCCTCTATCAAATTTAAGCCATACCTAAAGTAATACTGAATTTTTACCTGAAAAGTAGGGTTTTTGCAGCCTCTCTGTTCTTGGGTTGCTAGGGTTTAAGTTTAAGGTGTTATATATGTAATAATAGCACTGAAACATAAACAAACGACTGACCTGATAGGAACAGGAAGACCCTGTTTTTTGGGCTTGTTTTTAAGGTTAAAGTTTGGACTTCATGATTTTGGGCTTATGGAAATTATTTTTAATTAGATAAAAAATAATATTAAGAAAATTAAAAAAAAAAAAAAAGGAATAAAGTCTGTTTCTTTTATGCCCCTCCATAACTTTTAGTTTCCTTAGATATTCAATTTTTTATTATTTCAATTATAAAAAATGGAATGAAAAAATAATTATTTTTTCTGCTTTTTTTAAGCATTTATCATGAATTTTATTTTACTAATGTTTGATATATATATTTTACCGAACAAATTACGTAGTTTTTTTCTTTGGTGATAACTTAATATTATTATATCACGAAAAATTACTTTTATCAAAATCAAAATTAAATTGGATTAAGGCAATGAGCAAAAAAAAAAAAAAGAAAGAAAAAGAAAAAAAATTCTAAGAAGCAATCAAATCTTTCTCCAGCTCTTGCGGTGATTTTTTTTTTTTTTTTGTTAAGATAATTTTCTTCGTAGGGGAAGGCTAAGATTGTTGCTGTGTGACTTGATGATTACGGGTTTTAAATCATGGAAAAAGCTTGTAGTAAAAATATAAAAAAAAATCTACGCATAATAATTCTTTTTTCCGGAGCCCGTGCATAACGCTTTTTACCATATATAAATACTCTACTTGACATTTGACATTAGAAAATAACAAGAATGCATAAATAGATTGAGTATATGTTGCAATCCTTGAAATTTCATATTTGGAAGAATTGAAAATGGGCCTAATTTCACCGTTTTTGTATCATAAGGAAAATTGCATATAGTTTGAATATGGTTTTACTTTCCTTGTCAGTTCATTGGGTAATTTTGGTTAGCAAAAGGACAGGATCCAGGTTATGCAAGAATATGGACAGTAATTCTGGCAGTTACATATAAAACGTAAATGTCTTTGCTGTAAACAAATGTGCATTCCAAGAACATGACAAGGAAAAACAGCTTATAGAACAGGCTGGTAGGCTGTAGTTACTGAATTGTTACCATTGCTGAAGTTTGTCATTGGTTTTGTGAAAAAGTAAAGCTGTGGCAATGGCATATCAACATGGAATCAATCGAAAAGCTAACAATCTTTTAATTTCTATATGATTTGTTGGGAATATTGACTCAAATCTCATAAGAGATTTGTTTTAGATTTGTTTGGGATTTGTTTGAGATTTGTTAGATATTGCTTGATGGACAAGAAGACTTACAAAAGAAGAATTTCAAGAGGAAAGGGATTCTTAATAGACAAGTTTGACAAGAATTCTAAGAGGAGAAGGATTCTTAATGGGCAAGTTTTTATGGTTATAAATAGGTGAAGTCTCTACAGGGTTAGACATGAGAAAAAGATGTAAGAGAGTTGTAGGGTTTTATGGGATAAACATCCCATAAGAGTATTAGGGCTCTACGTCTTATGGGTGTGTATGTTTGTTTGTGAGTGGACTAGAGAAGACTACGTCTTATGGGTGTGTATGTTTGTTTGTGAGTGGACTAGAGAAGACTGAAAGGGTGCATCTGAAAGGGTCTATATAGGTATGATATATGGGAGCATATGGGGATGTGTTTGGTTATGTTGAAAGGGTGCACAAGGGTTTGGGTTTACGTTCGTTTGGGTTGAGAATACTCCATAGGACTAGAGGAGATTGAGAATGTCTTATGAGTATTGATTGTTGAGTGAGGTTGATGATTTGATGTAAATTAGTAATTCTCTATAACTAGTGGATCTTATTTCTCATTCGTGGATGTAGGTCAGTTGGACCGAATCACGTTAAATTATTGTCTCTTGTGTGTTTGATTTATTGTTTGATTTCACTTCCATTGGTGTGATTGGATTGGAGGCTTTTAGCCCAACATGATTGACTGAATGACAAATGGAATAATTATTTGATACAAGTTTTAAATGGTTGTTTTGTTTTATCAGAAGATGAAGAAGTGAATGATAGTCCGATTGAGGAAGTAAGATTGACAGTTCCAATCACAGATGATCCAATCCAACAGAATTAGCCTTGACGTTTCGAACTTCTGCTATCTTGTGCATTCTTGCGTTTCTGAATGGCTTCTTTAGCTGCCGGGTTAATCAACTTTCTCTCAGTTCTGTTGTAGCACAAATTGTTGTCTTCCTGACACCAAAATTTCAGTGCCATTCACGAAGTGGTCCTTCTCCTTGAATCGGGGACCGTTCTCTATGAAAGAACATGTGCTGATTACCATACTTGCCAGCTGTGGATCGAGTTCAGTTTATGCAACACATATTCTCACCATTGTCAAAGCCTTTTACCGTAGAGGCTTTCATCCAGTTGCAGCCTTATTGCTAGCACAAACTATTCGGGTACCATGTTAACAGCTTGATTTGATTCAAGGAAATTAATTATCCCAAAAACCTGATATTTCTTGCTATGTGATCAAATTCAGCTACTTGGATATGGATGGGCTGGTTTATTCAGAAAATACGTGGTTGATTCCCCTTAAGTGGTGGCCATCGAACCTAGTCCAAGTCTCCTTGTTCGGGTACTTCACTTCCTCACTACCATACAAAAGAAACTGGTGTCTTCTTTATGCTGAATAACTTACAAACCAAACTGCAGGGCATTACATGACAAAGAAAAGAGATCGAAGGGAGGGCTTACCAGGCTACAATTCTTCCTCATCGTTTTCATATCTAGCATCGGCTACTATGTTATTCCAGGGTACCCTTTCCCATCAATACCAGGCCTCTCTTTTGTTTGCGGGATATGAAAGGATTCAGTTGTGCCCAGCAGATCGGTTCAGGGTTACATGGCTTTAGCAGTGGCTCTTTTGGTCTTGACTGGTCTACTGCTGCTTTCGTTGGGAGTCCTCTTTCCACACCATTATTTTCCATTGTCAATAACTTAGCTGGATTTTTCTTGTTTTACTATGTTCTTGTTCCCATTGCTTACTGGATGAATGTATTCCAAGCTAGATGATATCCTTTGATCTCTTCGTCCACTTATGATGCTGCTGGCAATATCTATAACATTACTAGAATTCTCAACGATAAAACTTTTGACATCAATCTGGCTAGCTATGAGAATTATAGCAAACTCTATATAAGTATTGTGTTTGCCTTTAGTTACGGATTAAACTTTGCAATTCTAATGGCTAATATTTCACATGTCGCCCTTGAGTTAAGTGATAATGATAATGATACGAATGACAAATCAATATATAACTGTTTCATATCACTTAGATTTGATGGTTTGAAAATTGATATACAATGAAGTTAAGTGAATTGAAACATATTCCTTTTCATTATAAACCTCCCAAGCATCATTAGCAATGTACTGAAAGAAAATGAATTATTTCTGAACTTCATATGAAGCTCATATAATTCTTATTAGCTAGCAAGATGGTTTTCTATAATGCTTTTTACTCATCCACGGCTGACTATGGACTATATCTAATGGATAGGGTTCTGTAGCTATGTAATTGATAGCCTCTTAAATATCATTGGTAACTCCAGTTGTGGATCCTCCTGGTGTTTGAGTTGGACATAAACAGGTCGGAGGACATTCGTTTGGAAGGCAGCCGCCAAGGCGATCAGTACTGTGACCTCTTGATCCATATTATCCTATCCCCGACCCATATCCACTACCACCTGCTCCTGATCTTGATCCTGATAAAAACTCAGACTCATGATCCAAGAGGAACCTATGAACCAAACTGAAGCTTAAGGATGAAAAGAGAAATAGAAGTATGCATGCAGATTTTAGTGTTGACGCCATTTCGACAACTTTTGGTGTTTTTCAATGCTGGAAATGAAGGCCATCATTAATTTTATAGGGTTAAAATGCCAATGGAACGGAGAGACGAAACTAGATGTGCAATAATGCAGAAAATGCATATAGCATTTTCCCAGTTGATTCTTCTACTAATCCGGGATCATGGACCTTTTCATACAGATACAACTGAAAGTAGCCTCCTCAGTCCACATCAGCTAGCTAGCTCCTGAATTTAGGCTTGATTTGGAAAGGGTCCAGTCATACAACGGCACCCACGGTGCGGTGAGAACCCTCCCACCACGCATCCAAATCAAGCTTTAATATATCAAGGTGGGCGGTTAATTAAGTAAGTTGGACCTCACTTCTTATTTTCAGGATCATGAAACTAAAATGAGGCCTTAAATAATGCTTTGAAATTTTCCTTGATAGTTTGGTGAATAGTTGATTTCACAGAAGCAAGAGTCTATAGAGTGACTAGCTAGCTCGGTATTTCATCACCTTTACACTGGAATTTTCACATGGATGAACATGACAAGCTCAATTTGTGTTATTTGCGTTCTTGCTCATTATAAAATTAAAATCCCCAACAAAAAATTATGGCATCAAATCTGATCACATTGATCACAACTACAAACTTATACCATACAATCCTAGGAATGAAGATTGACATGATCAAATCTTGCCCAATCTGTTCCTTTCTTCTTCTTTTTTTCCTTTCTAAGGAAAGTACTCCAATATGCATACCATCCCTTGCTTTAAGACAATTATTATGTTTGATGAACTTAGCTGTCACTAGTAATTAACCAAACTTCAGATCTTGGTAAGTTAATAAAAATCATCTAGAAAGTTGGGTGTCTCAATTAGCTCAAGTGGGCAGATCCTTTACCTATATATGTTTATTTGACATATGATTGACAGCCCATTTGATCACATTCCTTGAGAGTTTGTTCAAAACAATGATGATAAGTCCATACATACATGTTTCTTGCTTTCAATTCCTTTTTCCAATAATATGGGTGGTCCTTATTTACACTTCATTTTAGTCCATGACCATGATCAAAAAATTATTATATCATACATCATGAAACTCCACCATTATATGAGATGATTTTCCAATCTATTTATTTATAAACAAAACCTCCATACTTCAAAACTAAGTCATACTGGTCTGCAATCAATGTTTTTTCTGTTCTTATAAGTAGCTATATAGCTTGTAATTCAAGCAAAATTCATTAAAAGTATAGTAGAATGAAATTGGCTTACAGGTTATACGTAGGTAGTTCTCCATCTTTTGCAGGTAGTACCCCTTGAGGGCTTGACCATGGTTCCAAATTTTAGGCTGGTTTCTTGCCACGAGGTTTATAAAATTCCAATATGGTGTAAGTAAAACTATAATATTGCAAGATGTAAGAGTCAAAGAAGAAAGAGAAGTAGCTAAAAATAGGTAATAAAGGCATATATTTATGATGTCGTTTGGACATTGAGGTATTGCTTTTTGGTTCTTGCTAGAGGAGAGAGATGGCAATGGAGGTGGAAGCTGGCAGGAAACCTCAATCACGATTGCCTGAGAAACTTCAGGCCGCAACCAATCTAGAAGGTAAGTTTTTTTTTTTTTTTTTCAAATGATGGAATGTTATGAAATGCAGGAGTATCTAATGAGTTTTATTGGTAATTTTTTTCTTTTACAAAAGATGAAGTAGATGACAATCCCATTGAAGAAGTTAGGCTCACGGTTCCAATTACAGATGACCCGACAGAACCAGCTTTAACATTTCGGACATGGGTTCTTGGTCTAATATCTTGTTGCATTCTTGCCTTTGTGAACCAATTCTTTGCCTATCGTCAGAATCAGCTCTCTATCTCATCAATATCAGCACAAATCCTTGTTCTCCCTGTAGGAAAGCTAATGGCTGCAACTCTGCCAGAAACCAAAATTCGAGTTCCATTCACACAGTGGTCATTCTCATTGAATCCAGGGCCATTCACTTTGAAAGAACATGTGCTGATAACTATATTTGCCAACTGTGGAGCTGGTGGTGTTTATGCAGTAAATATCATCACAATTGTCAAGGCTTTCTACCACAGGACATTGCATCCAGTTGCAGCCATGTTGCTAGCGCAAACTACACAGGTACTTTAAATGATGCGATTCAATATCATGATTTATAATCCATGGAAATGATACCGAAAAGCCTTATATTTCCTCTTATTGATGAAATTCAGCTGCTTGGATACGGATGGGCTGGCGTTTTCAGAAAATTCCTAGTTGATTCACCTTACTTGTGGTGGCCAGCAAACCTGGTCCAAGTTTCTTTGTTCAGGTACTTCAATTATTTCCCTATCATTCACAAGAAAATTGTAGGCAAAGTTTCCTGAATTTTGTGTGGCAAATTGAACAACTTGTCAATGTAAACTATAGGACATTACATGAGAAGGAAAAGAGAGACAAGAGGGGACATACAAGGCTACAATTCTTCATCATGGTTTTCATATCAAGCTTTAGTTACTACATCTTACCAGGCTATCTTTTCCAATCAATATCAGCTGTGTCCTTTGTTTGCTGGATTTGGAAGGATTCTGTCACTGTACAGCAGATAGGATCAGGCCTAAACGGCTTTGGCATTGGCTCTTTTGGTTTTGATTGGTCCACCGTTGCAGCCTTCTTGGGAAGCCCTCTTGCCACACCCTTATTTGCCATACTCAACATATTATTTGGGTTCTTCTTGTTTCTCTATGTTCTTATTCCCATTGCTTACTGGTCAAACTCATACCAAGCTAGACGATTTCCCTTGATTTCTTCTCATACTTTTGATGCTGCTGGTCAACCTTACAACATTACTAGAATTCTGAATCAGAAAACTTTTGACATCAATCTGCCAGAGTATGACAATTATAGCAAACTCTATTTGAGTATCACATTTGCTTTCCTATATGGGTTGAGCTTTGCAACTCTCACGGCCACCATTTCCCATGTCGCCCTGTTTGAGGGAAAGTAAGCATCTCTAACAGCACGTTTTTGTTATTGATCTCATCTTTCCTCTTTACCTTTCTTTGTTTGATAATTCTATTTCTTTTCTTTTCTTTTCTGGTTTTCTTTTGTTGATCAATAATAGAACAATCTGGAAATTATGGAGAAAGACGACATATGCTGTGAAAGACAATCTTTCAGATGTGCATACAAGGCTGATGAAGAAGAATTATGAGGCAGTCCCTGAATGTTGGTTTCATGTTATATTAATTTCAATTGTGGCCCTTTCCGTCTTTGCCTGTGAAGGTTTTGGCAAACAGCTGCAGCTTCCATGGTGGGGAGTTTTGCTAGCTTGCGCAATTTCACTATTTTTTACCTTACCTATTGGGATAATTCAAGCTACAACGAACATGGTACAATTATTCTTGAAGAAATAGCATCAGATAGTAATGTCGATTTTATTCCAAAATCTCTAAGCATGATCTTTTGTGTGCAGCAACCGGGGCTGAATGTGATCACCGAATTGGTTATTGGGTACATTTATCCCGGCAAGCCTCTTGCAAATGTTGCTTTCAAGACTTACGGCTATATCAGTATGGTACAAGCTCTGAACTTGCTTGGGGACTTCAAATTAGATCACTATATGAAGATCCCTCCCAAATCGATGTTCATTGTACAGGTAATAAATTTGTGATTATTTTAATGTTGCTTTCTTTTATTTGCGTGAAATATATATATATATATATATATATATATATATATTTATATTCCTAACTTGTCTTCGTTTCCTTGGTCATATGAACATTCAGTTTTTCGGAACTATAGTTGCTTCAACTTGCTACTTTACAACAGCATGGTGGCTTCTGTCGAGTATTAAGCACATATGTGATCCTGATTTGTTGCCCGAGGGGAGTCCCTGGACATGCCCTGGTGATGATGTATTTTACCATGCTTCAATCATTTGGGGGATTGTAGTCCGCTAAGAATGTTCACAAACAATGCAACTACCCGCAGATGAACTGGTTTTTTCTGATTGGCTTGCTTGCCCCTGTTCCGGTATGGTGGCTATCACGCAAATTCCCCGAGAAGAGATGGATCAGGCTAATACACATGCCAATGATCCTTGGAGCTACACAGGGCATGCCACCAGCTAAAGCTGTGCATTTTATTTGTTGGGGAACTGTTGGAATTTTCTTTAACTGGTACGTGTATAATAGGTACAGGGGATGGTGGGCTAAGCATACTTATACCTTATTTGCTGCTCTGGATGCTGGGGTTGCCTTCGTGGGAGTACTCCTTTACTTCACCCTTCAATCCCATGATATCATCGGCCCAGATTGGTGGGGTCTGGAAGCCAGTGACCATTGCCCATTGGCACATTGTCCCACGGCAGCAGGGATTATGTCTGCAGGATGCCCTGTTCTTTAAAACTCCTTCAACAAAGGGCCCAACAACATAGGAAATAAGAAGACGAAAGGTCTTTCTTTTCTCCATCAGTGATAGCAATGGCTTTGTTTCATTAGGTTAGAATGCGCGAGAGTGCTGAAAATTCATTAGTTTTAAGGATGCAGCCTCATTTTGAAAGATGTATGAGATTTTCTTTCGGTATGTAGTTGTTGATATTTTCATCTTAACTATCCAAGTGGATTTTCGAAATACTGAAGTAGCAGTGCATAATTTGATTTCTAAGCTCCAAGGAGATGGGAAAAAATCAAAAGTGTATTATAATTAGATTTGTAGAGCTACATAATATTTTTTTTTTAACTCATTACCAATAATCCTGGCATGAGCAAGCGCCATCTTTGAAACAATGGAACCGGTTCCGGTCACGCACAACAATTTCCCTGTCAACAATTGTTGAGATTAATTTGAAAGCGGCATGACAGTCTTCACAAACACGGAGATTCTTCATTATCCTAATCACCACTCCAGGAGGTGTGTTTATCAGTCCAAAACAGAGTGCTAATTTCTCACTATGGCGATATAGAAATTTCTCCTTCTCTTTCTCGTCCATGTCCAATAGGACAACTGATGTGTCAGGTCTATATCCTCTTAACTTCATATCACCCAGAAGTTTTTCCCACATATCAAATATTTCATTAGCTTGAGAATGGGAATCATCCCCAGCAACAAATTCATGAATCACTCCATCAACCATGATTGAACTACACCCCGGTGTCTTCTTTACCCCTCGATTTTTCATTAGCTTCCTTACTCTTGCTGCATCTTCCCATCTATCTGCTTCTGCATAAATATTAGATAAAACAACATAGTATCCATCATTAAGACGATCCAGTTGAGCAAGATGTCTGGTAGCTTCCTCTGCCAATTCAATGTTTTTGTGAACCTTGCATCCACCAAGGAGAGCTCCCCATACAATCCCATTTGGTTTTATAGGCATGTTCATTATAAATTCATGGGCTTCTTGAAGGAGCCCTGCTCGGCTGAAAAGATCCACCATGCAACCATAATGCTCAATTTCGGGAATAATACCATAGTCTCTAGTCATGCCTGAGAAAAATCGACGACCTTCATCAACCAACCCCATGTGACTACACGCATGCAAGAGTCCAATAAAGGTTATCCCATTAGGCTTCAGCCCCATCTCAATCATCATTGAGAAAAAGCTTAGAGCTTCTTGAGCTTGTCCATGAATTGCAAGCCCTTGTATCATAGCTGACCATGACACAACCGTCTGTTCATCCATCTCACCGAAAACCCTCCTAGCTTCCTCCAAGCAACCACATTTCACATACATATCAATCAAAGTATTCAAAACTCTAACATTCCTCCCAAATCCATTTCTTTTCGAGTATTCATGAACCCTCCTCCCCAACTCAAGTGCGCCCAAATCAGCACAAGCTGCAAGAACAGCCACTACAGTGACCTCATTAGCCTGCATTCCAATCTTCTCCATCTCCATAAACAACTCAACCCCTTGCTTGGGCTTCCCACAGTGAACACACCCAGAAATCATCATTGTCCACGACCTCACATTTCTCTCAGGCATACGCGAAAAAAACCCATAAGCACCCTCAAAGTCTCCACTTTTCACCAAATGGGTAATCATAACATTCCAACTGACAACATCCCGTTGAGGCATATTATCAAACAACAACCGAGCCGTACCCATTTCTCCACACAGTCCATAAATATTCAGGATCATGTTTTGCAAAACCAAGTTCCATTTAAACCCAAGTTTCTCAACAACCCCATGTACACATTTACCATTTTTATCATCCAACAAAGCCGTGCAGGCCTTGAGAACGAAAGCACAAGTGAAACTATCAGGAACAACATCGCATTCGCGTAAACGGCTGAACAAAAGGATTGCCTTAGAAGGGGACTCACTTTCAGCCAAACTTTTCAAGCAAGAGTTCCAAATGACGACTTGAGATTGTGGGAAATGCGTTAAAAGTCGACGGGCGTAAGAGAAGTCGGGGGAGAGAGCACAAACCGAAGCGATACGAGAAGGAGGGAGGAGAGAGAGAGGGGTGTTGGTTTTGATGAGATGGGCATGAGCTTGTTTCAGTTCTAATGGGGAGTTGAAGTTGGAGACAAGTGTTTGTGCTGGTGAAGGAAGAGAGTGAAGTGAAAAAGAGAGGGAAACTTTCATTGCTTTCTTTGCCCTTAAGTCGGCTGATGAGATTAGATGACTAACGGTTTTTCGAATTTAGCGGCTTGTCTTGTCTTTGGTTGATTTAACGTTGCTAGTTTGGGTCGGAAAATTTTTTTTTTTTAACTTTTTAGTTTCTTTTAATCCGAAAGACAAAAGCATATTAAAAAAAAAAAATCTATAGAGGTTAGCACAAGTGGTTAAGATTTGAAGTTTAAGCATAAAACGTTTATATTTGAATCCCATGATTATTTGTTAGTAAACAATGTGTAAATCCGAAAAATCTCAAAAAATTTATAAATCTCATTTATGAGTTGACAAATTAAAATTTAATAATCATCTAAATTTTTATTATTTTTTCAATCAATTAAACCTTCAAATATTTATTTTCATTAATTAGACTTTTGTTAAAAACAAATTTGTTAATTATTTTCGTTTAAAAATTTAAAATTTAATTGATTGTAATAAAACATTAAAAATTTAAAAATATTGAATTTTTGCTCACGGATTTTTTTAATCTTTTTTATCAATCAAAAACAATATTTACGATAATAAAAATTGGAGATTAATATAACAAAACATAGATTTGAATACAAAGAAAATTTTATGTTTTATTAGAGGATTTGTATTTCTAGCCTAACTAGGATCTTGCCTAATGAGGGAAAATTTGAGATTAACTGTAATTTTTTTAATCTTTATTCTATAAAAATGGGTTTGATTGCAATGACAAAAACCTCCATGGAGATAAAAACCCCTTGCTTATGGAATGTCAAGTTGTTTTGTTATAACTTGATGTGTAAATATTTATAAGCAATGATAATTACAATAAATTAGTGATATGACTTTCTTGGGAGAAATGCATGCAAGTGCATTCTTGAAATGATCAAAACATAAAGCAAATCAAAGATCTTGAACTGGTTCCTTGAACTTGCACTGTGGTCTCCATTTTCAGAACTAATCATGTTCATCTTCTTTAAAGCTTGTTGAACATAGCCCATCCATCCCTCATGGGTCAGGTTCATTCCTGGCTTCATTCAAGGATAACTGCTTCAAAATGCCATTTTAGACCTGTCTGAGGTGACATCATGAATTCATGACCCATTAACATCCTCATAGTCAAACTCAATCACAAGGTCAATAAATTCAAAACATGATGGCTTTGCATTCCACTTACAAGTTCTAAAACAATGAACTCAAAACACATGTTTCACTAAAGAAACGTGGATGATATCTTCTTGAACTTATGACAAATACTCCATTAATACATCACAACAAAATCTTCTGGCAAATAGAATATCTGTAACCCTATGGTTTGTCAAATTAATTGTCTACTTCGAGGTTTTCAGGACATGCATCCGCATCAGCCATTGTCTTCAACCAACCGATGAAGGATCTTACTTGAAGAGTTCTGGATTAAGCCAGTCCCTGCAAGTAGAAAGATAGCATGTAAAATGACATAGAACCAATCAAATACAGCCAAGTACATCAAATATTTCAACGTTCTTCTGTTAAGAGGAGACCATAGGACTTACTTCTTAATGTCATCAAGGTGGTCATCAAAATCTACAACATCCTGCCATTTCTCAGATGAAATGTAATCCAACAAAACTACATTTGCCACAGGCTCCTTAATTACCAGTCGGCTGCCTCCATCCGGTCCAGCCAGTTTCCAGTTCTTGGATGCATCCCTTATATAAAGCTAATGCATGATGACACAAATATTACCATTAACCAAAGGCATAGCAACACTATTGGACCATGAATACCCCATCATTCAACAACTTTTGAAGGAAAATACCTCTAAATGACCAGAGACTGGCATCAAAAGTCAAGTTCAAAAAAATCTAATTCAACTTAAACAGTAGCTATTGGAGGCCATATGCTGTAACTAATGCACAAAATCTGATGGTCAACAGGAATATTTTGAGAAAGTTTTTTTTACCAGTGGCGCTGATATTGTTACGCTCGGCATGTAGCACATATTGACAAAATGAAGTTTAAAGCATTATAAAGGGAAGAAAATCAGGGGATAGGAGGGGCAGTGAATTCACATATGAAATAAATAAATCAGAGCCCTCCCAAGGAACAACAGACAATTACAGTCACAACATTCACATTAGTTCCTTTGCTATTCAATCCTTTCAAACAACAGACAGCTTATATTTCAAAAGCCAAAGGGCCCTTGCTCCTTTAAGGTATCCAACCTTCTAATTCAGAGAGATTCGGAATGACTACACCTCTGAATAGGGAATAGCAATTGGATTAGCAGCCTACTCTATAGATAGGACTACAACATAGACCAACATACACAAACCAAATATACAAAACCCCAAGGTTGGCAATGTACTCAGCATGACAGCTGAAGTCATGGGAAGCAGATATGTCAAACAACCTTACATGCATACGTGAAGCAACAGAACCTTCAGCTATACCTTCCAGCCCTCTGATTTTAACTCCTATTACAGCAAATCCTAAGAAAGAACTAATGCCAGCTCCCTTCTTTCATCTGCATATAGCTTTTATCCTAAAATTTTCTTCCAGCTATAATAGTGCTTTCTTTTTTTTTCCCACATTACCACCGAAAGTAATTACTAAGGCATTATTCCCTTCACTTCCCCCAAATCAGCCAAAACCAAAAAGGCAATAATTAAAACTCAAAAATCACAAGTAAATACAAACCTGCATCACAGGACTCTGGTCTTTCCCCTTGGGCAAAGCTTCAAGCTTTTTGTTATCTAACTACAAAAGAGAAAAGCACAAGCAAAACAGAACTGAGACCTATCCCTAACAAGCTTAGCAGCGTATATATATCCAATAAGCAAAATAAATTATACAACAATCAAAGTACATACCAAGAGAAGAGCGGCTTGGGCAAAGTACCGGCAAATATGATCACCAATATTCTTTGCCACAATGCCAAGCTCTGCATCATCAAACCTCTCATTTGCATGGAAATAACCCACAATTCCCAAGCCCTCAGATCCATAATGCTCCTCTACCTGATCAAAGCCAACCCATCAGAACAGCTCTAAATATATATATATATATATATCATCATCATCATCATCAAATTTCAAAGCCAATAACTTCCAACAAAATAGCCCAAGAGGGACTTTTCTTCAAAAACAAACAAAAAACAAAACTTTGACAAATCAACAACAGTTTTTAACTAACCAATTGAATCTTTGGTCAATACCCAATAATTAAACCACCATAAAACTCTGATTTTTCAAAACCATAAGAGTTCCAAGAGAAAGAAATTATTAAAAGAATAAAAAGCACATTAAAGAAAACCCTAAAAAGAGAATATAGAGACCATGATGAGGGCGATCTCGAGGGGAGGCAACAAAGCAAGATTAGAGTGAAACAGAGGAACTGAGTCAACGATCTCAACAACGTTTTCATTTTGTAGGTTGACTCGGCCGAGTAAGACGCCGTTGACCGCCGTGGTTTTGTGCATCAAAGAATGTAGAACCAACTTCATGTAAGCGTTCTGTGAGATCTCGTACTTCAACTCGGCCACCATTTTTTTTGTTTTCTAGATTGGTTAGACTCACCGAGTCTCTGAGCTAATTGGGTCGCCGACAATGAGAGTTTGTAGTGAATTCAACTCGGCTCTTTACTTTCTGTAAAATTTTGAGTTCGATGCTATTAAGGCTGACAAGAAAGGATTTCCCAGGAAGCTGTCAGGAGTAACCAAACGATGTCGTGTTTATACCTTTTCCTTTTATTTTAGTGGAAAAATCAAGTCGGGTTGTCAATAATGCATTTTTATTTTCCATTTAATTATCTTTATCACTCATATTTACATTTTCTATTATTTCATTTAACATTTTTATTTGCAAAAATTATTTTTATTTTCAATCTGTATTTGGAGTTACATATATATCTTTGGCATTGTTTCTTGCTTTTAAAAGTTTTAAAATAAAAAATATAAAAAAACGATACCATACAATATTATACATAAAAATATAGATTTTGAGTTTTATGGGAAGTCGGTTTCATGGTTTGAAAAAGTTAATTAATTTAACGTAAAGATAATCATATAAATATGATAATTTATACATTCATATATTCATATTATATAAAATATTTAAATTTATATATTTATAAAATATTTTATTAAAAATTTATATTATAATTTATATTAACACAAAAAATATAAAATATATTTATTTAATTTTATTAAATCCATCATTACTAAAATTTTAAACTATTTCACTTTTATTTTTTTGTTCTCATATTTATCGTATCGCATTGTAGATCGACAAGTCTATCTGTGGAATATTGTAGCCAATTATAAAAGCTTTTGCCTTTTTGATGGAGTCAATTATTTATAGCTTATTTGCATCTTGAATAGAATTTGCATTTTAGGGTAACACAAAATGCTCTGCAACATTGTTAAACATGAAGCAAGCACTAACAAGTAACAAGACTTCTCCATAAAATCCCATCATACGTTATAAAAATGCTTTGAACACATTTTATACATTGGAAGCCACTATAATCAGAATGAGGATTTTTCCCATCATCAATATCAGCATATCATGCGCACACAACTTCAACATTTTCATCATATCCATCAAGCATATTTCACAATTGTTTGGTAACAGATTTTTTCATTGAACATGAGATATCCATAGTACAATAACATTGAAAATAAAAAGAGAAGTTTTACATGCTTTTCCACAATTTCACCAACAAAAACCAAAAGTAACAACTTATGAACAAATGTAGAACTACATCACCGGAGGAGAGCAGTAAGCAGCATACCACCAGGATGGAACAAATATATTAAAGCCTGCAAAAAGTCTTCCTTCCTAAAGGCATCTCATATGAACATTGGAATAAGGGGTGATAAGAATACATCCAAGTACCAACCATTTCCTAATAATTTCCAAGCATTTCCTATTTTAATCACTATAATAGTAGTAGTAAGTTAAGTGATTGAATATCAAACTAACTTAAATATTCTAACATCTACAATGGCAAATCTATGCATTGATCCCTGATGAGTCGATATTTGCAGTAATTTAATTGATCGCCAAAAAAAGATTAGTCTGATGTAAAGAAGATATAGCATTACTATGTAAGAAGCTAAAACAGAACTAAAGGGGATAATATATCTAACTAGCAAAGTCCAAAACAGGTTGATATAGTCTACATGACAAACCAAATAAAAATAGACTAGAACAAGGCAATCAAGCAGTGATATGAAGGTTTTCTAAACCATACAATAGAACAATAGTCTAACATGATGTGTCCTCTGATCTTGATAGCTTTCCCCACATGCTATAATTAGAAGACTTCTAGTACTTGTGTCAGAAAGTGCCTAGTGATGCACAATGCAGATCTAAGGAAACTGTATGGAACTTCTATGGCAAATCACAATGCCTTCATTCTATCTTGCATATGGATGGTATCGACTACTGCTACTATAGCCTCCCCTTCCATAGAGCCCACCTGCTCCACCATAACTAGCACCAGGACCATATTCATAACCACCACCATAGCCTGTACCTGCATAACTACCATAACCATCACCTCCTCGGCCATAGCCGCCGACACCACTTCCACCATAACCCCCTCCAAAGCCACCAACATAACCAAAGCGGCCAGAATAACCAAGGGAAGATTCACCTCGGTAGCCTCCTAAGCTATTGCCTCCAAAACCCCCATAACCTCCACCAAATTCACCACCACCACTACCATACCCATAATCACCACTGAGTCTACCACCAAGACTCGCAGGTGTTCTATAAGGAACTGTACCAAACCCTCCATTAAAACCCCCATATGAACTACCGTATCCACCAAAGCCATCATCATAAGAACAGCCCCTAGAGTTGCTACCATATGCAGGAGCAGGTGGTGGGTTTGAGGCTTTCTTTGGTTCAGCTTTCTTGATCTCCACCTACAACAAAGCAACTTAGTTAACCTAAGTTTGGCTGCATGTAAACTAAATCGATAGCCCTTTCCCTGGGGAGATCTACACATGTATCAATCTCCACTGATAATTTGAAACATAAACCACTGGGGTAGTTTATGTGGTTCGGTACTGAAAATTAATCGAACTAGTAAGTCTACTATTATATATATTACTAAGATAAAAGGAGAATACAATAATGCAAACTCCACCAAAACCTTTTTACATACTGATTCTTGGAAGGTATGTCCAATTTCACTAAGCTTACCTGGTTACCTGCCATATCAATCATATTTCCTTTCGATAACACATCATCTACAACCTCTTCACTGTCAAAAATTATAAAGCCAAAGCCACGAGATCTATTGGTTGCATGATCACGAATAATTTGGTGCTCCATTACAGTTCCATACTTGGAGAAGAAACTCCTTAATTCATCTGAATAATAAAGCACCACACAGACAGGATTTTATATTAAGCAACACTTTCATACTCACTCTACTGCTAAAATGAAAATACTAAGACTTGGCATTCATACCTTCCGTGATTGAGGATGGTATACCACCGAAAAATATCTTTTTTGTCTTAAAATCCTTTGACTGACTAGAGCCTTTAGGAATTGTCCTCTTTATCTCAACCTGCTTAAAGTTGATTTTATGAGCATCTTCCATGGTTTGTTTAAATAATAATAACAATATAACACAAAAACCAATTTTTCATAGTTCTATTGACCAAAAACTTTCACCAACATCCTAATTAGGCTACATATTTCAAGGATCAGCCACCTGATATCATGACAGCCTGACTCTATATTTCATTTTACCCACGATTACTTTCAACCACAAAAGAAAGCTTATTGACTAGTAAAAACTTCTCAACCATAAATATAAAACACAATTAAAGCATAATCCAGAAAAAAAAAGTATTAAATTTATAGTATCCTCACTTTTGGAATATTACAAATATTATTTACCTGTTTTCCATTGATGACATGGTCTTCTTCAATGACCTTCTCTACAACGGATGGATCAGCATATGTAATAAATCCAAAACCGCGAGGCTGACCAGTGTATCGATCTTTCATAATTACAGAATCGATTATCTCCCCATACTTTCCAAAGTGCTTATTGAATTGAGCTGAACATCCATCAATTCAATGGCATTACAAAGAAAACACCAAATCAACAAACGAATTACATCCTCAAATAATAACCCATGAATCTAATAATCAACAAAATTAAATCCAATTCAATTTTTCTAATTCATTGCTAGCTAAAGTTTGCTTTTTTCTTTTAATTCAATAAATCTGAAAATAAAAAGGAAAAATAATATAAAGACTCACGAAAGGTAGTCTCTTTGGCCAATCCTCCGATAAAAATCTTCCTAAAAATAAAATAAACAAATTTTAATATAAAGAAATTGTCTAGACGAATTGGATACTTAAAAAAAAAAAGAGCATAACTTGAACAAAAAGGAAGAATTTGATCGAAAGTTTTTCTCAGGAACCAAACAGGTGAAATTTTGAATTGAATCGAAAGGCAAAAAGAAAGATACTAACCCGGGGCTAGCTCCATCCCCGCTGAGGGGGTTATGGTTCTTGAATTTGGAACCCATTGGATTAATTCGCTTTGTTTGTTTGTCGAGAAAATAATTAGGGGAAATCGACGGCGGTTTAGGGTTTTTTACGATGAGAACGTGAGTGGAGACTATTTAAAAAAAGGCATGCCTTTTTTATGAATTACAAGTTTGCCACCGGATGCAGTGACAAATAAACAAATAAATCGACCGACATCTCTGTTTGCCACGTAAGATTATAAATAGCGACACGACCAAGTCAGGTTGTCTTGTCAGCTTGATGGTTTAAGGAATCGAGGTAAAGACCTGTACTCGGATTAAGGAGACTAGGGGTAACTAATGCCATTGATATCACATTTATTAGTATTTGATTAATTAGAAACTTTATTTTGCTAATTAAAAAATTGTTTTATTTTATTTTTGAAAAATAATAATGGTATTTTGAGTTAAAATAGTTAATTAGTATATTTATATTTTATACTATAATTTTTCATTTTTTGTTAATTATCCCTTTCATTTTTTTTTCAATTTTTTTAGATATTTTTAGATTATATATTTTTTAAATATCTAAAATTCTTATTTTTTTATAAAATTTTTTTAACATTAAAAATCATAAAACTTTAATATTAAATACATTAAAATTAAATTTTTTTAAAATTCCATGAAAATTAATAACATTTAAATAATTTGAGACAACGGGAATATATTCTTTTATTAAAAAAACTATGGCTTTCAAATTTTTATTGTACTTTTTCAAAATTTTTTATTTTCAATTTCTTATACAAAAAGTTAAGCAAATACTTTTTCTTTTTATTTAGCAAAGTTGACCCATTAAAACCTCATCTTTGTTTCATGGTAATAAAATTGAAAAATATGCAAAAAAGGGTTGTGGTAGATCAAGTGATGTAATCCATATCTATAATTGATGCTTCATTGATTCCCTTTACCCTTCAAATCCAAAGCAATTGAACTCAATTTCAAAAGGTACAAAAAGCCCACGCACATTATTATTCCCTTTCAAAGGTGCAATGAAAAGAAAAAAAAAAATGAATGAATCTAATTTCATGAACTAATTCCCTCGACACCTCACAAAATGTTGTACTAACACTTTTTCTCAATTCTCCTATTAACATATTTTCCTTATAAATATTTCTGTATTTCATTTTTTTTAATTAGAATATTAGTGTAGTTTTTTATGTTTTCGTCGTAAAAGATATATATTATTTCAATTTCAATTAGCATATGTCATATAATAAACTCATTATTTTATTAGAGCATATTCAATAATGATTTGATTCTCACAAAAATTTTAATTAAGAATGTGATCAAGTCGAATCAAGTTAATATAATAAGAATTTTAAATTCGATTTGAATTTTTTTTTTCAAAATTTAAATTATAAGTTGATAGAGTTTTAATTTTTAAATTCAATTTTAATTTGAGATAAAAATCAAATTATTCAAATTCACTCTATTAGACTCACTTATTAAATAAAAAAAATTTAATTTTTATACTCAATTTTAAATTATGATTATTTGTTTTTCAACTTGAATTTGAGTTGAACACATAAATAATTATTAAGGTAAAATAATAAAATTTTAATTAAATTAATTAAAATATTTTAAAAAATAAAATTTTGATTAAATTTGTAAGCTATTTGAGTCGAATATTGTGATACTTAAACTTAATTTGCTTGATATATTAAATTGCTTGAATATGACTCAACAATGATTAAGTTATATTTGAGTTTTATCTTAACCAAATTGAAATAATTTTATAAATATTAATATATCATTTATACACTTAACTCTAGCACGATATAAATAAATAAAAAAAAACCTTTAAATTCCTTTAATAATATAATAAAAATAGATTTTCAATAGTTAAAGTGCAGTATTCTTATTAAATTTAATGTATGTAAGACATTTTGAAAATTTTTTATAAACAAATTTAATTTAAAAAATAGGCATCAATTTAAATCTATCTTTTACCAAAAAAAAAAAAGTTAAATAAATGAAACTAGCAATATAAACACGTGTTTATGTTATGAATGGGTATCCAACTGTAAAGGAAAAAATAGTAAGAATCTTGAATTGACCCGATTATTTCACATATTTTAATTGATAAATAAGATTTTTTTTATAAAGATAAAATAATATTTTTATATTAATTAAATAAAATCCCTTCACAAAAATAGAAAAGCAACACTCATTATCAGAAATTATAATTTTATTCATACTAATAATCTTCATTATAAAGAAATAAATACAATAAATACAAAAATAAAATAAAAAAAAATCTTTGGGTCTCTAATCATTTTCTCACTTTTTTTGTATAGACAGACAATTAACCATACTCTTATTTAAGAATATAAATAATATATCAATATTAATAAATTATTTAAAATTAATTTAAATAAAATTTAAATTTAATTTAATCATTATTAAATTAAGCTAAAGCTCGAATAATTTATCTTATTGAACAAGTTGAATTCGAATATTTTAATATCCAAATCAAATAACTCATAAGTTTAATAAAATTTTTAAATTTTAATATATTTTTATTATGTTAATTAAAAAATTATTATTTTACTTTTATATATTAATTCAAGTTTGAACTTTATTTTAAACATGTAATTGAATTTAAAAATGAATATAAAAATTAAATTTATTTTTTTATAAAAAAAATATAATCAAATAAGTTCAAATAATTTAATTTTTATCTTAAATAAGATTTAAACTTAAAAATTAAAATTCGATAAAACTTAAGCTAAATTTTAAATAATAAATTTTAAATTAAAATTAAACTCTTATTATATTAATTCGACTAAATTTAGCTCAACTTAATTAGATAGATGCTCTCATCATTTAAACAACATCAACTAAAAAATCCAAAAAGTATTTACATTTTTTTTTTTTCACAATTCTCCTTTTTGGGTCATGCCCTAGTTATTATTATAAATATAAATACATAACACATTCAATTTTCTCTTCCTTTTTTCTTTGCTTCTTTCTACCCTTTTGTCATCCCCTGTTTCTTTTTTTTCTTTCTTTGCTACCATGAGCAGCAAAGGTGGCGGCGGCGGCCGTGGAGGTGGCGGTGAGGGGTCAAGGGTTTCAATCCCAGACAATGCAAAGAAAACGATCCAAAGCATTAGGGAGATCACAGGGAAGCAACACAGCGATGAAGAAATCTATGCAGTCCTCAAAGAGTTTTCTATGGATCCTAATGAAACTGCCCAAAAGCTCCTTTTTTTGGGTAAAAATAAAGATTTGGATTTTTTTTTTGGACTTCTTTATCTGTTTTGTATGTTTTTCTTGCTTCTTTTTTAGGGTTTTGCCTTTTATAAGGGTTTGCTGGGTTTATGATCTGTTTTTCCTGTGTGGTTTTTGTGTTTAAAAGTTCAAGAAAGTTGGGATTTTTGAGAGGTTGGATTTTCTCGCTTTTTCGTATGTTTTTGCTAATGGAAAGTGGATTGTCCATCGTTTGGTTTGTTGGTTTCATGTTTTGTGTTGCAATAGTGAAGAAAGCTAAGCTTTTGAGAGGTTGGATTTTCTTACTTTTCGTATGTATTTGCTAATGGAAAGTGGATTGTCCATTTTGTTGGTTTCATGTTTTGTGTTGCAACAGTGAAGAAAGTTAAGATTTTGAGAGGTTGGATTTTCTTGCTTTTCGTATGTTTTTGCTAATGGAAAGTGGATTGTCCATCGTTTGGTTTGTTGGTTTCATGTTTTGTGTTGCAATAGGGAAGAAAGTTAAGATTTTGAGAGGTTGGATTTTCCTGTTTTTCGTATGTTTTTGCTAATGGAATGTGGATTCGTTTGGTTTGTTGGTTTCATGTTTTGTGTTGCAATAGTGAAGAAAGTTAAGATTCTGAGAGGTGGGATTGGCTTGTTTTTGTGTGTTTTGCTAATGGAAAGTGAAGCTTGCTCTGTTTGGTTTCTTGGTTTTGTTTTTGTCAGGAAGAATGTTGTTTGGTTGCTGGGAAATGAGTAGATTAAAGAAATTCAATATATTGAATAATCTGTGTGTTTTCTTTTGATTTATCAGCTATAGCATTTTGCAGATCTCTTTGTTTTATTTTTTCAATCTTTGTCCAGTTGATTAGACTTTTAAATAATTAGTTTTTACCATCATCATTTGATAATGTTGTTCAAAGCAACAAATCATTGTTCAAAAATTTTTCATCCTTGGTTTGGTGGTCAATGGTAGATAAAATTTTCTTTTAGCCAAAAACCACCGCGTCTAACTTAAATGCATGAAAATGCTTAAAAGGCTCATTGTTGGTAAATAATTTTTCTTTTTTGTTCCATTGAAGTGTGCTTTCTGGATTGACATGCTGAGAGTAGCATTATTTTTTTAGGATATTCTAATTGCATTTAGTGCATACTTTGTTTTTGCATAATGTATCTTATGCTTTACTTTTTGAAAGTATGACCATCACATTGTTTGGTTGGCAGATACATTTCATGAGGTGAAAAGAAAACGCGATAAGAAAAAGGAGGCAAGTGTTCATTTGCTTTCCAATGCGAAAACAAAACCTATTTCATTTTAATCTTCTTTACTTCCCACCTGCAGTTAGAATTTTGGTTATCAATGACTCTAATGGTTTTATAGGACTGTGGTAAATAAAAAAGATGATGAATGTAATGTATTAGAGTATTACTTACTAGAATTTGTTTTAGTTGAAGGATTTTTTGTGATTGGATTTTGCTTTAGTTAGCCTTAGTGAATTGTGAATTATAACTCAATTCTTCTTTTATGCAGACAGCTGGTACACAAAGTCGAGGGGGCCGGGGCAGTCGAGGGAACTATTATACATCATCTGGTAAAGGTATTAGTTTTTTTTTTTTTTTTTTTTCTCTTCTCCTATTTATGCACGAATTTATGAATTTAACTTATTTGTAAGTTGCTAATGTAACAAGCCTTGTTCTTTTAAGATGCTGGAGTTGGAAAGAATGCATCTGCTCGAAGGGAGAAAGGGGCTAATCATACCTCAGATAGAGGTTCTATGCCTTTGCCCGTGTCTCAAAAAGTCAAAAATAATACTGCATCTCACACAACAAAGTAAATATGCATAATGATATCATTTTTTTGCATCAAAATATGACTTTTATGCACTTGTTAATTGGTTAATTCTAGAGAATAAAGTTAAATCTTACCTAAATTTTGTTTCCTTCTTTCACAGAACAGCAACTGCTATTCCAAATGGCATTACTGCTTCACCAAATAGGAGCACAAGTCATGGACATGGACCCCAAGTGCCTGTGGATGGCGTTCATAGTGAAACTAAAGATGGCTTACTTGCAAACAAGCCAAAAACTATTTCAGTGCAACCAGCTGTTACAGAACTTGCTGCCCCCATTCCTGCTCAGTCCTTTAGCTCTCTGATCAGAGGTCAAGAGAAGTCCACATCAAATTCTAATGCCTCATCAACTTCTCGCACTTCCGCAACTGTATCTATTGTCAATTCATCTGCTTCGGATCCTGTGTTGGCACCCATTGTGTCACAGCATGCTGGTCCTGTGGGTACAATAAAACATGAAATTGAGTGCCAACAAGAAGCTGCTGAAGTAAACCATATTCAAGGAAACAAACATGTTACCCATGATATTGATGTATCAAAGACTGAGAAAACAGCCTCTGAGGTTCCAAGCTCAATGCATGGAAAGAAGGCCCCCAGCAAATCAAAGGTTGCTGAACAGGCTAAGCAGTCCAAGCCTATAGAGCCCGCCTTGCTACAAGGTATTACCTTTTTTGTTTGATTTGTGATGCCATAAAATGCAGTAGTTTGTATGATCTTTGTGTAGTTTTTTTATCTTTCCTATTTACCGACTTTTGATGTACAATATTTTATTTTTGAAATACTTTTGGATGCCTTTGTTTTCAGTCTTTTCTCTTTGGCATTGGCTAGGTATAGTATTTTAGGTGTATGCCTTTGCTGTTCTTCTGTTTCCCTTTCTAGGAGAAAGGGTAAACGATCCTGCTGGAAAAATCCTGCTTAACTCTTTGCAATTTTCTGTTTATTGCAAATTGTCTCTTGGTTATGCACCCATTGTTGTGCTTTAGACTGCCTTTTTTTTTATTGTTTTTACATCTTTTTAAACAATAGTAGTAATGTGCTTATTGTAAGCACAAGTGTTGCTAATTCATTGATTTTTGTTGTATAATGTTCCCTCCTTTTGAAGCATCCCTGGCCTAGATATTGATATAAAAAATCTTATACTTAAAGGTTGTCTTTATGCACTTTTTTTTGTTTTTGAGATTTAACTTGGCTCTTGTTCTGAAACAGTGGTCACATCTGAGGTTGCAGCTGTCACTATTAAAGCCAATTCCCAATTGCTTGCTGATTCAAATGTTCCCAATGGTCAACATGTTACTTTTCCCATCCACTTCAAAGTCTCTGAAGCATTAAAAAATGGCTTAACTTTTGGAAGCTTTGATGATAGTTTTAGACAGGGAACAAAACACAATAATGTCACTAGTGTGGAGATTAACTCTGCATGCCCTGTTGATATTTCTCAGGGTAGTGATGAAACTGCCAGGGAGCCATCTTCTAGGTTAGTGGACATTAGTTTCTACATTTATTAGAATTTATATTTTCTTTGATGCATTGTTTTTCTTCTGCTAGTAAGTATCTATTGATTCCAAGATCATTTTATTCATCTCAACAATTATTTTGAGGCAATGGTGGTATGTTAGTTCTAATTTCTTCTTTGGTTGATTGAAAGCAATTACATGAGCCATAGGGTGAGACCTGATGTTTTGCCATTCTACTGTTTTAAAAGAATAAAAAAGAAAATAATTTTCTGTTGTATCTTCTGGTGGGATTACAGAGGAAAAACCTGTCTGGATAAATATCTGTAGTTATAAATGCGCTTAATTTGCTATCGATATTTACTGCTAGATTATTGGGGACCTCTAAACAATATTCCCAGTAATCTATTTTGTTCTTTAATAATTTAGATCTTATTGGGTCTTTATGGTTTCTGCAGAAGCCAAGGTATATTATCAGATGTGGAAGGGGATAATGCTGATAAACCACAATCTCCTCCTGAGTTTGAGAAAGTGCCAGAATCAGATGGCAATATTTCATCTGATGCAGACTTTAAAGTTGATCAATCAAATCAAGAACTGCATTTGAACCCAGAAGGTAATCAGAGTGTCATTCCAAATGTCCCAAGCTATGGGTTTGGTTTCATGCCCGCATCAGCGAGCCACCTTGTGCAGTTAGATGAACCTGAGGCTCGGGTGCATGATGTTTCTAGCATTGTAAACTTTGCTGTAAGCACTTGTTTCTACGTAACTGTCATATTTTCATTTAATTGTTACAGAACTCCACTGTGATTCAACATCTTTAAACTCCCTTGCATCTACTCAGGTGGCTTATAATGTGCTTTTGAAAAATTGTTTTAGTACTTGGCATTTGTATTTTTTGTATTTTGTTTGATCTCTACTGTTTTTTATAGTTCATGATGCTTGAGTAGTACGGAATATGACAAGAAAGTTATCATACACTCCCATGAACTTCAGAAAATTAAATTGTACTGTTTTTCTTTGTCCATAGTGACATCAAATGTTTTTCTATGCTTTATACTATTATAATTATGTGCTTCTTACACTCGATTTGTCAAATTTGTAGACTGGGAATTCTCTAGCTCCATCTGGCAGTTCAACACCACCTGTTCAGAGCTCTGTTGCTGCAGCCCCACAAGCAGTTCATCTTTTCCGGCAGCCATTTCCACCTAATTGCTTTTATCCTCACTATCTTTCACCTTTTTATATGCATCCAATGCATCAATTTTTAAACCCCTCTGGGCTCCCTCAGCAACCTTCAACCGGTAATGTATACATGCCACCTGGAGCAGCTGCACCTGGGGTCAAATTCCCTCTTCCACAGTTCAAGCCTGGAACTAATGTAGGAAATCCTGCTCACCTCACAATTCCATCTGGCTATGGTCCATTGACTTCTCCATTTGTTGGTTTCAATTTATCTTTTCCATCAGTGACCTCTGGAAGCTCTAGCAGCAAAGAGAATCTTGTACCATCACAGTTGAAGGAAAATCATATATACACAACTGGACCAATGGTTGGTTTTGCTTTACTTTTCCTTTATAGAACCAACCATTTTACATAAAATGTGTTTTTCCATTATGTATTATATGATCGATTGATTGTAGTTATGTTATGGGGTTTTTGTTTTAGCTTATATGCAAATTGTATCTTACTATATTTTCAAAGTATTTTTTATTGGCAATCAAGTTAATTCTAACACAATGTAAAAGTATATATTTTTTTTGGCAGAATGAAGGTTCAGCACTCTGGATGCCTGCTGCACCAGGGCAAGATTTATCCAACTTGCAGGTTAATTCTTACAACCTCTCCCTTCATGGCCAACAGGTTCCTTTCTCTCCTGCACAGGCTGGTCATGGTGCCTTTGCTGGACTTTATCAGTCACCACAAACAATGGCTGCTCCTTCCAATGTTAATACCCTGCTACAACAATCTCAAGCCATGGCTGCAGCTGTTGGAACTGTGGGTCCCCCAACTGGTGCTTATCAGCAGCCTCAACTTGCACAGATAAATTGGAACACTAATTACTGAACTGTTAAAATCTTACGAGCACGCAAAATAGAAATTACATGGGAGGACCTTATGGGAGGTTGAAACTCTGGCCTTCTTTTTTGAGTGTAAATACTAAAGGCATCTCACATATATGAGGGTAATATCTGGTGGGGAAATATGTTGCCAACTTGTTTTACCTTTTTCTTGCCATATTTTCCCCCCATTTCATATAGTGTTGTCCTGGGTAGCAAACTCTTTGCTGTTTCTATTGGAACTTATTATTCTCGTAAGATTCTCTATAGGAATTGAAGAGGTCAATAGATTAGGTGGGATTTTGCCAAATTTTCCTTTCTAATGTCTCACCTGTATATTAAATTTTGAATAGGGAGGAAAGGTGATACAAGCTGTAATTGGTATATGAGAAGGCTATTCTAGTTTCTTGAATTGACTGATGGTCATGTTAATGACAAGCTACCTAGTTATTTTCAGGTTTTGCACTTTCATTCCATCATCAAAATCTTCCATCACTTGATTATTTTATGCTTTAAATCTTTTGTGTTTGTTAGATGAGATAGTGTTGAAGGGTGATCTGACTCGTTTAAGGTATTTACTCATCAGTAAGTTTGATGTGTTTGGGATTGTCAGGTGATTTGGAAGGCTTTAGCTAATGATACAAATCAAGCAACACAAACCTTTCCTGTGAAATTCAATTCCAAAGCATAGAATAAAACAAATCATCAAATATTGAGGGGAAAAAACTCAGTAACTCCTGTCAGTCTTTGTTTCCTTATCTATACAAAATATGAAATCTTCCATCCAGAATTCTTCTGTTGGAGCCATTACAGAAGAACACAGGCCTTCATCCTCCCTCTCTCTTCTATATTTTTACACAACATTAGTAGCAGTATTTGTTACTGTTGAGTCTTCACTGACATTTTCACTGGTTTTCGTTTTTGGTAGAGGGTTTTGCTGCTTGCTTGAACTTTCATTTGACTCTTTCAAGTTAAGTGATGTGTAAACCGACATTCCACCAAGAGCAGCAACAGCTCCACAAAGGCTCACAAAGCCTGGATCTGAATCCAAAAGTACATATCCTCCAACAAGTATCACACATGTCTTAAATTGTCCCAATACAACATGAGAGGTTGCAGAAGTTGCTCTACGAGAAAAAAAAAGACATAAGTCTGCCATTAGTTGCTTCAACCAAGTCCAACAAAGAGTAAACAATGCTGTCTGAAACTTGGCTCTCTATGTTCAAAAAGTGAAATGTGAGAATAGAGTCCACTCACCCCAAAGCCAGAGCACCAGACCATTGTAAGAGAAAACCAAGTAGAGCTGAGATGAGAACTGCTGTTGAATTATTTAGATCCCATTTGAACAATAGCAGTCCTGGTGGATCCAACCATGGCATCAGGGCTACTAAGAAGAAAATTGTGATTGGGGTTGTCTTCCACATCAACCTACATTCGAAATTTGTTTTCTCAATAACCAGATGATTGTTTGTCCGATAGAGGAAAGAAAAATATGGCAATTACTTCTGACTTACGCAAGTGCTGTCCAGTTGGCTTGTTGTTGTAAATTAGACCAGAGAATTTTGTTTATAGCGCTTGGGATAATCCATGCAATGGCGATGCATGCACCAAAAGCATTGAACTCTAAATCTGTCACAGTAGCTACTGATACACCGGCGGAGACAACTACTAGAGCCAAAACCTGAAAAATGATGGATTTCATAATAACTAGCTGGAAAAAACCAGAAAACAGGAAAGAATTAAAGGAAGTCCTTCAAGTAAACTGCCAGCTAACCTTTTTGAAAGAAATGGTTTTCCTGAAGAGAACAAATTCTGCAAGAACAATAGTAGGAGTGACTGCAATTTTAGCCATTTGGTAGAAACCAACACTGCATATCAGATGAATTGTGAGGAAACAGGATTAATGACAGATTTAGGAATTCAAAAAGCTGGTTGAAAACCAGGTTGCAGACCTGTTATACTTTAGGCTGGTATTGGCGAGGCCAGACGCAAAAGCCATTATAGCGCCCAAAGTGAAGAGGGATGAGGAAGGAGTGGTTTTAGAGGGAGGGGAAACTGGAAGCAATGACAATGCCTTGAAAAATGCTAGTAACAGCCATGCTATGGAGTAATGTATGAAGGTTAGGAAGATTGGGAAATTGAATCCAACTTTCCCCATCACCTGAAAACAAATATTACTCGTATAAGACACTTATATTGAACATATTGTAAAGCTTTAGGAAGTCTTAAAATAAAAGAGCAGTAGTGTTCTCAAATGAATATGATAGAACATGTAAGAAAAACGAGTTTAAAGGAACTAACTAATTTGTTTGCCAGAATAATCCCAACAGCAACCATGAAATTGAAGGACATTGCGACCACAGGTCCACAAAATCGTTGTTGTTGGCGCTTGGCTCCTTCTGAAGTTCTAAGCTCGTTGTAGAGGGAACTCCTGAGCTCTTCCAATGCTCTACCTGGAAAATAATGGAATTTTGAGAACTAAACTTTTCCTAGAAAACTAACACCAAGTCATTACAGACATAATCTGTTACTCATGAATGACTAGGATTTTGATAATGCTGGCACAAAAAAGCTATTAAATTGTAAAATTGCCTAAACGATGATTGATCTGAGGCTCAAATATGTATTAAGATTTTAGTCCTGGTCCCAAAGGAAAAAGAAGATGACATAGGAGTAGGAGCAACTACTTTGCTGGCAAATTAGTTGTAGAAGAAGAAAAGCTACCTTTGAGACCATTTAGCAGAAGTAAAACATTCATTGTTTTCCTGAACCACAAAAGTTAAATCCTCACGATCAGGAGAAATTCCTTATAAGGATATGCATCACTGAAAAGAACAATCAACACTGAGGCTGCATAATTACTTAAGAGTAGCAAGCAGTTCAAGACAAGATAAAATCACTTGGAAACTATAAAAATGGGCAATTCTTTTGAGAAAGGGACCTGAAAAAAAAAAAACCTTTAAGGAAACCAATAGGAGACTAAGTAAGAGAGGCGACAGAGAGGAGGGTCCAGATCAAATAATCATTAATTATTACAAGCATGAAAGCAAATCCCTTTGTCTTACATTGCAAATCTAGCTGGTTGCCTGGATTCTTTTACCCCCAAAACTCCATTTGTGGACAACAAAAAATCAGCTTGAGTTAACAGAAAGAACACAATCAATGAAGTAAAAAAAGTAGATAATAAACCAGAAATCAAAGAAAGAAAATACCGATTTCGTTGACAGAATATCACATCACATTGAATAAAATGGAGATCAATGTTAAACAACTTCACGGGCAATGTCATATTACCTATGGAGACTCTCCAAAACTACTAAACGAAAACATTGACATTGGATCCCAAAAAAAATTTACAGGCAGAGAAAAAGATAACCATAATGTAAGAAAGAAAAACCATAAAACAAAACATCTTGTCGATGAAGAATGAAACATGAATATGAGAATGTCGTTTAAGGATTCAGACAAACCTGCTTCACCTGCATCACTGTCTTTCCTTTTGATAAACTTTCTTTCATCTGGCCCTAACAGAGAATCAAACCACCCCATTCCAACACAGAAACTGCACCTATTGGATCACAAATGATCAAAATGAACTATCTTAAATATATATACCACATTTTGAAAAGATAGAAAAACTTTCAGTTGAAGGTAAAATTTTTAAAAAAGGGTCTTGTAATAAATCAGAAGAGAATATAAATGAAGATTTGAACTACACAAAGATCATATTTTAGATTGACATGGACAAGTGTCCTACTAAAGTTAGTTACTGATAATTGAAATTTTAAATTATCAGATGAGATATTGCTATGCCCGCACCTAACTCTACAAACACCTGCAAGGAATGGAACGATGAAATGATTACATGGTGCCACATGTCAAAATTTCTCACTGCAAAGATCCCTATGGTTCTTTCTTTTAATACATACACGTTTGATTTTCATGATCTGATATGGGTTTCCGGATAAGTTAAGGAAACATCATTTTTTTTTTAAATTTGTTTTATACAAAGAAATAGTCAATGTATGTGCATCTATGGCCGTTAAGTACTCTTTTGAAATGAGCCAATAACAATCTCGGGGTTTGGAAGTTCGTGATAAGGAGGCAACTCAATTGGTTTTGATGCCACATTGTTATTGTTAATTGCAGGGTCAAAAATTTTTTATGGATTTGATTCATTTATTATTAAGGGGAAAGGTTAAAGGAGTGGCTATAGGCACAAGGGTATATTTATAGAAAGACTTTAATAATGAATACATTATCTATTCTTGAATTTTGCAAAAATAGTGCGGCCTTTAGGCTTTAGCTAGTGCCTAGTAGGATCATCACCTGGATGACATGATATTAATGGACTGGTAATTCGTAAATGGCGGATCAGAAGATGTTGAACGAAATTGATGGTATGCTTCCGTTCCAAGAATCGAATAAATTGATGTTTCAACAAGGGAATATGAACGTTTGTGTCTGTTTTGTCCCCACTCTTTCATTCAACAACCAAAGGCAAGGACCTGCCGCCTATAATAATGCAACATCCAACCTGCAAATATACTTATCCAAGTTTGTACGTATCTCTGATTTCTTACATTTGGAAAACATGAAAAAAATTAGATGTGAACTGCTTTTAGCAAGAGCTCAAATCCAATCACTATATGTGCTAATGAACACCTGCCAATCTCGATCTAACATCACTCCCATTGAAAAGAGGGTTAAATAACTTAAAATTACCAATAATTTAGATGTCAATGGGGCATGATATTTACTACCAGTCTTGAATATAATACAGTTTCAATCAGGCTGGTAGCCTCACTGTTTTTTGACTTACAATTTGTTTAACAAATCCATTCAAATTTCGTAAAGACTAAAGAATCCAAACAAACGGAACAATGGTTGTCATAGTTGCAATTTTTATTTTTCATACTTTATAATGAATACAACTTTTTGTGTCTGGATTCAAAGTTTCAAACTCAGATTTGATTACAACCAAAGAGAAAAAGGACCTTCAATAGAAAGAATGGATTCTACTGATGAGTTACTGGGTCAATTGTCTTGAAGTTGCTGCTCCAGGTATTCATTTTCCTTCAAAATGGCGTCAAGATCAGCTTGTTGCTTGTCTACATTTAAGCTTCGGGAAGCCATGGTTGCTAGTTTCTTTTCACGGTCGGCCATTTCTCTTCGAATTCTATCAGTAGCGAGAATTTTCTCGGAGATTTGCTCAAACCTCTCATGTATGCTAGTAAGTAGCCTATAAGCCTGTCGCCCAACTGTGTCTTTTTTTGCTTCCCTGCACATACACAGTTCTTTTTAGGGAAAACAGCATATAACTTCATTTAATACATCACCTATATTAAGGGTGCAATGCCAGGAAAGGAGGGCATGAAGACAGGTGCACCACCAATAGCAGTCAGTCATACCTTAAAACAGTTTCATTGACAACAGCATAGGTGCGATGAAGGCTCTCCTGAATGGAATTGCTTTCTAACTGCAGCTCCCTAGTTTCTCTTAAGATGCGTTCAATGTCAGTGTCTAGTTTTCCACTATTTTTTGTGATCTCCTTTATCCTCTCAATATAGGATCTCCTAGATGCCACTTTGGGCCGCTTCTTGAGGTCTGCTGCAAGTTTCAAGTGTTCCTCCTCCCTATAATATTGACAAGATATAAACAACTTATAATATAAGGCATAGTAATATGGGATGCATAAAGCTAAATCATATCACAGTCAGCAAACATTCAGGCAAAAGCTAGATCATTTCTATTGTTACATATTTGTGGCAAACTATTGAGTCTTTACTTTAATGCCTGAAAAATTTTCCACTAAAGTTTTCAATTTTTTGCGTGACATCTGTTTTGATCATTCTAATCAAATTGGAAACATCATCAAATAGCTCAAGTCTGACCAGAAAGGCATGCATAGGGTTCTAGTACAAGAGGAGAATTCTTTAAAGGTGGTAGACACTACTGCTGTACATGTCATAGACTATACTGATTCATCCTGCAGACAAAACTAATAATAAAAAATTTAGATTTTATTTTTATTGTTATTTTTAATAACAAGAACAATGTGCAAAATAAAAAGATACTAAACTTTGGTTCCAATAACCTACCTTTTTCTAATTTCAGATAAGGTAAACTGCATTTCTAGCTCAATTTCTCTAAACTTTTGGAGTTTCTCTCGAGGTTCCGAATTGTATGCATATAGTCTTTCCTCAAGACTTCTTATTTTCTCTTCAATAGGTTCTTGGAAAGCATCCCTGCAGAGGAAAAACAGATGCCAAGTTATAGTTGACACTGTTGCTAGTATGCTATTTGAACACTGGACTATTCTTTTGATTGCATATTGGGAATTTTTCTTGGTAATAACTTGTGTCAATTTCCATGCATAATCAAATGGTAGACCATGAAAAGCACAGCAAGATTATTGTGAATGATGTTATTATACCACTGCAACTCCAATTCCTGAATATCATGCTTTTTAGCATCAAGTTGCTCATTAAGTTGCTCCAAGAAAAAGTCCATAGGATGACTTTCGTCAAATGCCATATCTGCTGCTGCCCTCCACAATCCAAGCTCTTCCTCAAGATGCTGCACTTGTAAAGTATTTGCTCCCAGTTCCTCCTTCAGCACTTTTTCTTGAGATAGCAAATTTTCTGCTTCATATTGTATCTGGTAAAACAATTGACATCAGATACTCATACACAGAACAATGAACAATTCATTTTTTTGAATCCTGTTAAGACCTATCTTTTTAAAGTAAAAGGAAATATAAGATATTTTTAAAATTATTTTGTCAGTCTTTGTATCTAAAGTAAAGAAATTTAATTTTCCTTTGACACTGTACTTCGATACTGCTTTTATGAACTAGAAGAATGCAGCACCTAATTGTATTTAAAATTTAGATTAGTCAAAAAAAAGCACCTCGGAATATTGCTCTTTGGGAGAAGCTGAAACAGGTTCATCATCTTTCTGATCTGCAGTTTCTTCATTTTCAGATGCACCACTTCTTGAATCCACAACTTCTGTTGTTGACTCATTAAGTAGCTCATTCTGTGGGATATCATTCACCCTAAGGGGGTCACTGATAGGTGCATCATCGGTCTTGAAATTGGATGATTCCAACAATTCATCTACTCTAAGATCTTTCAAGATTGCTTCAACTTTTTGAAGATTTTGATCTACCTCTTCATTATTAGGCTTCTGAGTAAAGGACTTCGAAACTTTCTTAAAGTTATCCTCCTTGATTTTCTGTCTCAAACCAACATTCTTTTTCCCAGAGAATTTTACAGCTTCAGATGAACCAGAAAGCCTCTCCACCAAAAACCTTACCAACTTGTACAATTCCTCTTCTGATGGATGCAAGAACTGCCCTAAGCAACACATGTAATCTGTTCTAAGCATAGTTTCAGAACAATAAGAATAGCAACAACCAGAATCAAAAGAAAAGAAAGCGGGCACAAGGGTCAAACAAGGTAGTTTCTCCACAATTATGGTCTTTAACTTGTTCTAATTAAGATATTAACGATCTAAATAACCATCCGAGAAAAAGCCTATGTCAACTAAAACAAGTACATGAAAGCTTTTCTCTAGTGCATGAAATAGAGCTAAAAATCAGCATTAAGCCAATATCCAGAATCACTTGTCTCTAAATTTTCCTTCAATAAAAGAAAAAAATCCAAACAGATTCTGCTAAAGAAAGTTTCCACTTTCAGGGCATAATTCAGGTTCACAAAACAATTCATCCATAAAGTTAACCTCTTTCAGCGAAGCCACCATAACCAACAAGAAATTGTTACTATAAAATCCAAAAGATTATAACTTTACCATTAAATCAACAAAATTAAACCACCCCCATCTATAGTTCAGCTCCAAATTTCACATAAATAAAAAAAAAAAGTTATGAAAACTATACTACCTTGTAATAGTTCATGTCACCAACATAACCCAGATTCTTAAAAGTCAAAGAGATGATCGAACAGATCTTGAACTTGTCAGCCATTGAGACAGAATCTTCAACTGAATTGGGAAACGACATGTCGTTGTCATCACCGCCTTTGTTGTTTCCGAGGAGGTTAAGTGATTGGGAGCAGATGGAAATCAACGTTGTCGGGGTTAAGTCGTTAAACGACGAAACGCTTTCTGGGATCGAAACTCCCAAACTCCGTAAAGAGTTTAGTAAAATCTCCTGAGACTCTTCCATTGTTTTGGGAAAAGGAAAAGGCTTTAAGCTTGATCCTTCGGAAAGAGAATTTGAAGTAAAATACAAATAAAAGTCCGTCGTTTTGACGAAGGAAACAGATACGTCGTCGTTTCATCAGACATTTAGGTGATGAAATTTTGCAAATTTGCTAGTAGTTTTTAAAAAGTTTTTTAGTACTTTATTATTAATGTTTAAAGTATAATCCATCTTTTTTAATAGTATAAAACATTTGAAAATGTATCTAGCTTATATGACATGTACATTGATTGCTGGACAAATTTATAGAGGTTAGGAATTTAAAATTTTAAATACCTAATGTCTTTTTAAATGAATTAAGTTAATAAAAATTGAGGATTAAAAGATTAAAGATAGATTAGAAAATAAAAAAATAAAATGCATATTTTTATAATGAGATTTGTAACATTTTTTTCTTTATAAAATGTAATTTGACTGAATAAATAATGTAGTTTAAAAAAAAAAAAAAAAAAAAACCCAAAGCAATTCATATCCTCGGCGGGTCCTTTTGTTTAAATGATTGATATAATGTGAAAAGTAGTTTATTTATTAAAGCAAGGGCAGGCATGGAATGGAAAGCATGTGGTCTACCAGCCAACACTTTCCTTCAGTGTATAGGCAAGCATTTGGTTCAATCACTTATGCAGACAACTATTAGTCAAGGTTCTTGGAATTGTCTTCAAATATGGAAACTAGAATACATGGTGAAATCGAGGACATGCCATTGCCTCCTCCTACAATGGGGTCTATGCAGATTGCAGGAAGCAATGGTTTTGGTCACAGCATTGAGTTCATGTCCCAAGCTTACCTTAGAAGTAGGTACTCTGAGATCGATATTGAGGACTACACTGTTTATGCTAACAAAGATCACCCTCTTCCAATATTTGTTAAGGTAGTTGTCAGGTTTCTTTAATTTGTTAATGTTTTTGTGCTTTTTTAATATCAATTTTAACTTTTCATGATCTTGGTTTCGCTATGAAGTTTGAAGATGTTGAGTTTAAGGTTAGAAATACCCAAGCAGCATCCATCAATCCAGTGAAAGCTGCGGTGTCAAAGGTAGCTTCACAACTGAACTTGGAGCAAGATAAATATAAGGAAATCCTGAAGGGTGTAACAGGCAGCACTGGCCCTGGTGAAATCCTAGCTCTGATGGGTCCTTCTGGTAGTGGCAAAACAACCTTGTTAAAGATAATAGGCGGAAGATTGACAGATAATGTTATAGGAAATGTTACATACAATGACATTCCTTACAATCCGGGTCTTAAGCGAAGGCTAGGCCAATTTTATAGAAGGTTTTCTTTTCTGTCAATCAATGGATTTCAAGTGTTTCTTTTTTCGCAGGATTGGATTTGTGACACAGGATGACATATTGCTCCCCCAACTAACGGTTGAAGAAACCTTGGTCTTTTCTGCATTTCTGAGACTTCCTAGTGACATGAGCCTGCAACAAAAGTATGGAAAAGTAGAGATGATTATGAAGGAGCTAGGTCTTGAAAGGTATGTACTTAATAGGAGTAGTATGGAGGTTTTCAAATGGAAGATTATAACCTTTTTCTAAGTGATCTGTTGCATAACCACAGATGTCGACATGCAAGAATTGGGGGAGGATTGGTTAAAGGAATATCAGGAGGAGAAAGAAAAAGAACTAGTATTGGTTATGAAATTCTTGTTGATCCTTCATTGTTGTTGCTTGATGAACCAACTTCAGGTCTTGATTCCACCTCAGCAAATAAGCTTATTCAAATTCTTCAAGGAGTTGCAAAGGTATCCCAAATTGGTGCCTGTTATCCAAAATTTGACTAAAATATCTACAAAATAAACGTTCACATGTTTGATGGTCTACAGGCAGGGAGAACTGTTATCACAACAATTCACCAGCCATAGAGCAGGATGTTTCACTTGTTTGACAAACTTCTGCTGATATCAGAAGGCTACCCCATTTACTGTGGGAAGGCAAGAGAGTCCATGGAGTATTTTTAATCTTTGAGATTCCTTCCAGAAATAGCAATGAATCCAGCTGAGTTCTTGCTCGATTTAGCAACTGGCCAAGTTAATGACATAACGCTTCCTGAAGATTTAGTGGCATCTCAAGAGCTGCTGATTCCGACTGGGCTGTAATCAAAGTATAAAGTGTTTTAAACTCTAACAAGTTAACTAATTATTTGATTTCTTTGTTTGATTGTCTCCATCTTAAACATTTTTCTTTCCATCATATTAGTATCTTCAACTCAAATACAAAACTCGTTTGGAGCCAAAAGAAAAGGAAGAGAATCATTGAAGTACCAAGGCACCAAAGCATCTTCAACTGGCCATTCAAGTTAAGAAAAACTGGACAATGAATTGGTGGGAACAGTCCATGATAATATCCAGGAGAACCTTCGAGAGAGGAGGAGGGATTACTTTGATAAGCTAAGACTATTACAATCACTAGGAGTTGCAATCTTGCTAGGTCTTCTTTGGTGGAAATCCAGCGCTGCAACTGAGGCTCAACTGAGGGATCAAGTAACATTTAGTAACCTCATTTTACAAATTGTTGATCCAGTTAAATTATTTGGGCATTATGTGTAAATTGCTTTTCCTCACTCTTGATTTTAGGTTGGTCTGCTATTCTACATCAGATTTTCTGGACATCTTCATCACTGTTTGGAGCAGTGTATGTTTTTCCTTTTGAAAAGGTCTATTTGGTGAAAGAAGGAAAGCAGACATGTACAAATTAAGTGTATACTATGTGTGCACCACTCTGTGTGACATGGTGGCACATGTTCTATATCCAACATCTTTCATGTTGATTGTGTACTTCATGGCTGGTTTTAAGCTAACAATCCTTTGCTTCTTCCTGACATTGTTTACCATCTTATTGATAACAATTACAAGTCAAGTAAGTCAAGCAATCCCAGATATCAGGCTTTTTTTTTCTTTAAAAAAAATCAAATGGAAGTCAAAAACTGTTCTTCTAGTCTTCTTGGACTAATGAAATCTTCAAAATTAGGGAGCAGGGGAGCTGTCTGGAGCCGCAGTTTTGAGTACTAAAAGGGCTGGGATGATGGCCTCTTTGGTATTGATGTTGTTTCTTCTCACAGGAGGCTACTATGTTCAGGTACTCTAAACTACTATTGCAATTGCTTTAAGTCTTCATTGAAACACAAAATTTCAGCTATGATGAGTTCACTAAAACACATAGAACGTTGTTTTATTTTGCAGCATATACCAAAATTTATACAGTGGATGAAGTACTTATCCTTCATGTACTATGGCTTTAGGCTTTTGTTGAAAGTGCAATAAATACTCTGGAGACCAATTATATGAATGTCAAAGCAAAGGTGGCTGCCGGACTCTGATAATTCGCCTTCATTTGACAAAGTTAACCTTGATGGTGGCTTGCAAGAAGTATGGATTTTACTTGCCATGGCACTCGGCTACCGGTTGTGTGCGTTCTTTTGCCCGGGCAAGAGAATTAATGCCTGTCATATTTGAGCAAGCAGATTCTACATTACTGATAAATATGTATGTAACAAGATAATTGAGCAGATTCCAAGCTTTTTGATCAGCAAAAGAGAAGGCATACAGGAAGCCAGGAAGTTGTATACATCTAAGACTGGCCAATGGTTCTAATATAGTCTTGCCACTAAATTTTCACTGGGAAACCTTAATATTATAGGACCATACGTGTTTTGGATGTCAGCCATATTGCCTTCTATAATATCTTATGGCAGGAATCTATGTTGCTTGGACTCAATTAAAAAAAAAAAATCTGTATCTGATACATACTCAATTATTATTGAAACCAAGACGAAGCTTCGTCTGTCCAAATATATGAATAATTTTAAATTAATTTCCAGTAAACATGACCTCACCTCCAAAGTCATTCGACCAGACAGATATGTAGGGAACAAGTAGGAATAAGTACAAACTAGAAAACGACAATCATATGCATTTCCTGCTCTGTTCTAGCTGCCTTTACTCTTCCAATGATCTCAAATAGTGCAGGTTGATTAGATCCCCCTCCCTGACTGTGTCTAACTATACTTTGTTATTGGAAAGGATGCTAAATTTTACCGACAAAAAGTTAACTCATTTGGCAAAAATTGTTAGGGTTTGACTCAAGTGGATATTCTCTTTGTTAAAATTATTTTAAATATATATATATGTAATCATTATTTTTAAATTGACGAATATAATACATTTTATTTTAATTTAATAATTGAATAATTTATTTACTTTCGATTTTTTTTAAAATGCTCAATTTTTTATAAAATTAAATTGAATAAATGAAAAATAAATATTACTTTAAGTTTGATACGATGAACTTATTATTTTGATTAGGTAAAATTAATACATAATTATTGAAATGAATCCATGTTGACCCAGAAAAACACTTGTGATATAATAAAATGTAAGCATGGAACATATTGATTTAGGAAGTAATAACCCGATTTTCTTCTGTTAATTATATATTATATCTCGCACAATATGATACTTGTTGATTAAGAAAATAATAACCCACTTTTCTAATCTTCTAAGAAAGGCAATAAGAAGGAAAGTATGGCAGAAGTTGGAGATTTGACACATAAAAAATTGATTAAAATAGTCTTTGAATACGAATTCATTGTCTATTTGTCAAAATCGAGTCTAAAAAATAATAAATTTCAATTCAATTACTAATAAAGTTAATTTTTCATTGGTTTTTTCGTTGACATCGCATTGATGGTACTGATGGCATTGTCATTTTAACATGACATGGCTATCAGTCAGATTTGCTTCTTTAAGGCTGTTGGCGAGGTATACTTGGCCACATGGGTAAATATTTTTTGGTCATTGTCTTTCATAGACATAAAAACCTTTGTGGATTGTTGTTTTGGGGTGTCCTTGAAACCATTCATGGAACCTAAATTTAGTTGCAGTCAAAAAAGTCACTGACACCATAAAAAACTGTCAGCTATAGGCAATCTCTTTGTGTCTCTCTCTCATTCTTTCTCTCCTTTTCTTACCATCAATGGAAAAAAGTCCTGTTGTCTAACAATCCGTTGCCTCATGTCAGTTCCGGATTGGTTAATATCCTTCTGTTTCTCTTTCTAAAAGAACTTTCTTGCTATCTTTCTCTTTCTGCAAAGACTTGATCGTTCTGGATACAAAACTGTCCTGGGAAATGGCGTTAGTTCCACATTCAAGTGAACCAGAACCGAAAACAAGTTCCACTACTCTTCCATGGAAGGTCATGTTCCGATCTGCATCAATGAGGAGGCCTTCCCCAGCACCAGTTGACAACGACGCGCCTCCAAACGAACCCCACGCGCCACCTCAGGAGCCAAATTCTCTGGACCCAGATAACAGAAACAGCCTCTCAGGTGATACCCAGGTACGTTTGGCTCTTTACGTGGCCATGGCTCATGCTGGTCTTGCCGTCACCATATTCATTTTATATGGAATTTGCAAGCTCTTACAGGAGTATCTTAGGCCAATTCAGTGGGCAATCTTGTCTTCAATTCCTTTGAGAGGTATACAAGAGACTCTTGTGGGATTTTGGAGTGAACCTTTGAAACTAGGCCTTACTGAAACTGTTCTTGCTGTTCCTGTGGCTGTTTTCAAGGCTTTTATAGATACCCTTGTTGATATTAAGGATGTTTATCTGAGGGTGATTCTTAAAAGGCCAAAATCTACTCTTTCAAGGCGTAATAAAAGTAGATTTTCAAAGTTAGTGAGGTGGCTAGTGTCTTTTGCTGTGTTTGTGATTGCCTATGAGAGAATTGATGGTGTTGGGTCATTGATAATAATTGTGTTGGGGTTCGTGATTACTACTAAAAATGTGGATTATACATTGTCTGCTGTTTCATCATTCAGGAGTAACAGTTTCAGGAGAAGTGCAATTACTTCGTGTTTCACGCGTGGGATATTGAAAAGGTTGAATACTATTGTGGCTATAGGATTGATAATTGGTATGATTGTGGGGTTTATTGCTGGAGCTACATTTTTCTCATATAAGATTGGTGTGGAAGGAAAAAATGCTGTGATTTCATTGAAAGCTCATGTGGAAGAGAGTAATTATGCTGAGAGGATTGGTGTTAAAAAATGGATGGAAGAGAATGATGTCTCTGGAATGGTGGATGAGTACACAACAAAGTTCTATGAGACAGTGTCTGAGCAGATTGATAGTTTGGCAATGCAGTATAATATGACAGAATTTGTGACCGGAATTAAGCATTTTGTCATAACTTCAATGACTAGTTCATCAGCACAATCAACAGCTTTGATGACCCCCACTCCTTATACGGAGAAACTTTTGAGTTTGAGGAAGAGAGTTAGCAATCGTGAATGGGGAAAAATATACACGGAAGTTATTGCAATTTTCAGAGAACTGATAATCACACGGGAGGATTTGCTTCAGAAAGCTAAAGGGTTGTCTGTTAAAGGGGCAGATGTCTCACAACGGATGTTTGCAAGTGGTGCATCTGTATTAAGTGGTGGTGCAAAAATCATGTTCACTATTGGCAATTCCATCATCTCTGGAGCTGCTGAGGTCTTCAATTTTGTATCTCAGTTGATGGTGTTCTTTTGGGTTCTATATTACCTTATCACATCAGAATCTGGTGGGGTAACAGAACAGGTGATGTCTATGATTCCAATATCAAAATCGGCTAGGATTAGATGTGTTGAAGTTCTTGATAATGCGATTTCCGGTGTGCTTTTGGCTACAGCTGAGATTGCATTTTTTCAAGGATGTCTTACAGGGCTTCTATTTAGACTCTACAAAATACACTTCGTTTACATGTCAACAGTGCTTGCTTTCATCAGCCCCTTGTTGCCCATTTTTCCACCTTGGTTTGCAACAATTCCTGCAGCTGTAGAGCTACTGCTGGAAAGTAGATACATACTAGCTCTGACCTTCTCCATTGCTCACATCTTCCTTATGGATTATGGTGCTTCTGAAATTCAGGAGGATATACCAGGTTACAGTGCATATCTTACAGGGCTGAGCATCATCGGTGGAATGACATTGTTCCCTTCTGCAGTTGAGGTAACTTTTAACAATTGACTTCCTTCTGTTTTACCTTTCCTCATCTTTTTAACCTTCATTTCCTTTTCCCAATAGTATATTGGAACTTTATGCGTCTCTTCATCAAACCATGCTGAAGTGACGTTTCCCTCATATGTAAACTGAATACATATAATCTAGTTAAAACTGAATGCGTCTTTCCTTCCACAGGGAGCAATTATGGGACCCTTGATCACCACGGTTGTTATTGCTTTGAAAGACCTCTATGCTGAATTTGTACTGGAAGAACCAAAGAAAAAAGACTAGAAGAACACCACCTCCTTTAACCGGTTTGCTTCCATTGTGGAGAGCTTATGTATATTAGCACGACTGGTTTCGAACAATTTACAGAAACAGCTGTTCCGAGGTGCATTTTGTGTTTATTCAAGTCTTATTTACGTTGGCAGACCGCAATTGTTATGTATCCTCTTTGTGTTTAGGAGCTTATTCACAAAGAGAGAAATTTGTACATTTTTTTCCTGTATTTTACCATGGAAGAATTGGTAAAGCCAATGTTCGAGTTTATAATTCTTTCTTGATATTTATCTGTTCCAAGTACAGTGAAAAAAGACACCAAACACTACCTCCAGAGAAGAAAGCCTATGAAAATCAATTCAAGAAATACATATATCAGTGCTATATCCATTAGTATATGGCAACAGCAATCATACGAGATAAAGTTTGGCACTGAACATCACATTTTCCAGGAAAAGTACATCTTCAAATCCACTAGAGATACAAACTATGATTTAAAACCGCAAGGTTCACTTGATTCCATAATTGCTTGGGCATTCAAGTGAATTACTTCATGTATTTCAGCAGGAATTTCCGGTGGAAGTCATTTCTTATGGTATCATTAATGAAGCGCTTTTGAGGCTTGGTTTCACCACGGGCCTGGTTCTTGAAGACAACATCATCATCCCACCTGAACCACATAAAAACAACAAAATTAGGAAATAACTTAGATCATTTTGAATGTCAGGCATTACCTAAATAATTAAACTAGAGGAAGGTTTTGATCTTTCAAGCCACTCACCTTCTTTTTACACCAAAAGATGTTGGATTATTGAGTAGTGGATTTCCTCGAAGTAGCTCAGCTTCTTTGGCTTTTAGCTGTTCTTCTTGCTCTAGTTTTTCCTGCACAAGCATAAGGCAATCTTTTGTTACTAATGCAGATGTCAAACAATATATTCTACAGCTATAAAATTTACAAGATATCTAGCAGCATCAGAAGCTCTCGAATAGCAATCGAGACAAGATATATCATTGGATGATATGGTGTTTACCTGACGGAGTTTCTCCTCTGCCTTCTCTTTCTTTATTCGTTCAAGCTCAGCCAAGAGAGCTTCTTCATCATCCTCTTCATCATCATCCTCATCATCACTAAGACAAAAAGTTAAGATCTTTTAGTAAAGAGTAGCATAAAGTACCAAAAAGAAAGTAAAAAACACCAACATCCAAAAGTTACCAAAAATAACAGGAATTATTCTTTTATGGATTTCACAAAGCAATTATAAGTTTTTGAAATTTAGTCTTTTGTTGACTTCAGAAACCAACAATTATGTATCGTATGTTAGACCGTGCCTTCTAAACCATCTAAAAAACTACAAGAATTCAATAATCAAAGTAATTAATTGTGCCAGCATAAAAAACAGAGATATAGGCAAGCAGTAGAACCTTTCATCATCACCGTTGACTTCCACATCAGAATCATCAGCATCAACACTGCGTGGAACAATTCGGTCTTCAGTCTCCCTCTTTGCCCCTACAAGTGACTTACCCAGTTAGTAAAGTGCTCTTAGAGCTCATTAATTTGATATGAAATAGGAAAGATGGTAATTCACCTTCCAAAAGAAGATGGTTTCCCTTCCGACGGTCTCTGTCATCTGCAACAATATACTCGCATATTAAGAACAAAAGCATAGAAATTTTACAGCAACCACAGTAATACAGATAATTCATGCAATATACAAACAAAAAGTTGGTAGCATCTTTTTTTTCTTTCACCATTATAGGACTTGTCCTTTGAAGAGAAATGCCTGCGTTCACGCTCTTCAAGTTCATCGCGAAGGTTTCTCTTCTGCAACTCATCTTGGGTGTCCTGCCCATCCTTTCTGCATTTCACACATGCAAAAACAAACAAATAAATAAGCTCATGTATGATACAATTGTATCCTGGGACCTATAATGCATCTCTAAATGCCTAAGAAGTAGGATTTTAAATTCTCCAAAACCAAGCCTTTTGAACACATGAGAACAAAACATAAGAATAACAATACATATGTAATGAACAAACATGATTATTTTCCAGTTAGAATCATCACTTTCTATCTACATACATATTCAATTGTGCAAAAACCGAAAGCTATCAATATCACCAACAATTGTACCCCAGGACCTATAATGCATCTGTAAATGACTAAGAAGTAGGATTATAAATTCTCCAAAATCAAGCCTTGAAAACGCATGAGAACAACATCAGAATAACAATACATATGCAATGAACAAACATGATTATTTTCCAGTTAGAATTATCACTTTCTATCTACATACATATTCAATTGCACAAAACCATGAAAGCCATCAACATCACCAACAACATGTTTTAATCCCCTAAAACTTGTGCACATGAAACACACACACACACACATTATAAGTTACAAAAGACTTACCTAGGCTTTAGAGTAGTATGAGCAGCAAGGTCCCTCGACGAGTACTTCTGAGACGGCCCAAAAATCCGGGTACCACCTTGTTCATTCCCACCTTTGGCAGGTTGCCATGTGGGTCTAGCCGCGGTTGTCATGTCTTCTTCAAAAAATTACTAGCAAATTAACCTCTAAGCTGCCCAATTCAACACATATCCATATAACAATCAGCAAAAAAAATTAAAAAATTCAACTTCTGGGTATCTTGAGAAAAAGAAAAAAAAAATTTTAAAATTTATAATCAAAGAAAAACAGAACCAAATAACTTGAAGAGTTGGTCAAATATTAATACCGAAAATTGAATAAAGCCCTAACTCATTGAATAAATTGATGCATAAACAATGACGGAAAGACAAAATTTTAAAGTAAAAGAACCGACTTTTTTCTTTTCAACTCTCTAATTTTCTCAGCAAACAAACAGAGAAAAGAAAGTACAAAAGTTCCAGAAATAAAAGCAATTGAATCAAACCTAACAACATAAACTACTTAAGATCAAAGGAAAATTAGGGTTTTACCTTTGTCGACTGGACGAGGGAACTCGAGAGACCCAATCGAAGGAAGAAAAAAGATCCGACCTTTTTACTCGGTGGCAATATTAATAGAAAAAGGCAATCGGGTCGGTGTTGGGATCCAAGTCAGGATGTTATTATGGGTTAAACTGGGTAGTTAGACCCGTCTTGACTATTAGTTTGGGTCTAAAATTTGAAGCTCAGCCCAATTGAATTTCTTTACTTTAATTCATGGACTGGATCTTGTTTGGGCCATGGACTTGTATTTAAGCCCAATTTTTATACAACATTATTACTACAATTTGTTTTATATTAATTAATTATACTTAAATATTTATTTTATATTTATATATATATATATATTAAAATTTTAATCATTAAAATAAATAGTTCCATTTTATTTTATTTTAATGAAGAATAAAAATAAAATTTTTTACAATATTGTGAAATTTTCATTTGGATTAAAAAGAATTAAAAAATTGTGAATGTCTATTCAGTTTTGAAAGTAGCATATGGGCATTGAATTGTATAAAAAATAATAATTATGAGCCTCTATCAAAAGTTTTATAAACAAATAAATAATAAATATATATGAGAAAAAGAGAAGCATCCCCGTTATAGGTATTTATGGGTTGAATTGGGTAAGGTTCAAGGTGGATTTATATTTGATATTAATAGTTTATATATTTGTTTAGATTTAATTTGATCTAATATTTTAAGTCTTAAAATTTTTTAAATTTAACCCAAATTAAAAAAAAATCTTAAATCTATCTATTAAGCCTAATTTATATAATAAAAAATTAAAAATTTTTTTTTTTTTAAAATGTAAAAATAAAAATTCACATATATAATTGTAATATTTTAATTATATATATTTTATTTAAATCTAATGAATTGGACTTGGGTTTTAATTCTTTTATGCAAGGTTCCATTCGAAATTTAAACGAACTTAAAAATTAAACCTAAACCCATTTAATAAATTTTAAATTTTTATCTAAACTCTTTTAAATCTTGAATGTACTTTTAGATTTGGACTAATAATTCAACACTTAGATAATTCTAATCCCTGTCCAATTTTGCAATGGACACGTGTCTTTTTCAATTAACCCTCCACCTTCCAAAGCCTTGAAACTTCAACTCCTTGAAACTTCAACTCCTTGTTAATTCTTGTAAATTAATTTGAGTATGAGTTAAGGGTTCCTCAACTTTTCTTCTTTCCTCTTTGATTTTCTTATCAAGGAAAAAGAATTGAAAGAGGCTTTGAAACATTATTAGTTTGTATTACATCAAGTATTGCTTGAAAAACATGCCAAAAGTTTTCCTTTTAATCTGTTTAATTAGATGATAATCAGAAATTCATTTCTGAGTGTGACCATTGCCTAACCCTGGAACATATGGCCATTGTAGAAATCTACATGTTGCTATCAGTTGCTAGCTACCACAGTCAAAAGCATGTCAAAATAAGATACACAATTTTTTTTAAACCCAACTCCTATTTCCTTGTAATAATGTTGAGCTTGACCAATTCTTAAATATATGATTGTTTTTCCAAATAATTTGGAAATAAATCAAACATAAAACATATTAGTAATTAACTCTGGTTTCAATTAGTGTTCGATTTTTCATACAAAATAGAAATTGTTGAAAAAAATTGAGATTCGAACACTGTATCGCACTATAAAAAAATTTAATAACTTGGTTTTTGTGTTTAGTAGAGTTCATTCAACTAGAACACAAATGAATGAAACACCTACCTAAGGACACCTACTCAGATATGGAGGGCCACTTTGCCTAGACAAGTGTACTTCAAGACCAGTTTCAGACCACAATTTGATTTGGAGAAAACATGGAGGTCAAAGTTCCTTGGTCTCTTCTGGAAGTAGATAATCCATCTGCCTGCCTGTGGGCTCCCTATGAATTCATTTATCAATGACATAACCAAAGTAGACATTACACTTATTATAATTCGGAAAACACAGATAAACATAATCAGTTGGAAGATCAAACAAGGCACCTTGGCAACATATTATAAACCAAATACAATTGTCATGATCATCCAAGATCAACAATTCAGATATTTCACATAATTTTCATGAGTGAAATTGATTCTCATGCATGAAACAGTGTGTTAACCAAAGTAAGAGATATTAGTGGGGTTTTATTGCTAAATAATTTGTAACAAAAAGTAAAAAGTTCATGGAGTCATGATCCTTTAACATGATACTATATGGAAACAACTTGGTTGGATTTGGTGGCCAACTGCCCACAACCATAAAAATAGTTGGAATTGTCACAACCACTGTAGCCGCCATAATTCAAAACATTTTTCATGGATGAGAATATGTTATAGAATCAATTATATAAAACAAAATCTGTTTACCACTTGGATGATTAAAGCCTTGAAGTGGGATTAACTCAAGCTAAAATATGGAGAAAATAGCTTTGCTTTTATCCCAATTGTTTTATAAGGAAGAGAGAGAAGAAGGAGGAGAAGATTTGCAGTTGAAGAAGCAGTTGCTGTCTCAGCTTTGCTTACTTAAGACACAAAAACCTCAGGGAAGTTAGGCCAACGGTTAGCTTCCCTCCAAGTTTCCCTCTTTCAATTCACTTGGAATCAAAGCAAAGGTTTTTTCAGTTGATTCGTGGTCACCATCTGAGACCCAACTTCACCTTCCTGTCTTATTCTCTCTGCTACCATCTTCTCTGTTTTATCTGCTCCCCCAACCTTCTATATCTACTTTCAATTTATTGAAGATTTCTTCATTCAAAGGCCTATATCCTTAAATACCCACCTAAGTTTTATGGTTTTTGTTCATGTCTTAGTGCTTTTTGTGGAGTGAATTCCTTGTAAAAGTGGGTTTCTTTATTACTTTTGAGGGACTATATTTAGCAAGTGCCCGCCAAACAAACTTCTGATTTGTTGAAGTACAGGTTTTGAAAGTATTTAGAAGTTGGCTCGCATTAATTTGGTGGGTTTCGTCCTGCTGTGGCTGACAAGTTGACTATGGCGGCCTTGAGACTTAGGCCTGCAGGTATTCAAGCTTCTCAATTCAACAGTTTGGCAACTACCTAAACCTTCTGGTATTTGTTTCTCAACTACTTCAATATGATATTTGTGATCATCAGTTTCATAAGATTTCTGCTGAGGAATTACAATTAATTGTTAGTACCATATGACAAAAGATTGGATTTGGTTTTTGCAATTGTTATTTGGAAATAAAGTGTGATATTGGATTTTGTGCTATTACAGTGGCTGAAGCTGTATTTGTTCATTAGTTTTGGAGCTGGGAAGCATGAATACCCGTTACTCTTTTCAACCGGATTCATTGTGTAATTCAAGCACTGCAGGTTCATTTTCATCAAATCCTCCCGGAGTAGAAGATAGAATGGCAGCAAGTACCCGGAATAGGTCTCCTCGTGCCCCGTCTTCTTCACTCTTGATAAGAACGGCGATGAGGATATCTAGAGCAAGGTGGTTTACTTTCTTAAGAAGAGTTTTCCACTACCAAAATGGATCAAGGTCCGATCTTGGGTCCAATCCTTTCAATTCTAGCACTTGGATGATGCTGGAGTTCTTAGCTTTGGTAATTCAAATAAGCATCACAACGTTCACTTTGGCCATTTCAAAGAAGGAGAGGCCTGTTTGGCCTATGAGAGTATGGATTGTTGGCTATGATATTGGTTGTGTTCTTAGTTTGTTACTGCTTTATGGGCGCTACCGTCATCTTCACATAACTCAAGGGGATGGTTTTGGCCTTTCTGATGTCGAACAACAGAGGACAAATGAAGAATCAAGGTAAGCTTCTTATCATTCGATTCAATCTTGCTGTTATTCATGGTATCATATCAGAATTTGAGGTCTAATTATGCCATATCATGTCAGTTCTGGAAGAATATGTTGAAACCCAAAATTGTATTAGGAAATGGTTTTTCTCGAGCATTTCGGTCCCATGACAAGATTTCATGATACAAAACTTACTTGCATGCCTATTAATTGAGATATAGTATGTTCAGGAGCTCACATTTGATGAACAAATGCCGGACTTCATTAGAGCTGTTCTTTGCAATATGGTTTGTGATGGGAAATGTTTGGGTCTTTGATTCTCGCTTTGGATCCTTCCACCGAGCCCCAAATCTTCATGTACTCTGTATCTCATTGCTAGCTTGGAATGCTCTCAGCTACTCTTTTCCATTTCTGTTGTTCCTACTTCTATGTTGTTGTGTGCCACTTATTAGCAGCCTCCTAGGTTACAACATGAACATGGGTTCCAATGAAAGAGGTGCATCTGATGATCAGATCTCCAGGCTGCCTAGTTGGAGATATAAAGAAATCAACACCAACTTAGAGCTTGATCATGATTCAGACTGCAGTGCAAGCCGGGCAAATGAAGATCCAGTAAGTCATATATGGAGAATTCAAGATTCCCATGTTGAACATTTAAATATATAACATAATTAATGCTCTTTTTCTAGCTTTTCTTTGATCACAAGAATGGTAAAAAACAGACTTAAATTAATCTTCCAGGCTAATGATCTGTTCTTGTTAATTTCTTGTGGTTGAATTTGACAGGAATGTTGCATTTGCCTGGCCAAGTATAAAGACAAAGAAGAGGTGAGGCAGTTGCCATGTTCCCACATATTTCACCTCAAATGTGTGGATCAGTGGCTCCGAATCATATCTTGCTGTCCTCTTTGCAAACAAGAACTGGAGAGATAGAAAGCAAGATCACAGCCGAAAAGCTCTTCCTTCAAATTCCCCCCCCCCCCCCCAAATCTCCTCCTTGATTCACTATGGTGTGATTTATTTTTATAATTACAAAGGTTATTTGAGTGAGTTTTGTTGTTTGTACAGTGATACTCACCAGTAACCAAAAAACATACACAAAACCATACTGATGTATACTGTTTATGAGAATATGTATATAAGAAGAATGAATAATTTTGCTTTCCAAGTGTAATTGATACCCCAAACTTCTATGTACCTTTTTCAAGGTCTGCTGTAAAATAATGCATATAGTAGCTAATCTAATTCATTTTAAGATTTTTCCACGAATAAAACCAAAACCAGTTGGCAACTATTGATTAGGCAGCTCCTTCTATTTATTAATTTCTACAACATTATTTTTGCCCTTATAGGGTGGAGGTTGCCATTTGGTTGAAGTTTGATATGAACATTTTATACATCAGAAAGGGTATAAGTAGAAGTTCATGCATGTTTTCTTTTATTTGCTAGCACCAAATCCAGAATATTTGGGCAATATCTTCTTCCAGAAATTGTAGTTTTTGCATTTGAACAATCAATGATTAAGCTATATGGATTTTATCAGACTCAGATCAAGACCCTCCAATCCTATGTACGAGAGGTTCTGAAAACTTTTTTGCTGAAACAGCCCTGGTTCTCTACTCCAACTCCTATTCCTGATCTAACTATTTATGTATTTATAAATATTAAAATTAATATATTTGTATAGTATTTTATATAAAAATTATGTGTCATAATTTATGATAAAATAAAATTTTAAAATGTATTTTTTTAATTTTATTAAATTTATGTATAATTATTTTTAAAATTTTAAATCATGTCATTTTTATATTTTATTTTTATATCATATTTATATCATATTATTATGTCATATTTTAAATTATTAAATTTTTTCTCCTTTTCTATTAAATCTCTCTAGGATGGATTTCACCTCTGAAAACCATAGCCGCCTTTGGATGACCATTTTTTTTCCTTTAATTGCTAATTTTATGTTATGAGTAATTGAAGTGTTTTTCACCTCATAAAATTCGGATTGAATAACAAAGACCTTTTTTTTTAATTATTGATATCAATCTAGACTCAGATTTGGAGTGCTATAAAGTTGTGGGTTGGACCAGAAATTCAGGAGCATTTGGCATATTTTATATCATGGCAATTGGTCAATTAAGCTGTAGGACTAAAATCCTGAAATCTTACATGTTGAAAAATGCAGACACCATGGGATGGCTTATTGGACTAAAAGCAATGAAGTGATTATCAAAACGGAGAGTACATGCTAATAAACTATTGCCATTGGTTGAAGGGCCATTTCCTTGTTGATTTCGGCACTCGTCAAAGCTCATAAATCAAATGCTAATGGTTTTCGATACGACTAGATTTTTAAACGAGACTTTTTCATTTTTAAATTAATTAAAAATTTGGGTCATAATTACTTTGATACATCAAACTGTTTTTGGGAGAATAAAACAGGACAAAGGTTCATGGTATGGAAAATAGTTGGTTGGTAAGGGTAAAAACCTACTTAGAAAACGACAACCTCGTGTCTTTTATTTTATATTTTGGTTCTTCCTTTGCAGCCACTGCCAGTGTCGAACACCAACCGTTCCACGCTCTATCTAAAATCGTTTTGTACTTCTTGTCTCTCTCTTTCCTGTTCCTTCATCGGAAATAACAAACAAGCAAAAGCCAGGCCAAGACATGAGTGAGTTAAAATCCAAGTTTTTGGAGGTCTACTCTGTACTTAAATCAGAGCTTCTTAATGACCCGTCTTTTGAATTTACTGATGAGTCTCACCAATGGGTAGAGCGTGTAATTCTCCATCTCTCTCTCTCTCTCTCTTTCTCTATTATTTCTTTTTTAGCCTTGTGGGTTTTTGTTTGTTGTGAATGGTTTTCCATTGGGTTCTTCTGGGAGGACTTTTTTCTGGGGTTCCTTGTTTGGATTCTGTTGGTTTAATCTCTGTTAAAGTTTTCTTCTTTGTGGTAAAGTTAGGTGCTCTCTGCTTAAATTGAATTTAGAGTTGGAAAAGGAGAAAAAGATTTGGGAGTAGAATATTTTGTTTTGAGATGAAAATCCATGGATTATTTGAACTTTGGATATATCAGCTGATTTTTGAAATTTTGCCTGAGCCTGCTAGATTTTATTCCCTTTTTATGTAACATTAAACTTTGCATTTTGTACTAATTGAAAGTGTATCTATCCCATTAGATAGTGTGATCTTATAATCTTTAACTAGTTTATGTTACAGGACTTGTTGTCACCCCTTTCTTGAATTGTATCTTATGAATAATTGTAAATCATGATAATTTGGTTTCTCCTTTTGTTGCAGATGCTGGATTACAATGTACCTGGAGGTGTGGATTGATCACGATTCTCAATAAAGACCAGAAATCTATAGTAAATAGGCTTTGTATCTTTGTTAAGGTTGCTTACTTAATTCTATTGTTGGCAGGAAAGCTGAACCGAGGGTTGTCTGTCATTGAAAGCTACAAGTTATTGAAAGAAGGAAAAGAGCTGAGTGATGATGAAGTTTTTCTTGCATGTGCCCTCGGTTGGTGCATTGAATGGGTAAGACTGAAAGATTCATAATTTTTTCTTTTATTTATCCTCATTTCATCAATAATTGCAACAGTTGTGTCATTTTTGTTTTACTGGAATTGACTTTTTAATTTTTATTTGTGAAGCTTCAAGCATATTTTCTTGTTCTTGATGATATCATGGATAGCTCTCATACTCGTAGAGGTCGACCATGCTGGTTCAGGCTTCCAAAGGTAAGACATAACAAGAACGATCCCCCCTTCCTAGTACGACAATACAAGCATGTTAGTTACTTTGTACTTTATGGGGAAAAATCGGTTTGCAAACCAGTTGGACCTGTCAAAGGAGTTAGAAACTTGAGATAAGCCAGTGGTTTAGCTTTCTCAATTCTATGGAATTTCTGACTTCTGGCAATTTCATCATAGGTTGGAATGATTGCTGTCAATGATGGGTTAATTCTGCGTAATCAAATTTTCAGAATTCTCAAGAAGCACTTTAGAGGAAAGCCTTATTATGTGGATTTGCTAGATTTATTCAATGAGGTGGGTTTGTTGTTGTGCTGGCTGCAGACTGCGGATGATCATTCGCTTTTGATATAATCTGGTGCTAATGGTGTATCTGAACTATTCTTATTTAGGTGGAATTTCAAACAGCTTCTGGGCAAATGATAGACTTAATTACCACACTTCAAGGAGAGAAAGACCTATCAAAGTACTCATTGTCAATGTAAGGGACTGTTTGAAATTGTTGCAGTTAATATAACTTCAGTGCAAATGATATTCTTTTTTGCATTTTTAACATATCAAATGATTTGTTCTAATGCAGTCACCGCAGGATTGTTCAGTACAAGACAGCTTATTACTCATTTTACCTTCCAGTAAGTACCTTTCTATTATTTGCCAAGATTTGCAGTCACACTGTCTGGCGAATTAAGCAATTTATAGTTGATCATTCAAGCTTGCTTCTAGCATACATCTTGTTCATTCATTTTATAGGCATTTAGCTTCATACCTGTTGTCATTTCATTGTATCAAATAATTCTTCCATAATTTTGGACAAGTGATAACTGCTTCTAACTAAAAAATGCAGTTTCATGTCAGGATATGTTTTAATCTGCTTCTAATTTCTCCGAACAAACCAGGTTGCATGTGCATTGCTTATGGCAGGAGAGAATCTTGACAGTTATACTGATGTGAAGAATGTCCTTGTTGAAATGGGAACCTATTTCCAAGTACAGGTGACCACTAATTGCAGGACTAGATTTTCTGCGTGCCAATTTGACAGCTATATGATATGAGGAACTACTGAAAGCAAAAATGTAAAACATGGAACATTTGTTAATTAAAAGAATTTCTAAAAGTATTTTGTTTTGGTTGGTGAAGCACCTTCTGTCAGCCATTAAATAAGCAAATATCTTTCTTTTCCACTTTTCACCTGATGGATTTTCAACTTTGTAGGATGATTTTCTAGATTGTTTCGGTGATCCTGAGGTAATTGGCAAGGTGAGTTTCAGGGTTATGCTAATATGGTTCATGTAATGCAATTGGTTTGACTTTGCACTTTCTCTCTTATTTTACTAGATCACTTGAAGGCCGCCTTACTACTTAATTTTCTTCTCTATTAGGTTGGAACTGATATCGAAGATTTTAAGTGCTCTTGGTTGGTTGTAAAAGCTCTGGAACGTGCAAATGGGGACCAAAAGAAATTGTTATATGTAAGCAGGAATCGCACCTTCTGATTTACAGTTTTGTTGTTTTATACAATATTTCCGATTTCCTCCACCTAATTTGTGTTTCATTTCCAGGAGAACTATGGAAAATCAGATCAAGCATGTGTTGCCAAGGTGAAAGAGCTCTATAAAACCTTGGATATTCAGGTTCGTCCTAGTGCCATCTGCTTCTGCTTTGCATTCATGAGCTGCAATATTTCTTTGACAGATTTCTGGTACCATTTGTAGGGTGCATTTGAGGAATACGAAACCGAGAGTTATGAGAAGATAATAAAGCAAAACGAGGCTCATCCAAGCAAAGCAGTACAAGCAGTGTTAAAATCATTTTTGGCAAAGATATACAGGAGGCAGAAGTAGAAACTTCAACAGCGCACAGAAGAACAAATAAATGTCGGAAGACTGGTTCTAATCTATTAAGCGTTGGTATTATCCAATTGCAGATGAATAAATGTCGGTCTAAGTACCTAGTCATCTGATGACTCTGACATGGATTATTTAGCAAATCTCTACATAATAGTAGTGAAACTGATGGTCTGAGGATTGACATCACAACCATTTGCCTGTTGTAGGGGATATTGAGTAAAACTTGTGCTAGAATATTATGTTAAAGCAGTTTTAAATGATTTCATGCTCCAAAATTGAATTCCCATTTGTCATTTTAGTACCTAAGCATTTTATGAACATTATGCTTGAACTTGGTTCACATTATCTTACATCAATTATTGGACCATCATAGCAAAAACATGCTGTACAATGTTTCTTGTATAGCCCCCCTACATGGAAACTTGAATCAACAAAATCAGACACTGTCCAATGCTGAGGTTGCTCTCTTGAAGATTCTCATACATGCTTTTGTCAAACTTTGATAGAAAAAACATGGGTTTCTGGAAAAACACATACCAAGGATGTTAGTGAGGAGTTAATTAGTTGGCAAAATTTCTTGGCATGGTAATTTTCATTGAGAAATGCAAAATCTAGAAATAAGGGGTTAGAAAAATAAATTATTGATTGAGAGTTAACCACATGTCCTCAACCAACGGAAAACCAATGCAAATTTTTAGCATTTTTAGCTACTTTTTTTGGTTTGTCAACCTTTGTATTTCTCCATTGGAATCAATACTTCTCTTTGTCCTCTTCCTCTAACTCAATTCCGGTGTCTTAATTTCCTTGACAAAAACTTTCTTCTCGGGATCAAGAAACTGGAAAGATCTCTAATTTTCTTTCCAATTATCAGGTTATCAAGCTTTGTTATTTTCATCTGTTATTTTTTTTCCTTTTTCGTCTTTTAAAGATTGAAATTAAACTTTTAAAGATTGAAATTAAAAATTGTATCATTTTTTTAATCAAACGTATGTAATTCATGCACGTTTGTTATTTTATTTTTTTTATAATACAATCATAAATATTTAAGAGTGCAATTTCACATTAATATGATACATTTATATTTTTATTTTTAAAATTTTTGTTTGAATTTGAAATCTTCATAATCAGTTTAAAAAAATAAAATTTAAAAAATGATTTCATTCCAAATGTGCACTCCAATTGTTAAAGTTAGTAAAAAATAATTTTGATCTTAATTTATTAATATGACTCTAATATACAGTCGTACGTATTTCTTATTTCTTATTGACAAATGGTTGCATTTTCTCAATTTGAAGTCACACCAAATTAAGAAAGCCATGGACGAAAAAGGGGAACCAAAGCCTCCAAAGATCAACCTAAAGGGTAAGATCCCAAAGTTATCTCTTGGAGAAATCAACTTGGAGGAAATCAAGACGCATCCAACATTGCATGTCTCGCCTAGAGGACCAGGGAGCATGACCAAGCCATCAGGGGCAAGGTGGAACTGCCTCTGCTCTCCCACGACTCATCCAGGCTCATTCAGGTGCCGTCACCACAGACTTGCAGGCATGACAAGGGGAGGCTCTGTCGGATCAAACCTTTCTTTGCTTGCAAAGTCTAAATCCGAGCCCATCAGTGATTCTCTCCAAGCTCACTAGCAGCTTTGAAGGAATTTCCTATATAATCCAAAGTTTTGAGTACTTGAATGGTGCATGATTATGAATTAGTAATCTCTCCTGAAATGAACGTAGTGATGTCGAAAATTTTATTAACATGAAAAATTGCAATTGTATCGTTTCGAGATAGATTGATGCTTGCTTCATTTGCCAGTTTTATGGTACTTTATTGATTCTGATTAATACAAAACTTCTCATCCCAATTCCCATTCAGTTGTACTTCGGTTATCAGGAACTGTTAAATTACGGAAGATCCTTATTATCTTGAAAGTAAAAAACTTAAACCCATTATTCCCCTGCATCTCTCATCAATCATCAACCATTCTCTCATTTTCTTTACCAAAGATAAAGTAAACTTCTCCAATGGAGTCCTTGAATTTGGTTGGAAATGTCATTTTGGCAGAAAAATTTTAAGAATAACAAGCTAAGATGCAAAACAAGTATAATGACCAAATAAAATGACAAAACGGGTCAAAGAGAAACCCTTAACAACCTAACAGTGACTACCAAGTAACAAGTCCCTAGGACTCAATTTTTATCGTTTTCAGATGCTGCTCTCTGCCATCAGGGAAAATTACCTGATTCATTCCTAAGCTGCCTCTAGTAAGGATGTACATTTGGGTAAACTCCAAGAGGGCCAAAAAAAAAAAAAAAGGTGAAACAATACATTGATCCAACTGGAAAATGACAAGAAAACTGATTTGAGTCTCAAACTTATTTCGTTGGTCGAATCCAAGTTGTCTCCGAGGTGTTGGTGTTTCCATAATAGACCTGTTTCGAAGTTTCATCCCAATAAGCCTGGAGAAAGAGAACAGACAGTAATGATGAAATTCGGAATCAGAAATTCAAAGAGCATGAAGAAAACACACCATAAACCAAGAGTAGCCAGAATTAGCCTTCAAGAAAATAAATAAATAAACCAAGAATAAAAATCCACTTACAGTCTACAACAGAACTTGGAAGCCAATCACACAGTGTTTCAACTGGTTTTGCAAAATAAGTAAACAAAACTGGGAAAACAATGGACATTTACCTGCCAACCAGAAGGGAGACCTCTTGAGAGTTCGTCTAACTCAGGTTGTTGGTTTCCATCAGGAAGCACCTCTGAGGGAGTCTCTGTAGATTCTTTGGCCTTCAGTGCTCTTCTCCGCTTTACTTTCTCACGCCTATATTTATCAAGTAGAAAAAGCATATCACCAAAAAGTTAAAGGCCAAAAGAGATTTAAAAAATTAATAGAAGAGAATATCTTGCATTTGGAAAGATCTCCACTCCATCATACAGAAATGGACAAGACAGAGGCAGTTGCACTAACACAATAAGATAAGTAAAATTGAATATCTTATGCAATTTTCTCCTGAATTTACCGCTCATTCTCAATGCTCAGGCTCATTAATTTCACTAAAGTAGATGGCCACACCTAAATTTAACAGTTTACAGCAAAATAAATGAAACTTTTTTATCAATATAGAATATAATATCCTTACCAATCACCACCCAAAGGCTGAAAATTTGCATTATCTTTAGCCTCTCCACTGGCAAGTTGCTGGGCATGCCATTCCTGCAATCAAAGAAAAGTAAGGTACAGAACCAATGAAAATGAATTAAAAAGCAAGGAACAAAGGTTCATTTGCAGACCTCTATTTCCCGTTGTCGCTTTTTTTCTAACACCTCATAGGCGTTTTCAGGTTCAGCTTCTGCATTCTCATGCAGTTCCTCTTTGGCAGCTTTCCACTGATAAAAGAGAAGCACTAATTCTAATGATTTCAAAAACAAACAAGAGATATATACCAACAAGCAACAGAGAAATCTTCAAAGAAAGTAACAGGTAAATCTTTATACCTTGTCCACTAAAGTGGAGACCTTCTTATTAGACCTCAAGGAGGATGCAACACCAACTGTCCGCTTTTTAGCTCGTGCAGCTGACAAACAAAGGAAACAGAATCACTTTTTGTCATCAATTCCAATAAACAAATGTCACAACTTTCATTAAGTTTTTCATGTAAACAAATGTCACGACTTGCATTAAGTTTTTCAAGTAAACAAATGTCACGACTCTCATTAAGTTTTTCAAGTACACAAATGAAGTTATTAGTCAGATGCAATTTATAAAGATATATTGCTCAGAAAAACCAATATCTATCTGGTTCATTTGAAGGTTTGACAGTTAAGATAAGCCTAAAACATTTGTAGAATCTCTTTGCTTCTTACCATCATAATTTTTAAGATTAAATTGATACACAACACTTTATGGCCCAAAATTATACCTTTAGATTGAACCTTCAGAGCTGATGATGAAGCTGCAGCTGCTGCAGATGCAGCAGCAGCACCAGCAGTACCAGAACCATCTTTAACAGAAGTGGTTGCAGGAGCTTCAATAGTGGCTAAAATAGAAGAGATCCCCACTGATGCTACCTCAGTCTTCTCACTAACAGTAGGAACATTGGCTCTCACACTGGGTCCTGCTACTGCAAGATCATCATCAGATCCAACTTGATTTGAAGCAAGAGTATTATAACTGATAGTGCCCACTTCACTCTGCAACTGTGAAGATTCTGTACCACTGGCTGTAGGCACAGAAGATGCACTTCTGCCTTGAAGGTTATAAAATATTACAGGCTCAACAGGGTTAGCAGTAACTGGTGCACTTTCAGAATATGTGTTTGGAACTGCTTGGTAGTAAAGTGAAGATTGGGGTACAGCAATTTGACATCCATCAGCATGTCCATAGAAACCGCCAACTGGGACTTCACTAACTGCATGTCCATAATACTGATAACTTGAATCAGAATAGCTTAGGTTGTAATGTTCTACATAAGTAAGAGGTGTAGTCTCCACATAAGATGGGAGAGGAGGATATGAATTTTCAGGAGGCTCATCAGGTGGTGGTGGAGGAACTTGTTCATTATCAGGAGGAGGTGGAGGAATCCACTCCTCATCTGGAGGTGGCGGAACAGCTGAATAATTAGCAGAAGGGTTTAGTTGCTCCAGGGCATTGGGGGGCACATCTCTGAGGGCCATCATGCTTGCTGGGATTGCATCTTCAACTTCCATGTCCACATCCATGTCAACATCCTCTCCAGCATGGACTCCAGTCTTAGAATTAGCTTCTCCAGAAAGAGTATCTCCATTGACCAGTTCACCTATTTCAGCTTCACTTTCACAATGTTCAGTAGGTGATCCAAAAGAAGGAATATTTACCATATTTGCAGCACTGCAGGAGTTAACTTGATTATTTACACCACTATTGACTACTGTTAATGTGTCAACATTAGTAGAAACATGAGAAATGTCAGGTGTAGAAGCAATTGCATTGATACCCTGTCCATCTGCTTCAACTTCATTGCATGAACCTTCGTTTGTCTTGAGCTTTTCTTCAAAAGAGGCAGGAGCTTCTTCAGCCTCTTCCATAACTACTGATTTTGCAAGCTGGTAAATTTTATCATTAACAATACCTTCAAGCCGTTTTAGCTGCCTTTCACAGTGCCTCCAAAATGGCAATAAAGATGATCCATAAGAAAACAATGACTTGATATCCAAAAGTCTAATCTCAACTTCCAAAATACATTCAGACATCCAGCCCAGACCTTGCAGGTTGTCTTCAGACCTGAAAATATGTTTGAATTAACATGTAAATAACCAAAACTAAAGAAATTCTGGTCTTCTATATTGGCTATAAGTAATAGCATATAACCGGATAATAGATGAAGGAAAGCAATTAGATATTTCTTACACTTTTAGTGACTTTAGTCTCTCTAGCAAACACTCCCCTTGCCTCAAAAGATGAGTAGAGAGATCAATCCTTGTTTTACTTTCATCATTAGCAAACTCATCATTGGTATAGTTCCCAGAGCCATCAAAACTCCCACCAGCCAAACAAGTACCAACAGCATCTGAACTAATTTGAAATTCACTTCTATTGACATCAGAGATCCAACTTTTATCTTTCATAGCTTCATTTTTGCATCCTCCGCCCTGCTCATCCAACTTCGGCTCATTATCATACACCTTGCTTTGAAGAATCAAGTTACCACCAATTGGTTGGGCACTTAGAGTTGATTTCAAATCATGCATACCCACTTGAGGAGGCTCTATATTTTCAACAGTAGGAGCCTTCTGGTCAGAAGTTGATTGGTTTATCTGATGCAAAACATTAGGCAGCTCCCAAGAAGTTTCACCAGTTTCAATGTTCCAGTAGTAATACTGATTACTCTCTTCATGCATTAAAATCCTCCAGCCTGAGCCCACCTCTCCAATGACCTGTACTTCAGAAGTTCCAGCAACAGCTATTTGTTCTGCAGAATCATTCTTGACTAATTCACTTGTGACATTAATATCTCTTCTATCATCAACGCCTACCAAGTTCTGGATAGAATTTGGAGTAGAATCTTTCTCTATGTTCTGTTGATTGACCTCTAGATTATCAAGACCTTCTCCTGCATCAGCTTCTGTATCTTTGCAGGTCTCACTTAGGGGCCCCTTAGCCTAATCAAAATTAAGCAATGAGAATGTGAAGGAAAAGTAACTTCCAACTATCAAATATGTAATGAAACAAAATGATGAAAACCTTAAGCCAGTCTAACTTAACATGTTCCTAATCTAACCCACAATGCTCCCATCATTTCAGTTAAAAGAATGAATTCCACTGTTACAAATCATGGATTTAAGAAATAGAAAGAGTAATGACCAGACAGCAGCCAATACAGCCAAACTAAACTCCATATCAAGCTCATCTTGCTTTCAACTTAAGGAAGAGGGCTAAAAAGAGAAAAGACTCATACCTAGGTCCTACCAATGCATAATTTCACAGACAGCAAAGAGGGAATCCAAAATTACCCGGTCATCAAGGTCAGATATGGAACCATCCAAAGTGCGATGTTCTAATCTTTTATCCGACTCATCATCCAACTCATCATCACTATACTGGCCAAGTAACAGCAAAGGGTTTGGTGGTTGTTGACCTGAAGACATGACACTAATATGTTAAATACTTTAAAACAACAATTTTATATAATTGATGATTGTCACTATATCTAAACCTAAAATCAGAGAGTGAGAAAACATTCATGTAGAAAAGTGATGAAACAGTTCCAAAAAAAAAAAAAAAAAACTGAAAAAAATCCATATGATAAATTTAACAGAAGCATTAGGAGCATTCTATGAGCAACTCATGGCAGCCACCTGTTACACATCAAAGAAAGATGTCAGTGGAAGCATTATGAAAATAAAGCCAAGAGACATACGAACCAAGAGAAAAATTTTCGAGATGAAATCTGCAAAACGCTTTGATGCAGTGAAATAGAGCATAACACATTGGGACTCATTCAAAATATCACATTGGTAGGACCCGTTCGGTTTTGTATGAATGTTCCAAAGACCACAGCAACACCCTGCAATCTGAAAACATATTCTGGAGGCAAACAACATAATATGTCTGGCATAAATTCCATATTTCCACCAAAATAACGTAGACCACTCATGCCCTCTCTACATAGTCCTTTTGAAGAAAACTGACGGAACCCACCTGAAGAAGATGGTGAATTGGGCAACCCAGCATGATGTTTCGGTTCCCCATCGATTTCTTCATGTACTGAGGAGCCACCCAAATCTTCTAAAAGTTCCAATAAATGACGTAAAAGTTAAAACACAAACAATATATAAATCGCAAAGCATCATATCCCTATTCACTTTTTAATAGCTCCAAGCTAACTTCTTCAGCTAATATCTGATTTGCTAATTTACTGAAAAATATCATAAGTAAATCTTTTTAAGCCACCAAAAAAAAAAAAACAGAACAAAAAGAAATCGCCTTTGCTTTTCCTTGCACTCCAGGATACTAACAAAAATCAAATTCAACAATTCTAGGGTTTTCAGCCCTTTCTTCAATTGAAAGAGTAGATAAATTGAGACAAAGATTACCAGAGGGTTCCGCGAAGAGATCGAGCTTAACACGGCGGCCGGCGTTGCTCAGAGCAGCTAGACGACGCTCCTTTCTCTTTCCCATCGATTTGATTTTGAATTATGATTCAAAGACAATACCTTTATTTATAAATTTATCTAGGGTTTCTTCTTCAATTTGGGATTTTAGATTTTGAATTCTTAATCAATAGCTTTACCTTTACGGCTTCAAAAAGAGGCGTCGCGGGTTTTTGTATTGGCTCCAGCTTCCCTACATTTCAATACGGCGCCGTTTAAAGGGTCGGACTCAGAAACTGCTATTACTAGATAACCAACCTAAATGAACCTCTGTCCTCGGCTGAGCCCTTTGTTTGAAAGTGTTTGGGCTTTGGTTTTTTTGTAGCGTTGTTGGATTGGAAGAGGTTTTTTTATTTATTTAATTATTGAACAAATTAAATATATATCTTTTATCTAAACTAAATTATTATTATTTATTTACAAATAAAATATTTGTTAATAATTACATAAATCCAAATCGATTGTCTCACAACGAAGCAAGGTTTAGATGCTAGTCGTAGAATAATTAAAGCGTAGAATTATATATATATATATATATTTATTGTCACATGGTGGCAATGATTGGCTATGTTATTTCTTTGGACTAAATTATATTTATATATAGTAATTAAAAACACGTGTTTTTTTAATTAAAATAAATTTTCATCAATTATGGATAAACCGCTCCTGTGTTACAATATCACTGATTTCTTGAGGATAGCCCATGAGCCGCCCCATTTGCTTCACGACATATAATCGAAAAACACATGTTTTTAAACTTTGAAAAACTTTGTATTATTATTATTTTTTTAACATGTAGCAAACAAATGTATAGCATGTACAAATTTAACTCTTTCTATCTAAATTATAATATAGGACCAAAACTCTATAATTAAGTGAAGATGAAAACTTTTAACCTCTTCTTTTTTTTTAAATGCTTCTCTCTCTATTTTTTTTATCAATTTATGCATCATTGTAAATATAATATTATTTAAGTTGAATCAAATTAGATTTCATTAACAATTATAAATATAATATTCGAATTTGATTAAACTTAAAATATTTGTTCAAAACTTCAATAAATCAAGTTAAGTCTTTGTAATTTTTTTTATTTTTTATAGTATAATGATAGATCGAGTGATTCGACTAAAAAAAACGACAAAAAAAAGTTTATATTTATATTATAATCTGTCTTATATTTAAATTGTATATGAAAATTTTCATTTGTGAAAGAAAAGGAAAAAGCATAGGTTGTCTAATAGAATTCTTCTTGCCTTATGGTGGTTGATACGTCAAGGAAGTTGTTTCTTGTCTAAGTCTATTACTTTCTCTGTTATTTGTAATAATTATTTACTTGGAGTTAGAATATTTTTATTTTGTACGTTTTTCGGCCTTGAGCTATTTGAAGTAAATAAAATGAATGAAATCTTTGATACGACAATTGATATCTTTGTAAGTGTATGAACTTGAATGCTATCACAAACATGTTCCTTGAAGAACATGGTACAGATTAGTAAAAAATTGTAACCATAGTATCTGGTTTGTAATTGTTACATATGTCTATATATACACTCACATGTATTATCTAATTTTAATTAAATTTTGAGTTAAAATCATATTATTGATAAGATTATATATATGATATCTCAATCTTATATCAAAATATTTTATAAATTTATTATGATATATAAATAAAAAATTAAAATTATAAAATTTATAAATTAAAACAAATAATATCTCATAAATTAAAAATATTTTCATATGATATGTATTCATAAAAAATAATTTTCATTTACTTAGCCTTCGTAATTATTTATATTAATAATAATAATAAAATTATCATGAAAAATATCAATTGCTGTTATTATATTAACAATTACAAATGGGCAAAATAGAAACTAACAATATAACTATTACAGTATGAGTATTTGAGTGCTTTTAAACAAAATAATGTTTGATTTTGAATAACGTCAATTACAATAAATTTTAATTTTAATAAAATTAATGATTATTAATTAAAAAATGATTCAAAACCATGAATAACAAAATCACCATAATAATAAAATTATGTCCATAACTAAAGATATCCACAGCAATCTTTAATGACAAAATCCAATCCTTAAATTTTTATTTTATTTTTTAAATTTGTTCATTAATGATATAACAATTTATGATTTAATGATAATATATAAAAATTATATATTATTAATGCATTAAATATTAAAATTTCTTATAAATATTCCAAACCCTTAGCTTAATTAATTACCATAATATTAACTGGCCAAAAAAAAAAAATTAGGATAGTATTACTCACCAGCACGTGTACGTAACGACAAATAATTAGGATTATGAAACAAATAAAAACTAAAAACGGTGCCGTTTAATTTCCTTGTCTTTATCAACTTCCCTTTTGTCAAACCAAACAAACGCAGCCTCGCCCGTCAAAGTATCAGCGTCAGGTGCCACGTACCGTCAAAATTTCGTACTTATCTAATTATTTAATTATTAATATTTACCATTTTTAAATTTCAATTAATTAATTAAAAAATTCTTTTTTTTCATGTCTGCGTATAAATTATTGAAATCTGCAGCTCTACATCCCTATCACCCCACAGCTTCGCGAAACTCACCGCCGGTTTCACAGATCTTCCATACTTTCCCAGATAACTCTCCCCCCAAAAAGGTAATACTAACATGTTTTTTTTTATTCATTAATGGGTTTTTCTCTGTTTGTTTCCCGAGAAAATTAAAGGAAACTTTTTGAATCTCTGCCAGCTTAAATTAAATAGCTTTAATTAAATTTCGTAAGCGTCGATAGATCTATTAAATTTATATTTTGCAATTTAATTCTTTTTTTTGTAGATTTTTGGCTTTTTTTTTTGGAATCGATTATATTGGATCCCGATCAGGGTCAATTTGTAATAAAGTTATGATTTTTGGGTTTGAATTGGTCTTTTTGATGCTTTTGATTTGATGAGTATTTGATTTTGAAACTACAGCAATGTCTGGGATAATTAAAGAGTCTTGATATAAAGCTGGGTGATTTGTGGTGAACCTGTAATTTTTGTAGAATGGATGTAATGTACAATTCTTTGTTGGTAGGATGACTCTTGTTGTCCTCTGCTTTGTATTTCAATGATTCCTGATTATGCTGTATGTGTGGATTGTCTGATTGTATTTGGAGTATGTCCAATGCATGAATAATGAACATGGAGCAGTTGTTCTCATATTTATGTGTGGCTCCATATAGAGAAAATTAGAAGGAAGAAAAAAAAAGGAAAAGATTATGGAATGCACTGATTGAGATCTTGGTTTCCTATTGTAAAACAGATATCATTTTGATTTTGAGGTGTCCAAGTTTACGACTTTAAGGATTCAGACTCGTACATTTAGGCTTCAGTCAGCAGAATCAGGAAATGGTTAAAAGGTTTGTCCTGTTATTTGCCTTGAGACAGATTATGCGTACAGAAAGAATGATGTGCATGGGATTTCTAACCTCTTTTCCTGTTGCCTAGGTATGGAGTGTTTTGATGTTTGGAGAATATCATGTTGCAGTGCATAGACGGATTGAAGCATTTATTTGCTTCTCTACTGCAATGCTGTGATATTGATTTGTACAAGCAATCCAGAGGACTTGACGATCCTGAACTTCTTGCAAGAGAGACAGTGTGTATGTTATCATTTTTCTTTTTTTTTTTTTTAAATAATATTGTTCAGCTTTTACTATATTGCTAGAGTATAGTGTCAATGCTTTTGAATGATTTGCCTGTGTTTTTTTAGTTATTGAGTTATTCTACTAAAATTTGTTATTTTGCGCACCTTTATGCAGTTAGTGTAAGTGAAATAGAAGCTCTTTATGAGCTCTTCAAGAAGATAAGCAGTGCTGTGATAGATGACGGGTTGATTAACAAGGTCTTTGATTATTATTATTTATTTATTTATTTTTACTTGCATTTTGTTTTTTATCAATCAACGCTTTTTGTTATTTTTGTCAAGTTTTTGGGCTTGATGATCACTCAAATTGAATTGGTTCTTCCCCCTTCACCATTTCAGTATTTGAGTTTTATTTGATATTCCTACTTGGCAGGAGGAGTTTCAATTGGCATTATTCAAAACCAACAAAAAAGAGAGCTTGTTTGCAGATCGGGTATTTTTTATCTAACGTTGTTTCCATCCTTGATAAAAGGATTCTTGACCATCTCATCAAGCCTATTCTTTGTAGTATTTTAACTCAAGTTATTGGCAACTTGCCTGAGCTGCTGTCAATGTATTTCTGATTTCACTGCAGGTATTTGACTTGTTTGATACAAAGCATAATGGAATTCTAGGTTTTGAAGAGTTTGCTCGTGCTCTCTCTGTCTTCCATCCAAACGCACCCGTTGACGATAAGATTGAGTGTACGTGTCAAATATTTAAGTTGTCTACATTGGGATCTTTATTTGCTTCTTTGGCCATAAGTCATAATCTCTTTAACTTGGTGGTTGGATGTAAATGACTGGCATGGAAATGGAATTACGAACTTAAGCATGTACTTTGTCTTCTCCTAATTCTTTGATTCCTTTCTGCAGTCTCTTTTAAACTATATGATCTCAAGCAGCAAGGTTTCATTGAGAGGCAGGAGGTAAGCATTACGTTTTGTCAATTTTGATCTTTTGTATTCTATCTTTCTTCTATCATTCTTTCCTTTTTTCTTATATCTTTTTATACATAGGTGAAGCAAATGGTAGTGGCTACACTTGCTGAATCTGGCATGAACCTTTCAGATGATGTTATAGAAAGTATAATTGACAAGGTGATCGCTCAATCTGATTTACTTGAAGTCATATGCTTGTATTTTTCATTTTCATTTTTCTAGTTTCTACATGTTAAATTTTGGAGCTTTGCAACAGACCTTTGAGGAAGCTGATACGAAACATGATGGGAGAATTGACAAGGAAGAGTGGAGAAGCCTTGTTTTGCGACATCCATCCCTTCTGAAAAATATGACCCTGCAATACCTCAAGTAAGTTCCAAATATACTCTATCATGGAACGCTATTGCCTGTTGTAGGTTACCGTAATAGACTTACCGTTAGCGATTTGTTCCCACCTTCAGCCGTTCTCATTTGTTTCCTTGAGCAGGGACATCACCACAACATTCCCGAGCTTTGTGTTCCACTCACAAGTTGATGATACCTAAATTCAACAATTGGATTAAAGCTTCATAGACGGTTAATTATGGCTTGTTTCATTCTAGCAGTGAGTCTGTGTGGTGTTTTGGTTTATTGGTTAAATTTTTTTTGTTGTGCGTGTCCATATTCAACCCTTGAACATTCTTCTTGTTCTCAGTGCTTTTGGTCAATTGGTGCTGAAATATTTTGCGTGTATCTTTCTCTATGGTGTTACAATGTAAAAAATCTTGGTCCTTTTGAAAAAATTTCTACTATAACCTCCAATGTGGTATCCTTGTTGTGGATGTAAAACTTGAATGCGGCAAATAAACAAAATTTGTTATATACTCTTTTTCACTAAGTTTAGGTGCTTCAGGATTTAGAGTTTGGGTGGTTTTAGGGTTTAAAAAATATGAGTTTAAATTGTAAATTGATTTAAAAAGTTTGGATAATTGTAAATTGTTGGAGACAATAGTTTGATCTTTTGAATAACCAAAGAATATAATTGTAGCCAAATGTGTTTTTAGTTACTATGTAAAAAAAATATGTATAATTTAGTCTGAAGGGACAAAATTTTGTATAATTTAGTAGGTTACTCGGAGTGTAAGCAATTCACTAATATTGATAAGTTATTTGGGTAGATAAAATTTATTCAAATAAGATTCAAATTTGATTTAATTATTAAGTCAAATTTAAGCAATTTGATTATTGTTAAATCAAATTTGAATAATTTAATTTATCAAATAAGTTGAATTTAAATATTTTAATGTTTAACTAAAATAATTCATGAAATTAATCAAAAATTTAAATTTTAATATATTTTTGTTATTTTAATTAAAAAATTATTAATTTATCCTTATTTATATCAATTTGAATTTAAATGCAAGTATATAATCAAATTTAAAATTTGAACATATAAAAATTAAACTTCTTATTAGTCAAGCTTTAATTAAATGAAATAAAATAATTTAATTTTTATCTCAAATTAAATTTAAATTTAAAAATTAAAGTTTAATTGAATTCTAAATAATGAATTTTAAATGAAATTTAAACTTCAACTCAAATTGTCGAATAATGAATTTAAAATAGAATTCAAACTTCAACTCAATTTTTAACTCAAAGAAAGCTCAAACTGACATAATTAAAAGTTGTTTGATTTTTGAGTCAAAGCTCAACACACCCTAGGAACCATAGGTCCCACTTAGCTGAACATTTATACAACGAAATATGTTGTTTGCGTCATAGAGTGATAACCGCTTGATAGAGATATGAGAACCTCTCCTACAACAGATACGGGTCCTCTGCTAACAGCTTGGGGACATAACTTTGTATTTCATAGACATCACAAGTCACAACCAAGGATGAGGCGCTAAATAATGGTATCCCGAAATAAACAGCATTTAAGAGTTTGACAGAATTTTCAAAACCTCCTTCCAGACTTTTTGCTTTGGACTAAACCAAAGAAAATGTAAAACCATTACAATATTAGAGCTAAGGGTACCCTTCAAATTAAAATGAAACCACAAAGTTCGCATAAGAACGTGTTAAGCTTAGTCAACTTCCTCCATCTTGCTGCCCTCAGCATCAGCATCCTCCAATGGGGGCATCTCAGCATCAGCATCTGCATCACCAGCATCCTCATCAATGCTCAACCCAAGTTTCAACATCCTGTGGATCCTGTTGCCGAAGGTGTTGGGGTCATCAAGGCTGAAGCCAGAGGTGAGGAGAGCAGTCTCGAAGAGCAGTAGAACTAGGTCCTTCACAGACTTGTCATTCTTGTCAGCATCCGCTCTCTTTCTCAGCTCTTCCATGATGGGGTTCTCGGGATTGATCTCCATGGTTTTCTTGCTCGACATGTATCCAGCCATGCTGTTATCCCTCAAAGCCTGGGCCTTCATGATTCTCTCCATGTTGGCAGTCCAACCATACTCACCAGTTACCAAACAGCAGGGAGAATCAACCACACGATCAGAGACCACAACCTTCTCAACCTTGTCACCCAACACATCCTTGATAACCTTGCAAAGACCCTCAAACTTTTCCTTCAAAGATTCTTTCTTTTTCTTCTCATCCTCACTCTCATCGAGTTTCAGACCTTCCTTGGTGGCAGACACAAGCTTTTTGCCCTCAAATTCCTTGAGTTGACCAACAGCATACTCATCAATAGCATCAACCATAAAGAGGACCTCGTAACCCTTCTTCTTCAGCTTCTCGAGGAATGGGGAGTTCTCAACAGCTTTTTTACTCTCACCAGTGATGTAATAGATGTCATTCTGGCCCTCCTTCATTCTGGTCACATAGTCCTTCAAGCTGGTCATCTCATCACCACTCTTGGTGGAGTGGTATCGGAGCAATTCAGCAATCTTAGTTCTGTTCTGGGAGTCCTCGTGGATACCAAGCTTGAGGTTCTTGGAGAAGGCCTCATAGAACTTGTTGTAATCTTCCTTGTTCTCAGCTATCTCAAAGAAGAGCTCAATGCACTTCTTCACCAAGTTCTTGCGTATAACCTTCAAGATCTTGTTCTGCTGCAGCATTTCCCTTGAGATGTTTAGAGGAAGGTCCTCTGAGTCAACAATACCCTTCACAAAGCCAAGAAATTCAGGAATCAGCTCCTCACAGTTGTCCATGATAAATACACGTCTGACATAGAGCTTGATGTTGTTGGGCTTCTTCCTTGTGTCAAAGAGGTCAAAGGGTGCCCTCTTTGGAACAAAAAGGATGGCCTTAAACTCAAGCTGCCCTTCAACTGAGAAGTGCTTGACAGCCAAATGCTCTTCCCAATCATTTGTAAGGCTCTTGTAGAATGCAGCATATTCTTCCTTTGTAATCTCTTCTGGCTTCCTCATCCAAATTGGCTTCTGCTTGTTCACCAAAGACCACTCATGTGACACCTCCTTGATCTTCTTCTTTTTCTTCTCTTCCTTCTCTTTCTCCTCATCAACATCCTCAACTTTCCCTTCTTCATCCTTCTTATCCTCCTCATCCTCATCATCAGAAATCTCCTTCTCAGTAGTCTTCTCAATCCAGAGGGAAATAGGGTAGCTAATGAATTCAGAGTGTTTCTTAATCAAGTCCTTAACTCGGCGCTCCTCAAGGTACTCAAGCTGGTCCTCCTTCAAGAAAAGGGTAATCTTAGTACCCCTACCAAGGTTCTCTCCAGAGGTGTCCCTGGTGACAGTGAACGACCCACCGGCTTGGGACTCCCACACATACTGTTCATCATCATTGTGCTTCGTGGTAACAACCACCCTCTCAGCAACCAAGTAAGCTGAGTAGAAACCAACACCAAATTGCCCAATCATGCTAACATCAGCACCAGCAGCCAATGCCTCCATGAATTCCTTGGTCCCAGACCTAGCAATGGTCCCAAGATTGTTCACCAAATCTACATAGCAGACACATATTCACATTAAAGCCCCATTTTAGTTGAAACTCAAGAACAAAATGAACAAGAACTAATAAAGTAATAACAAAAACTTACCAGCCTTGGTCATCCCAACACCACTGTCAATGATTGACAGGGTGTTGTTAGTCTTATCAGGGACAATGTGGATAAAGAGCTCTGGCTGAGCATCAAGCTTGCTCTTCTCTGTCAAGCTCTCAAATCTAATCTTGTCCAGAGCCTACAAGACATTGTTTTAACGTGAAACAATTACTAACCAACGAAAACGATTAAAATAACAGAACAAATCGCAACATAGCCAAAGGCATATTCTTGTTCACACTTCTACACTTCTAAAATGCAGAAAAGGCAAAAATTTATAATAACAAGAACGTTTCATTAAGCTTCAATTCATAGCTTACTTACGAAATTTAAAACCTTTGGCTCAAAAGTAATATACAAATCAACAACCAACGAAAAGATTGTTGCATATAAAACATAAGAAAAACAAACATTTAAACAATAAAAGATAAGAACCCAACATTTTCTGTCATACAAATAAACAAACTAAACTCATCAACATGAAAGCATAAAAGATAAGATCCGTTAAACCATGCATCCAAAAGGCTCAACATTCACAAAAAAAGTCATGCCTTTAAAATGTAAAAAACAGAAAGAGAGAAACAGGCTTACATCGGAGGCGTTGCTGATGAGCTCACGAAGAAAGATCTCCTTGTTACTGTAGAAAGTGTTGATAATCAAGCTGAGAAGCTGGTTGATCTCAGCCTGGAAAGCAAACGTCTCTGATTCCGCCATGGATGGATAACACTACCGTCCCAGACACACCCAGAAAAAACCAAAGCAAAATCGGAAGCAAATGGTAAAATTAAGGTTTGGGTTTTGAAGAGAGAACAGAAAAATCAGAGTGTGGCTCGGAGGGGAGCTAACGAAGACTATATAGGAGACTCCATTAGGGTTTCTAGATCCTTCTATTTAGGCAAATTCTCTTTTTTTAATTTGACTTTAGGTTACTAATTATAGGGCGGGCGGTTTTCTTTTTCTAGATCCTTCTTTTTCTTTTTTCTTATTTTTTTATTTTATGACGAAATAATTAGGAAGGTTTGGGTTTTGATTGGGCAGCTCTAAGGAGTGGGAGCGCGCGGTTTGGTGTTGCCACGTGCGTCTTAATTTTCAGTGCTTTTATCTATACTTTTCTTGGCCAATTGGGTTTGCCTTTTTCTTTTTTTTTAATAGGAATTTTATTCTTTCTTTTTTCTTTAGACTTCTTTTTTGGTTTCATTATAAAATAAAAAATAAGTAATGTGCAAGGCAAAAATTAGATCTGATTAAAGTTCAAGTTAACCGTTCAATTTCAAAGATTCGTTTAAAAAATTTGAATAAAAAATTCAAATATATTAAAAAATTATATATAATTTTTAAATTCATTTAAATTTTTTATTTAATTTTTTAAAAAAATTAAAATTAAAATTTGATTTGATTCAAATAAAATATACATAATTAAAATATTATAATTACATAAATATATATGTAAAATTTTATCTCTATTTTTTAATTTTTATTATATAAATTAAATTTAATAAATAAATTTAAATTTTATTTTTTTAATTTAAATCGAATTTAAAAAATTTTTGAAATTCGAAATATTGAATGGGATCAAACCTAAACAAACTTTCAATATCGAGCATGGACCTGACACAGTCAATGAACATCTCAAACAAAAATATTTCACTTTAAATTGTTAAAAATATCGAAAAAAATCAATTTGTATTTTTGTATTTAGAAAATTGACAAAAATTAAAATGAAAAAAAAAGAAAGAAAGAGTAAGCTCTTGTTGATATGGCATAAGGCCATTGGCTATGGAGCTAAAAGGTTGTTGAGATGGTTTACGGAAATTGCAGCCCCATAACCAATTGACTATGAGGTTGCCTTGCCTCATCCATTTCCATAGAACCTTTCATTTTACACAAGTTCTTTGTTTCTCAGAATGCAACTGCAAGCTCTTTCATTCCGAACCTTGGTTCAATTGCCTTGTTTTTTCAACTTGCCACCAAGGTAACTTCCCACTGTCTTTTTCTGCTTGTTCTAATTATCTTATATTTTCATGTCGAAGTTGCAGTCAAGAGGGCATTCTTGTTTTCTGTTCATGATTCTTAAGTTTAACTGTCAGGTTTCATTTTTGGTTTTAACCAGACAAGTCTTTGATGTAATGTTTGGTCTTAGAACAGAGAATTCACCCTACTCAATCCTATTTAATCATCAACATGAATCTGATTATGCTTGTTTATTTTGTCTTCTGTTTGCTTGAACCCTACCTATGGGGTAAATTATGGAGTATTATCAAATGCAAGCTTTTGTTTTATTCTGATATATTTTAAAAATCAGATTAAGGACCAGATTTTCCGGAAAGAGATCCCTCAAATGATATTTCTACATACTACCATTTTCCTAGTATTAAACTTTAATTATGCCGCCTAGAAACAAGCCAGGTTTCAAGATTCCCTGTTCAAACATGGCAACTAAGAAAAACATAAATGTCTCACTAACAATATTTTGAGGTATCAGTTCTATGAACCCTGCAACCATAACAGAAACCAAATGGGTATCACTACATACTACCATTTTCCTAGTGTTTAACTTTAACTATGCTATAACAGATTGACATCTTAGTTTTCAGTTAGTTTACAGTGTATCTGCTTATTTCATGTTTATTCAAGGTGATGTAGCAGAATTTTAAATAGCTTATAATTTAGAGATGGATCAGTCTGTCACATTCTTGTCCATTTTATATAACTTTGTAGAAGAATAGCATTTCCATCATGGTCTTATTAACTTTAGCTTGAAATCTGGACAGTAAACAGCCCAAGGATGTTATGACTAGGCACTTGCATAACAGACACCCATCAGTAACAGTAAAAAGTTTGCCTAGGAGGGTGCTTTTGCAGCTTATGGGGTTCGGTCCGATATCATTGTGCATTTATCCTGTTTGTGCTGCCCCAATGCAAGAGATGAAAGACCCTGAAGTAATTCGGTAAATAGTTGTATGTGTTATTTATTATCTTTCTATCCTTTGATTATGTTTATTCAGTTAGTTTGTGATTTTCATCAGTTCTCATAGAATGTTGTTATTTTGAATTTGAACTTTGAAGTGTTCAGGACTTTGAAGCTACCCAGTGGGGTGAGAATTCAAGGTATAATTCCTCCAGCTTCTACATAATTCTGTTCTTTTTTCTCCCTTTTTGATAAAGCATCATAGTGAACTTTGATCATTCAGTTGAACCTTTAGGGAGGCTATAATCTAATGACAGAATCCATCAGAGGTTCATCATTTTTTCTTTATCTCGTTCATTTCATAAAATACATTTCTTTTGGTGCTAGTTTCATGTGTTATACTTACCATTTTTGTCTATGTTAGATACTTGAAGTATTATGGTCAGTCATCTTAGTTTCAACAATGAAGCTTCAAAATTTTGTTTATGGAAATGATTTCCATAAAAATTGTGCTTGCTGCATTATTTCTTGGCATATGGAGCTGGGGGATAAAGCAATCTATCATGACACTTTAGTTCTTATCAGATAAACAAGAATTATGATTAAAATGCTTAACATGTTTTAATACAAAATTAGCATGCTTGTTCCTTAAATTTTTACAAAGTTCTTCTATGTTAATATGTCTGATGAACAGATGCCAAACATAAATTAGCATGCTTGGTCCTAAACCCCTCGTATGTTTCATACTTAATTTCTGAGCTTTTCTTTCTAGAAATAATTGAAGGGAAGGGACCAGAAGCTCATGATGGAGACTGTGTACAGGTGAACTATGTATGCCGACGATCAAATGGATATTTTGTTCATAGGTAATTGTATATACTAGATTGAGATTCATGAACACATCTCTTGATTCCATCAATTAATACTTGAGAAATATAGTTGAAATTGTTAGGATATGGTTCACATGTAAGTAAATAATCCTACGTCATTAATAAATTTGAATGTGATGTTTTATATATGCATGAAGAACCAAGAAACTAATAGCTTAAACTTTTAGGCTAAGTGATATCCAACATATATGCACGAGCTCTTTTGTGTGCTCTCATGGGCTGTAAGTATGGTTTATCTCCCCAATAAATAGTATCAAAATCAATATTACAATGGATTCGAATCCAATGGTGTTGCTGAGAAAGGAGATTATTGGCAGATCAAAGGTTGGCTTCATCCATCAACTCCATGTGTTCGAACGTCGATATTAAAAAGTTCAACTTTGATGCAACGAATATATAATAATATGCAGAAGCGAAACGCCCAAGTGAGCGATGTGTTGAGTCGACCTAGAGTGTAATCTTGTGGTAAGGTTGAGTTCATTAGGAAATCTGAATGAGATATCCTATATATGTGCTTGAAGGTCAGTATTAAAAAGTTCAACTTAGATCTAGCGAGTATATGATAATATGTAAAAACGGAATATCCAAGTGAGTGATGCTTTATGTCCTATATATGTGCTCGAACGCTGGTATTAAAAGATTCAATTTGGATGTAACGAATATATGATAATATACTGAAGCGGAACACTCAAGTGAATGATGCTTTTGGGCTCAAGTAGTGTCCAACATGTATGTATGAACTCTCTGGTGTGTTTCCATGAGCTCCAAGTGTGGTTTATCCCCACATATAACCCGAACTTAACTGATGTGAATTTTTTTATCACCACTTTCATAGTTCAAATCACATACATGTTTGGTTCTATGTGGTCCTATCTGACTTCTTCTGTTTTGCCATTCACTTTATTGAACTGTCACTACATTTCAATACAGCACCGTGGATCAATTCAGTGGAGAAAGCTCTCCTGTTACCCTTCCTTTGGATGAGAACCAGGTGATTCGTGTTTCATAACTTAAGAAATTTGGAAAATATGATATTTGCCATTTCTTTTCCATTCATGTTTGCAGCTTAGATTTATCCGCCGAGCACACTGCTATCACTGTGTTGTTTCCACCTCTTCGATTTCATTCTTCACATTTCAAGTTAAATATTCATCAAAACTATAGGATCACCAATTTTTTATCTTCCAGCATGCTGAAACTGCTTACTTCATTTGACAGATTATAAAGGGCTTGAAGGATGTTTTGACAGGCATGAGGGTTGGAGGTACCATTCCGGGGCTATGCATTTTCACAACTGCAATATTTATTTCTGCAGATTTCTAAAGTTTACTCTCTTAATTGATCTGATACATGGATTCCTGATCATTACCCCCGCCTCCTGCAACTAAAACATTGAAAAAACTAACAGAAAAACTGTACTCTTGTGCATACTTGAATTGATAATTTGATATGGAATTGACAACTTGTTTTCGAGGCAACTATTGTTGCCAGTCCTTTTAATTCTCCATTTCAGCCAACTTAATGACCACTTTTTCCACTTGTTTGTACTTTCTTTTCAGGCAAGAGAAGAGCACTAATACCTCCTTCTGTGGGATACATCAAAGAAAACTTGGAACCAATTCCTGACGAGGTTTCTCTCCCAGTTCTCTTAATAATGTTGTCCAGTGAACTCTCTTCCTCCCCTTCTTTCGGTTTCATTTCTATTTTGGAGCCTGCTATCTCCTTACACTCTGATTCTTTGTGTCGGAATCAAGTTTTCAATAAAGCATTTTCCCATCAAGTCATCTACTTTTGTTACATTTTATTGTTGTCGACTGCAGTTTGGTCCTCGGCGTAGCCTGTTATCTCATGCCAAAGAACCTTTGATCTTCGAGGTGCAGCTCCTGAAGATATTATAAATTTTCTGGGTATTTGTATTCCAAATCGTAGAATATTGCATTTTTTGTATATTTCTGGCTCTGTGTGAGCCTGCCAAGACATGTTGTCTTAAAAACATTCAACAGCAACAGATTATAACCATGCTTTCTTATATGTAATCAGAGTGAGATTCTGAGAAAAAAATGCTAGTGCCAAAGATCTAAAGGCAGAATGCATGTCATGGAAGTTTGAAATCCTGGTGAAAATATTTGATCAAGGTTATTCCTATTGTCCTCCCATACAAATGAAACATTTTACACAGTGAGAAACTATCTAGTGGATATCAAAACGAGGTTGTTTTGTTCCACTCTCAAAAGTATTTTAAGCCATACATGCATATATCAGATTCAGAATCCTCTCAACAACTGCAGATCTGGCAACTTTTTTATCTTGATATGATTACTTTCATTTGGATAAATTTGTTAAGGCAGCAGTGGCACTGCAAGCTGAAGAACAAAAGTTGAAGTGGGTCATTTCCAACTTACTTTTTGCCCATTAATTAAATTCATTAGGACTTCATTTTGCCAATCTAATGCTGCAGAAGCCTTCTTTAGCAGAAACTTCTTTACACCTTTTCAATCAAAATTATGAAAACAACAAAATGAATCCACTATTTCATTGTGTTACTTGCATTATTTTCAACACATTGAAAAGTGAAAATGTATTGATTTGAAATACTAATAAATAAATGAATAATAAATTCCATTGACCAACCGAATAAATAAATTCCCAACCTTTGACACAAAACGACACCGTTACCTTGTCAAATTACAAAGAAAAACAGAAAAACATCGCCTTGTCTTCATTTCTAAGCTCTTTCCCAGGACAGTTATTCTCATACAGCAGCCTCACCACTCCCGGGCCTTAACTAATCCAAAAAAATTAAAATCCAACAAAAAGGTTGAATCTTTAGTGCTCTTACTTTCCAAGAAACTAAAACAAACAAAAAAAAAATGCAAGCTTGGTTCTCAGGGGCCAGTAGCGTGGGTGAGGGGCAGGGAAAAGAAGGGTCATCTCTTTTAGCGGATTGGAACTCATATGCAGCTTCAAGAGATGCAGAAGAGGGCACTGCATCTGGGTTTGGGTTTGATCTTGAGACTGCTGTGAGGTCTGCCAATGATACTGTCACTGGCACCTTCAATGTGTAAGCCATTATCACACTCTTCTTTTTGATCTGGGAAATTTGAGAAAGAATTGATTTTTAATGTGTTTTTACGTTTATCCTGGTTAAATTGACAATGGGATTTGATTATTTTTTATGAAATTGCAAATTGAACATTGTGTTTATGTGTTTTAGTAGGTGAATTGAATTTGGGATTTGGATAATGGGTATTTGATTTTATGGGATTTAGGGCTTTAGTGGACCTTGAAGTTTGTTGATTTAGTAATAAAACTTGTATTGCTATATTTGAATGTTAGTGAAATGTATTGTTGGGTTATAGTAGTTTGTTGATTTTTCCTCATTTGATTTTAGGATGTAGGATCTGTATATCATTCAAAATCTGGTTGAGTTTGACTTAGCATATTTCTTGATGTAGTTTATGTTGTTGATGAATCTGAATAGGAAAAAGAGCATTCATTTTGACTTATGTGCATCTAGCCAATGTTAAGTCAGTTTCAAGAGCTTCAATATATATATGATTTTGTAACAGCATGTCTTTGCATAGTAGATCTGTGGAACTATAATTGTATAGTGTCGAATTGCCAGCCCTTGGCACAGGACTTTTCTCTGTTCTGTTGAGTGTTATCCTGTCAAAAACATAGGGTTTATTGCATTAGTTGGTTTTAGAATAAAGAAGTATGGCTTAGATGTGTGGACAGGTGGTTATGTCAAACTTAGGTATTAAGATACTCTGCTGGACAAGATTGATTCGTTTCAAGTAGAAGGATTGTAGATAGTTATGGTGGGCTTAAGATCACATCAGTTAGGAAGAAGATCTTTCAGATGATAAAAGCCTTGTGTTCTGGTTTTATTTGGTATTATGTTATAGGACCAAGTGGGTTATCAATTCTTTACAACTAGTATATGGTCTCAGTTTATGGGTTGGAAATGATTTGACTAACAATGGAAGAGGATGTTTTGTGATCTAACTGGGTTCAATCGTGAAATCAAGTGTAATATCTTGGTTATTTGGATTATGCTGTTCAGAATTGTCCTTTGCCATGTCTAATGTGCAGTTCAAATAGTGTTCTTAATGCGTCTCTATCAAAATGCAGACCTGTTGACTATTGATCATTGATATATTTGCTACATGGAGGCAAAAATTGAACTTTTTGGTGCCCTGTTCAGCTTGTAGTTGAGTATAATTCAATTGCTGGAATTAGTAGATTGCTCAGTTCTTCTGGTTATTTTTCTTCTGCAGAAGATTTAATTTTCCTAGTTACCATACTGCTGTGTGATCACTGATACTAGTAACAAAATGTAAATGCTAGCAACCTGCTGCTAGGTAGAGTACCGGATATGTCTAGGTGGACTACTAGATTATGATTTCTAATCACCAAGGAAGAAGATATCTGCTTCATTTTCTGGCTGGGATTTAATTTCTTGTTATTTAGTTTAAGTCACCATAGTGACATACATGTTTTAGCAGAGAACTCCAGTTAAGAGAAGTCCAAATTTAATAAACCATAGTACTTAATGTTCTAATTTGGTGCTTATGAGTGAAGTGATCATTTCAATCATATTATCTCACTATGATCATTTATCTAAACATTGGGTGAACTAGATTCAGGATCCCTAACTGAATCATGGTTTTGGTTGAATTTGTTCCTCATGTACTTCTAGTTAATTAGCGGTACTTGGTACTCTTTTTTCTCTCTTTTTACTACCCAATTATTTCACTAACACATATCATAATATGATTTAGGTAGTAATTGAAAGGAAAAAGAATATTAGTGGTGGATGAAAGAATATAAATTGGCATATTTCAAAATTTGGATGATCTTCCTATAAAGGTGAAGGGCAATTGCTGTGGGATCTTTAATTAAAAGCTCATGTAAAGTTGTTTTTTTTCCTTTTAAAAGTTAAATAAAAATGGATAGGCACATGTCATAAGTTGACATTCTTCTGTTAATGCATTTTTTGTTTTGTTCTTGGTGATCCAGTGTTTCAAAAGGGGTGAGAGATATTCCTGGGAGTCTCCAATCTGCCACAAGTAGTGTCCCTTCAGGAAAAGCACTTATCTATTTTGGTTTATTTCTGGCGACTGGGGTCTTTTTTGTTTTCATCGCTTTTACTATATTTCTTCCAGTCATAGTGCTCATGCCCCAGAAATTTGCAATCTGTTTTACCCTTGGATGTGGCTTTATCATTGGATCATTCTTTGCTCTAAGAGGCCCAAAGAATCAGTTTGCCCATATGTCATCAAAAGAGGTATTTATGCCTTAGTTAGATTTTTTTTTTTTCTGAATTTGTTTACTAATTAACTGCTATAAAAGGTAACAATCAACTAATTTGATTGTATGTATCTAATGCTTTCTTCTTCTTCTTTTTTTTTTTTTTAATTTTGTTTTTCACACCATTTCTGCAGAGGCTTCCTTTTACATTGGGATTTATTGGAAGTATGATTGGTACCATATATGTTTCCATGGTGCTTCACAGCTACATTCTGTCTGTGCTCTTTTCTGTTTTACAGGTATACTGCCATCCTAATTCTTTTGCTTCTTGCTTTTTTCCTGTCTACGTATCCTGTAATGGTCCATTACTTTATCATGTCTGTTAGATTTTTGAACCTTAAACTTGTTAGGTTTGTCAAATTATAAGCTGAGATATAATTATTGGTTCAGAGCCAGCGCGATCATTCAGTTTGATATCAATTTTCTTGCTGTTTTCATTAAACTTGTAGGTTCTTGCACTTTCATACTATGCTATTTCTTATTTCCCTGGTGGATCTGCTGGGCTGAAATTTCTCACATCTGCTCTTACCTCTTCAGTAACAAGATGTTTTGGGAGTTGACAAGTGTCACTTTGCCATTGTTTTTTCCTTGTATACTTCTCAGCTATAGTTAAGACATTAAACGGTCTTGTATGGCTTCCACGTTCTCAACATTTTCTTTACTTTTATTTTCATCGAAAAAAAAAAACAGAGTGGGAAAAAATTTGAAGGGTGTACCCTTTATCTGCATCAAAATTTTCTGAATGGCTGAACAACAAAAACTTGGATCAATTGACAGCAGTAATTCTCACTAATTTGGTTCTTTACCATTTTGATGTAAGAGGCCAGCAATATATTTAGATCTTTACTCATATTCATGCCCTTATCCCTGAAAATCCCAAGTGGCCACTGTTCTGGTTCTTTTGTATAGCCATAATTCATTTTCTTTCAAAGAAGAGGAGCTAAAATCATTGAAGGATGAGCCTATGGTCTTCATTAATGAGGTTCAAAACTGCATAGGCTCTAATGTTTTATGTTGGATCTTGGAAGCAAATTGCCAATGTCCTGTCCATGTGAGCTTCCATCCTTTAGTGAACATGGATTTAAGTCTCAGCAAGATCTGCAGTAATGTGGTTTGGCTATATCTGTTACCAGTGTCTTGAGATTTTCAAACTTCCCAAATACCATAGCTGAAACTGACTTGGGGGAAGTGGGGTGGGTGGGATGTCTAACTAGTTTCTATGTCATTCCCCCGTAACAATGCCACATTCTGGAAAATTTTCATCAATTCATATGATGGGATATATCTAGCAATCATTATGGTATGTTTTGTATTTGGGAAAATGGGGAGAAAAGAAAAATTGAACTACTCTCTCCCACTCCTAAGTCCTAACCAATCTCATGTTTTAGTTTTCAACCTTAACTAAGCAAGAGATTCAACCTTACAAATAAACCAAAAAAAAAAAAAAAAAAAACTTTAAAAGCATAAAAAAAAAAATGGGCTGTGTAAATGGAATTGTCATGTCCCCAAGATGCAGCAACTCTCTTTGGCAGATGATCTGTTGTCCGGCTAGCTTGGATAGTAAATTAAACAAGAAGTAAATGGAAACTGATACACTGAGGTTTTAGACAAGAAGCATAGCATGATTAATATCATCAATCTTTGCATGTTTCTTTGACCAAATAATTACTAAGTAATATTTTAATTTTTTAAAAATATCATCAATCTTTACTATTGTGAATACATTGGAGGACCTTTTTTATAATTTTTTTTTTTGTTTTTAACAAATCATTATATTTGGTAAAGAACAAAGTTTTAGCCATCAGCAATCAGCACACAAAATTTGACTAAATGGAGCTTACAAGCTTGAGTACAAGAGCTTTCTATTACTTTAATAAAACTATAATTGTGAAGCTCATAATATTATTATATAATGAAATAAAAGAAAAAAAGATATGTAGGGAATCCAAATCCTGAAATTAGGGAAAGACTAGGACAGCAATACGGTAATTAGGGGACAATGATTTGACCTTTAAGATGGAGCTTGTGCATATTGCATGACAAAAGCTTTGTTTTTATTGTAAACCCTTGTTTTTATAACTAGAGTTATTGAAAGCAAAGGGGTCAGCTCCTCCATTAAGAAAAATCAAAGCTAGAAAAATGAGGATTGAAGAGTTGGAAGATCAAATTATACAATGTAGTAATAAAAAGAAATAATATAAATAGCCAAAAACAAAGGGCAAAGCCAAGAAAGTGTTCAAATTGGTGGACTTTAATGCATAGACCATGATATCATTAATTGGACAGGCACCCATAAAAAATTATATGGAAAAACAAAAGACAATGCGATTAGTTGATGACCCAAGGGAATGAAGTCTCATTAAAAGGTCTCAAATTGAGCTTTAACCATAAACAACAAGAGAAAAGTTAAATAAAAATAGAAGATTCAAATTTAAACATTCAATAGGATAGGTAAAAATTTGCAATAATTTCATTAAATCAGTCTTTGATAACCCCAGCAAAAGAAATAATGAATATCCACACCCGAATCAAGATCAAAATTCATAATTTGACTATGAGATAAGTGGAACTTGAATCATTTGGTAATGTGAAATTTAATTCCTTTCTCATAAATTCATGATTATTAGGAAAACTACACCCATAAATTGTTATAGCACTAGGCCAAATCAAGAGACAATCAATGTAGTTGTCAAAGAAGGTTATGCAAATCACAAAATAGAATTAAGAGTCAAAATTTTGGGAAAATAAAAATAATGAGAACTTATCTTGTTTGATTAGATGGAACTTTCTTTTTGGAGTGTGTGATGGAGCCCTGAGATTGATAATCTATGCAAATTAAAGCTTATTTTGGATTCATCATTATAGTGTTTGATTAGGGACTACAAATTAAAATTTAAAAAAAAAAAAACTTCCTTACCAAAGAAAAAAAATCTTTTTATGATGTTAGATATAGCCAACCCCAATAGCACGTGTGCCAAGTACAAATTGGAAAAGGTAGGTGTGATTGCTACCATTGTCCACCATTTGTTTAGGGTCCACTGCCCACTTCTTCAGCATAAATAAATTCATTACAATTTTGCAAGCAGAAGAGAAGTAGCTTGCTAGCTGGTGTGAACATGTGCATAGGCTGTCGTACAACAGATGGGGGATGGGATTGGGATTGGGATTGGGATTGGGATTGGGATTGAGCTAACTTCAAACTCTTCATTTCTTTTCTCAACAGTTATAATCTTACATAACTTTCAAGCATGTAGCATTGTACCTCCACTTCTTTACTTTCATTTCCATCTATGCATAGACCTTTTTTTTTTAATTTTCATGAATTATACAATGGAAAACAAAATATTTTCTCCTTGTTCTTAGCCTTTTTCAAGTTTAAGAGAAAACCCAACGTTCTTTTTTTTTATTGTTTCAATGATGTAAATACATTTACTTGAAAATTTAAAAATTGTGAAATAGAAGGGTATAAAGAATGCATTTGCTCATCACACATATATATTCTAATTGAAATGTTGTACATACTCTCTCTCTCTCATGTGCAAATCTCATGCCAAAATCCAAAACAGACAACAATACCAAGCAAAACTAATTAAAGAACCACTACTCCATATAGTTCTCTAGTATCGTTCAGCTAATCTTAATTATACAATTAACATAAGGAAAACCAGCAATCTTAGATCACATCATGTGACCCTCTTTGTTGCCTACTAACTTAATTTGATTCCAATTGCTCACGTTTGTGAATTGTGATGCTAAAGAACCTAAAAAACTTAATATATGCATGAGAGATCAAGTTCATGCGATGCGAGATCTATACTTTATAGTCGAAGTGCCTCCAGTGTGATTTGGATCCATTTTAATTAAAATAAAAATAATTTAAGATGATGATATGAATCACAATGGGTTTGAATGATACATGTTTCATGTCAAGTAGTCCTAAAATTGAAATTAAAGATCCACTACTTGAAGCTTTTTACATTTATAGATTCATTGCAAAAAAGTTGTCTAACATTGTTGCAAAAGGTGGAAAAATAAATGAGATGATGCTCCCATTCGTGTTATAACACAAATATAATAGTATCTTACAAGCATAACCTTTTATTTCCGAGACAAAAACTTTTTCCACGCTGAGTTTCACCAGGAAAAGTTAACAACAAAAGGTTGAGATTGGACTAAAGAGGAGACCATTTAATTTGTTATATGGTTTTTCTCATCACTATTTTTTATTGGGTGCCCTTTGTCTCTTCTTTTGATGTTGTTGCTGTCACTTTGTTTCCCTTTCGTTTTATTCTTTTTTTTTTTCTAGCTTTCATAGATTTTCTTTCTCTTTTCCACATTTTCAGGTTTTTTTTTAAAGGCCTCTCATTTTTTTGACTTCCTGGATGATTAAGTTATGTATCTATCAACTCTGCTGGCCAAAAATTGTGAAAAATCAAGTTTCAATATTGACTACTGGACATTGGTTATATATTGAGAGAAGTTGGTAGTTGGTAGCTGAAGATGAAAAGTTTATATTAACCATTTCCTTACAAATGAAGGTCATGGGGTCCATTATCCAGTGGTAATAATCTCACAATCTTACAAGAAAAAAAATGCATTGATACTTTGGGGTTTGCCACCAGTAATGGCTAAAACTCTATGGTCAAATTAAAAGATAGGATTCATCAATAGAACAGAGCAGAAATAGTACTGCTTCTTTGAATTCTACCCTGGACTGGTCTCTATCATTCAATATATTGGAAGATCACGTTTATGTCTGTACATACATAGCAATTATTATTCACTACGAATATAATTTTCACCATTTGCTCAAGAAAAAAAAACCCATAATTTTGGATCAAGGGCTGACTCTTCATCTTAAATCTGATCTGACAAACCTTTTGATTTATGAGTAGGTCAAGTTTGATTCTGATGATAGTGAAAAAAAGCAATTAAGAAGTCTTAAGTTGGTGTCAGGTTGTGCCTTCCACCCAGCCCAAGATACATTTTCATTGTTTTCTTAATCCTTTACAGCAAAGACTACCAGACAACTTGTTCAGATTTGCAGTTTAAAAAAATCTTAATTTTCTTGCATAATTCCCTTACTTCCATGTGCTGTCCACTATTCTAATCTACTATAAACAAACCAAAATAGATCTCTATCAATGCTTTTTTAAACTTGTACTAAAACATCCCCACTTTGCTTAATTCTGCAGGAAAAGTAATCAAGATTCCAGAATTTAACCCAAATTAGTGAAAAAAATGAAAAAGTTAATCTCAGATTAGGAGAAAACCTGCATTTCCTTGAGTTTGAATGTTTTATTCTCTCAATCTAACAGTTCAAATAGTTTGCAGTCAAGATAGCCAAATGAACAAAACATTACTCCGAGGTAAAAACTTTGGTTTTTACATTGTGTCAGTAACGAAAATATCAATCTATAACTCATTTCAAGAAGAGAAAGAATAAGGGTTTGTCTCAAATAAGAGTATGTGTACTTAAGCTTCTTAAATCATTGAAAATCAACTGAAACTCTACTGGAAACAAACACATGGCTGGCTAGTCAATCGTGGCCACATAAATTTCATGGACCACCTTTCTTGGATTGGCTCATTAAAGAAGATATGATGCTGCTGATTTGAAGCTTAAACATTCCATGGTTGTTATGCCTGCCTGGTTTGATTGCTAAGCTATCACTGTCTCTGAAATAATTCATTAATTAGACAGGCGAAGCTGTAATGTTATTGTTCAATTTATCAGTTCCAGAGATACTTTGTTGACATACTAGAGATCAATCTGGAAAAATAAATTGGAGGAAAATTTTACTGCCTTTGGAGTTTGGACAATGTCAATTTAATGATCAGAAAAGAGGAAACAAGATAATTTAACTTTGAAAAGGAGGATAATTTAACAAGATAATGCCATTCAGGGCCATCAGGGCTGTTTCTGACAGTTAATTGTAGTAAAAAAACTTAGCACAAAGTCTATTAAAGTAACAGGATGGGAAGAATATCAGAATAACATTTCCTTTTAATTGACAGATTAACAGAAAGACTGAAATTAAAAAAAAAAAAAAGAGAAAAAAAAAGTTGCAGTTAATTGAAATCAGAAAGCCATCTGCATCACCATCTATTAATTAACAACTACACCTATTAGAATAATAATAGAAAAAGAAGGTGCACTTGGATCCAGATCTTCTGCTTTTGTTCTATAAACAAAACATGGGGTTCCGCCCTCTACAATCCCAAAACAGATCACCTGTTCTCTTCTCTAAGCAATGCCTGCAACTCTAAGGAATCTCCTGCTTTCTTCCAATATCTTCTCCTTCACCTTACTTCTTTCAATAAACTCTCTTTTCTTCTATAATTGTTACTCAGTTGATGAGCAGGGACAAGCTCTTTTAACATGGAAGGACAGTCTAAACAGCACCACAGATGCACTAAAATCGTGGAATTCATTAGACGCTACTCCATGCCAATGGTTTGGGATTCATTGCAACTCAGGAGGAGAAGTAGTCGAGATAAGCTTGAAAGTAATAGATTTGCAAGGTTCATTGCCTTCAAATTTTCAGTCTCTAAGATCTTTGAAGACCCTTATACTCTCATCAACCAATCTCACTGGCACAATTCCTAAAGAATTCGGTGATTATCATGAGCTCAATTTTATTGATCTCAGTGACAATTCTCTCTCAGGTGAAATCCCCCCGGAAATTTGCAGGCTGAGCAAATTGAAAAGTTTGTCTCTCAACACAAACTTTCTTGAAGGTGAAATTCCGTCAGGAATAGGAAATCTTTCCAGCCTTGTTTACCTGACACTCTATGACAACCAACTCAGCGGTGAAATCTCAAAGAGCATTGGAGAATTGAGAAAGCTAGAAGTTTTCCGAACAGGTGGGAATAAAAATCTTAAGGGTGAGCTGCCTTGGGAGATAGGAAACTGCACCAACTTGGTTTTATTAGGCCTAGCTGAAACTAGCATTTCTGGCAATCTTCCTTCATCAATTGGAATGCTGAAAAGAATTCAAACCATAGCCATTTATACATCTTTGTTATCAGGTCCTATCCCACAAGAGATTGGTAATTGCAGTGAGCTGCAAAATCTTTACCTGTATCAGAATTCTATCTCTGGTCCAATCCCGAGGCAAGTTGGTCAGCTTAGGAAGCTTCAGAATCTTCTATTGTGGAAGAACAGCTTAGTTGGTACTATTCCAGATGAGCTTGGAAGCTGCACGGAGCTAACTGTGGTGGATTTATCGGAGAATCTTCTGACAGGTAGCATACCAAGAAGCATTGGAAAACTTTTGAAGCTTCAAGAGCTTCAACTGAGTGTTAATCAGTTATCAGGTACAATTCCTTCTGAAATTTCAAATTGCACGGAGCTGACTCATCTGGAAATTGATAACAACGCCATCTCCGGTGAGATTCCTGTCCTCATTGGCAATCTAAAGAGCTTGACTCTATTCTTTGCCTGGCAAAATAAGCTAACGGGAAATATTCCAGATAGTCTTTCTCAGTGCCAGGATCTTCAGGCACTTGATTTATCCTACAATAGCCTCTTTGGTTCAATCCCAAAAGAGATTTTTGGTTTGAGAAATCTCACTAAGTTACTGCTACTTTCCAATGATTTATCTGGTTTTATTCCGCCGGATATAGGAAACTGCACCAATTTGTACAGGTTACGATTAAATGGTAATAGACTTGCAGGAACAATTCCATCAGAGATTGGGAATCTGAAGGGCTTGAATTTCGTTGACTTAAGCAAGAATCGTCTTGTTGGAGGAATTCCTCCATCAATTTCTGGATGTCATAACCTTGAATTTCTTGACCTCCATTCAAATGGACTCGCTGGTTCTTTGCCAGATATTCTGCCTACAAACCTACAGTATGTGGATATTTCAGACAACAGGCTTACAGGTCCACTGACTGATAGTATTGGGTCCTTAACTGAATTGACCAAGCTTAATTTGGGAAAAAATCAACTTTCCGGAAGAATTCCATCTGAGATATTGTCCTGTAGTAAGCTCCAGTTGGTAAACCTGGGTGACAATGATTTCTTTGATGAAATTCCAAAGGAACTAGGCCAGATTCCGGCGCTTGAAATCTCTCTCAATCTTAGCTGCAATCAATTTTCCGGTGAAATCCCATCTGAGTTCTCTGGTCTCAGCAAGCTAGCAGTACTTGACCTCTCCCACAACAAATTCACTGGCAAGTTAGATGTCCTTTCAAGCCTACAAAACCTTGTCACCCTCAATGTCTCCTTCAATGACTTCTTTGGAGAACTACCAAATTCCCCATTTTTCAGAAAGCTCCCGCTCAGTGACCTTGAATCAAACAAAGGCCTCTATATCTCCAGTGGGGTTGTAACTTCAGCTGATATTGGACATTCAAGGAATGCTAAACCGGCACTGAAGCTAGCTATGTCCATCCTTATGAGTGCCAGTGCAGTTCTAGTACTACTTGCTATCTACATGTTAGTTCGTGCCCGGTTTGCTAACAATGGCCTCATGGAAGATGATAATTGGGAAGTGACCCTGTATCAGAAGCTCGACTTTTCGATTGATGATATTGTCCACAATTTAACTTCAGCTAACGTGATCGGCACCGGAAGCTCTGGGGTTGTATACAGGGTAATGATTCCGAATGGTGAAACATTAGCAGTGAAGAAAATGTGGTCATCAGAAGAGTCTGGTGCATTCACTTCTGAAATTGAGACTCTAGGCTCAATCAGGCACAGAAACATTGTTCGGCTTCTTGGTTGGGGTTCAAACAGGAATTTGAAGCTGCTATTTTATAATTATCTTCCAAGCGGAAGCTTGAGTTCGCTCCTTTATGGTGCCAGTAAGGTAGGAGCAGACTGGGAGGCTAGATATGACGTTGTACTGGGTGTGGCACATGCCCTTGCATACTTGCACCATGACTGTGTGCCTGCAATTTTGCATGGGGATGTGAAAGCTATGAATGTCTTATTAGGTGCTGGCTTTGAGCCTTACTTGGCTGACTTTGGGTTAGCTAGAGTTGTGAATAGCAATGATGATGATAAACTTTCCAAATTAAGTCCAAGACCTCACCTAGCAGGTTCTTATGGATACATGGCTCCAGGTATTTTCTTTTTCCTGATCAATATTTAATCAGCTTGTTATTTTAATCTCGTCATCTAATTCATTCATATGAATCACTAATCGTTTCTGATCTTTCATGGTTACTCTCAGAACATGCAACAATGCAACGTATCACAGAGAAAAGTGATGTCTACAGTTTTGGTATAGTCCTCTTAGAGGTGCTAACTGGAAGGCATCCGTTAGACCCAACTTTGCCAGGGGGTGCAAACTTGGTTCAGTGGGTTCGGGATCATTTGGCGAGCAAGCGAGACCCATCTGACATTCTGGATCCAAAGCTTAGAGGGAGGGCTGACCCTGCTATGCATGAAATGCTACAGACACTTGCTGTATCATTTCTGTGTGTCAGCACCCGGCCTGACGATCGTCCAATAATGAAAGATGTTGTAGCGATGCTCAAAGAAATTCGTCATGTCGAGGCCTTAAGGTCTGAAACTGACATATCTAAAGGAGCCTTAACAGCCCCTCGGTTATCACCTCCTACTAGAATAGTAGTTTCTCAAGGATCTTCTAACTGCTCGTTTGCTTTCTCCGATGATTCAATCCAATCATCAGGTGGGGGTTTCAAGTTGTAGCTATGCGATACATAATTTGTTCATAGTCCACAGAAGAATCCATGTTGCATCAGCACAGGACATAGGAGTGGGAAATGCTAATGGGGGGTTTTTGAGTTGTGATTTCTGCTATATTTGGTATTGAAGATTGCAATAATTAATTACTTAGCTTTCACTTAATGTAGTATATTAGCAAATGTAACAAAAGTAAAATAGAGAAAAGAGAGAGAATGTAGGGTGCTTAATGCCTATGGCACTATAAGAGGTTAGAAGGATATCTTGGGACAAGAGATAGCAATTGCTAGGAGTTGGAATTGAGAGAATTGCTGCAGGGTACGTAGTAGAAGCTGGAACAATGATTGTTAGCGTTGGATGTATGTAATTAGAATTTATTGCAAGAATGAGATTCTCTTTCTCTCTCTTAAACCTGCCTTAACAGCGGTGCTCACATGGTCCCAAGTTCCCCACATCACATGTCCATGTGCTGTCTGGAAAAGACTTCCCTTAAGCCTTCCCAAGGTAAACTAACCTTGGTTTGGAAGACTCCGTATGTCCTAATCAGCAGCACATGCAGAATAACAAAACAACTGCTCCTTAATCATATTGATCCAACCTACAAAAGAATTAAGATGCACATGATATTAGGATAATGCAGCTCCACTAGCACATGATAATGTCTGTCTCAATATTGACGTTGTCTCAAGATTTTTAAAGCAACTAACAGAACAAATCCACCACCCATCAAATGGTGAATTCCAGCTTCCTAGTTATTTTCACCAAGTTTTTAATCGAGAATTCGTCTATAAGCTCATGTGTGTTAATTAGTGTAATTTACCAAGTTTTCTTTCACCAAAAAATGACTTGGATAGAAGATCGATACACAAAACATAAAGAAAATTCCTTTGAATAGATATCTGCAGCGGATAAATACATGCAAGTCCCCTTTGGGGAAAATTTGGTGGATCCAATCAATGCCAAGATAGTACCACAACTTGTTGCTTTGTCTTGGAGTTGAGTACTGGCAAAGGTCAACCTCATCACGACCAGACTAGAGTCTGGGAGGCACTAAGGTGGTTTATGCAACGTGAAGTTTGGCGCATTAAGGAGCTAAGATGATTTGCTTATTGGCCAACCAATCCATACATGCCAAAGGAGCAACCCTATCCTTATTTCCCAACTTACATTTCAAAATTCAAATGATGGGTATTACACCTCATCTAAACCTACAATTGTCCTTTCATTCGTGCCAAACCATAGGTGAGATCCTTTTGGTGCTTCAGGGAGGATACTGAGATTCCAACTTCTTCACAATGGAAACAATAACACCCCAGTTGAAACCACGATACAGAAGCCACCGAATAATCCTTGACTTACGTGTTTCTTTAGGAACATCTCGACCTCGAAGCCATTGCTTTGAGGCCTGAATTAAGAGGTGATCCATCGAAAGCTTTGACAAACCAAGTGTGGATTCCTGATCATCATTTGAGTCACCAACCTGACCCTCAAAAACAAGTTTTAATGCGTTTTCTGCATCAGCTTCATTTACTCCCTTCTTGAACAATGCCTGATTCAACAATAATACTCCGTAACTCAAAGAGTTCAAAATTTTTGCTTGAAAAAAACAAATTTTAGAAATCAACAAACCTTGTTATTTCATTTCTTCTTTTCCTTTGTTATTTCTATTTCTTTTCTTTATTTAATTACTAATAAAACCCAGAAGCTAGATGCTATTAACACAAACATTATGACTTATACATACAGCAAGGGCAACATACATGATTCTTTCGCCTTGTACAAATTCCAAGAAGCCAACACTAAATTATAGGACTGAATTTAATACTCAAATATTTCGAGTCTAACTCTAACAATAGAATTTTTTGTCACTGAGTTTTCCTCTGTTTACATATTCAGATAATTAACTGCTATCTATATATAATTTGACAAAGGAAAGGATATTGAGATAACTTCCAACTTCATAGCCATTTGAAACGGTGATTTATGAGAAATTTACCACTGTCAAGCAAACAAACCCCCACCTATTTAAGAAGATGTCTTGAGATATATACGCTTAAATGCTTGTGCAACAAAAGAAATTATTTGGAAAACTTAAATTTAAAAGAGGACTGCTTACTTGCTTGATCCTCCTTGGTCCCCATGTTGACGAAGACCATCTGGATCGAGAAAATGATTCCGCGTACAAGCTATCATTGATGAACCCTCTACAATAAACTACAAAAGTCAAATAGTTGTTTAACATGTAATGCAATCGAAAGAAAAAATTTACATCTAGAACCAAATAGGGTGGATCAAAAAACTACACAGAAATATTCAACATGATGTCTTTCCATGTAATTAGCTACATACCTATTCTGAAAATCATTAATCACTGCCTCAACAATATCTGGATGGCACCTCTTCCCAAGCAGTTTTTTTCTCAGTTCAACTGCTGTAAATGCTCTGCAGGAAAAAGAAGATTGCGTTCATTGAAAAACTAATGAAGGAACTAAAACTGGTTAAGTTACATATTGAAGTAACAGCTACGTTTCATATCCAATCAATAACAAATAAAGGTTATAAAGCTAGAGAAAGTAATATGCTAACCTTGCTGCAAGTAATTCAATTGCCAACTTCTCAGCATCTGGTATTCTCTTACAAACTTGTAGCACATTCTTTCCATGAATATCCTGTCCTTGATACATCTCCTCAACCACCTCTACGGGGTTCTCCATTATTTCATGGTCTATAAAATCAGAGCAGTTTAAGTTTTCCAAATCAGAGAGTGTGATAAATGATTTGGAAAGCATACCATTTCACTTGTAAGTATTTTCATTTAAAAGGTCATCGATAGCCTTAATATATGTTAGTACATTACCACTGTAAACTTTTATAAATGGACATAAATCTATTCAAAAAACCGTTGTGTCCACACTGCTTTGAGTTTGAAACTATCGATTTTAACACTTTAAACCATCAATTCCCGATAGCAATCCATAAGCGTTGCATATAACAATGTGTTCACTATTTTTTATACCAATTAAAACATAAATTTAATCCTTAAAACTTCAGCATACCTTGTTTAACATCGTCATATAACACATTTTTCTTGAACATTCTGCTTCGTGTTTCAGACTTTTTATCAACAATACTGGTCCTATTGTTTTTAGCCATGCTTCCAAATGAATTTGAAGCAGAACTTTTATGATACTCATTCTTTCTCAAACCATTTGAATGAGGAGAAGTTTCAGGCTCTTCAGTTTCCAAAGGTTTCTTAGGTATATACCTTACAGGAACTGAAGAACTATATTCCCTCTCTTTCAAACAAAATATTGCCTTGTTCCCCTTCACCCTGAAAAATCAAAGCTTTAGCAACAGTTACATACAACCATAACTTTCAATAACTCAAATAATCATGGCCTATTTATAACTTTTTAAATCTTAAGCTCAAAATTAACTTCATTTATGAAATGGGTTTTCAATTTTTTTCAGAAATATGAAACTGATGAGATAGAAATGAATCCAAGTATCAATTTTGTTTCACTTCCTTCCACTTTCTTGCACTTTCTTGGCAACCAAACAGAGAATAGGAAAAAGACAAAATTTGGAATGGAAAAGCTTACAAGGGGATTAAGCAAACTCGAAATTGAAGACTGGATGAGATTTTGAAGCCGAGATTACCCGCAAAACTGGACATTTTCAAAATCTCAATTTCAAGTTTAGGGCTTTAGTTTTGTTGAAAGGTAAAACCTAAAATCGTAAGCTGAAGTTCGTGGCTGAAACGACAGCGTATCCGTATGATTATCTAGGCGCGCCTTTTACTTGACTGTTTGTTTGTTTTATTTGTTTTATTTTTTTGGTACATAACTGTTTGTTTTGTTTTAAATCATTGCAAAGAAACGCGAAAAAGTGACAAAGGAAGATTCCATTGAGATTTGGGATAAAATTAATATGTCAAGATAGTAGATAAATGTCTAAATCTTGTCCAGTACAATGATCAAATTACTTAAGGTTATTATCAAAGGATTGGTTTAATTAACAAAAATCATTCAATTTAGAAATTTTGGATTTAAATTCAATTAGTAATTTATTATTGAAGTTATTTTGAATGTATTCTTTTAACCATTAGGCTTAGGTAGATATGGCATATATTGGATTTATCTTTAAAAAAAAAAAAAAAAGACTACCTACAACTAACCAAAAGTAATACAAATGTTTACGGTTTCTACCATGAAAGGCAATGCATTTTATAAATATTGGATCTACTCAATTTTCCAAGTATATAGAACATAGCAAAATTTTGGAATTGATTGGCTTTCCCTTGGTACGTCATATATGTGGCAGCCATCATCGCCAGTGATGGAGTTTCTATAGTCAGAGTCAGAATGAACTGAAGAATAATCTGGTGCGCCTGGCGTGAAAATAAACAAGCCATGGCTTGAACCAGAGTTATTATATAACCAATCATGCACATCCCAGAAAATTTGTATAGGTGTTTTGTTCACTGTGACAATTTCATTTCCCCTAAACCTCCAATGCAAGTTCATAATCCGAATCACAGTAGTGGCATCTATGCAAACCCACATTTCAGGATCATCAGAACCACATAGAGAGTTCTCAATCATAATAAAATGCTCATGTTTCCCCTCATCTAGTTTGAGCTTGGAACAAAATAATTTCTTCCCACAAATATGCTCTTTCTTGCACATCAAGGTAGGATCTATCAAGGAAGGTCTTTTATTGGTTCTCTTAAAAGCATCTATTTTCATATCTCCTAGAACTAATGCCACTTCTTCCCCAGACACAATTGCCACATAATAGTCTGAGCAGGGCTCAGGGCAAATGCCAGAAAACTTTGCCTGTCGAAAATCCCAGTAAATGTCTACCCGATTGGCATCTACTTCCAAGCTTTTGAGACCTTTTCTTCCCCAAAATTGCCATGCTTTTAAATCAATCTTGCAGGTACAACGACTTTGATCATCTGAAGGGTTTTCTACATTGATAATAAAAGAATGGTTAGCAAGGATTTTGGACCATGTGGCTGTTACTTTGCGATATAAGTCTGCAATGTTGGCATGGTAGATGGAGGTGACCGAGCATTGTGCAGCATTATCTGCTGTCACCTGATTCTCCTTTTGTTTCTCCGCTGGTGCTGGTGGCCTTGAAATGTTAGGTAATGCAGCTCGTTCCAGATTATTTAACATCGTTAAGGCTTTGACAAGTATTGACAATTTGATCCCGCAGACGTTAGGTTGCTTGGTATTTCAAACTTGTCAAAAATGGTTAAGCCCTGGAAGCCGGCTTCTTGCAGCTGTTACCAAAATCTCATGATGCTACCTAGAACCGCTATCAACTCTCATTATGTAATACCCGAAAAAAAAAAAAAAAAAAAAAAAAAGGGACTATTTTAAGTATTTTTATAAGTGGGGGACTCTTTAATAAAGAATGAGAAGTGTAGATGACTTATTGATAAATAACCAAAATTTCTTTATTAATAGAGTTAACTTTTCAATTTTCAGTCGACGATTAGTGTAATAAAAACAGAAACTTATTTCTCATATGTTTCTTATACAGAATAGATCAATTGAAGGATTTAAAGTGAAGGGAAGAACAAATCTACGAGGAGAAATTATCTGTTAGAGGTGAGTAAATAATCTTTTTTTTTAATTTTTGGAGTATTGATGGTTAAGTCTTAAGGTGTAAATTATAATCGAGAAACCCTAAAATTTTAGGGTTTCCATTATCCCTCTTTGGGCAGATGATTTAGACTTTAATTAGAGTCAAGTTAAGTGTTGAGAAAGTTGGTAATGTGAATTTATTATTGAAACAGAAATTTGATGGGAATAGAAAGGAAAATCTTTGTTTCGTATAAATCCTGATATGAATCATATGTTTGTAGTGATGAATTAAGGTTATATTCTGTATTAAAGGGTTAAATACTACTATGATTACTATATATGGTTGGAAAGCATGTTGAATATACTTTCTAATGAAACAAACGGGAGTCGAATTCGAGTTCCCTATGAAGAGTTATCCAATTTTTACCTAAAGAGGTGCAGGCTGCCTAGTAGCAGCAGTAAGGGGGAATTACGAAATTTCCCTAAATTTTTATACAAGGATTTACAGTTTAAGCCATATATGTTTGGAAAGCTTATCGAGTCTACTTTTCAACGAAATAAGCGAAATTGAATTTGGAGTTACCTATGAATAAATACGTAATTTTTATGAAAAGGTATACAAGCTGTCTGGCAACAGCATATGACGTGGATTGCAAAAATTGTTATAATTAATCCACAAAGAATCACGAGATGAGCCATATATGGATAGAAAGCTTGTCAAGTCTAGTTTCTAATGCATTAATAAGATTTTAATTTCGAATTGGATATCTTGAGTTATGGTCGTTTTAGTGAAAGTAGCGCAGACTGCCAGAATTAATTACTCGAGTTATTACTTGTTTAACTTAATTGTTTTGGTATAAGTGGCCTCAAATGGGTTGATTAATTATTGTTATGTTGGAATTATCTTGAATAGGCCACTAAATTTTGAGGGAGAAAAATTAGGTGATGGAATCAGAAGAAGGTAAGTAGAATCTCACACACTTTGCTTGTTTTCGAATCTATGTATATATATATATGTTTCTAAATGAAAGAATGTTTTATTTTATTATTTTCAGTGTATGAAAATAGGATCAAGCATATGATTATTTTGTGTTTCTCTATATAAATGATAGATCATGCTTATGAATGAAATGAGAAAATGATTTATGTTTAAAGAATGATTTTATGATAGCTACGTTTTTATATCCCTAGGAAGTGGGATCATCGACATCAGAACTAGTTCTACGACCCTAGCTAACGGGTAATAGTAGTTAGCAAAGACATGATCATAAGACCCTGGCTAACGGGTAATAGTAGTTAGCGTAAGCTCTGGTTAACGGGTTATAATAGTTAGCAATGATCATGAGAATGAAATTGTCGATACGGCCAATGTCACGGGTTATAGCAGTGACCGTAGCTAACGATTTGAATGATAACGATTTGATTGATAATGATGATTTACGATGATTTTTAATGATTGATCCATGATTTGGTTTGATTACGATATTTGAATGATAACATATTTTACAATGATTTATGAATTTATGAAATATTTGATAGAACGATGATATTGAGATGTTTTGACATTTTGATTTGATGAATGTTTTGAATGATCTATATGACATGTATGAAAGGATGTTTGATCCGGTAAGGTGTGTGAGCCTTTACTTACTGAGCTGTGGTTTGCTCATTCCCTATTTTCTTTTCTTTTACAGATGTTATGAATGATAAGTATGATTAGCTTGAGAAAAGCTAGAAGAACCGAGCATTGGAGAACTATTTAGAAATATAGGATTTTATGAAGTATTGTTTATTTTAGTTGTAATACTCTACTTTGAACCTTTGGAGACTTGTTATCTAGCTATGTTACTTAATGAGAACATTTTATATTTGAGAGTTGTTCAATGGTTATGGATTAGACTTCGTATTGCTTTGGGGTTTTACTTCAAGGTAATATGACCGTGTTATGCCTTGATTCGGGGCGTGACACATTAAACCTTATGCGCTTGCTTTTATCTGGATGTTATCCGAATCTACCTCCTTTTCTACACGTAGTGGTGGAGATGTTTGGCCTCAGATCTTACATGAACGTAAAATGTAGATGTTACCTGAGCTTAATGATAATTCTAAGAATGCTGAAGGCCTGAAACTGACCAAACTCTTGAGGGTGATTGAATGTGAGAAATCTGTTTATAAAGGAATTTAACACCACCCAGTTATGCAATTTGCACATATTGATTATTGGCTTGAAAATTAGAAGATATATGAGTTTAGGAAATGGTTCCATGCTAGTGGTTTCGGAGTTAGCAACAGGGGAAGTTACTTTGTGAAATTTACATCTAAGCTGAGGTTGTCAATGCCTATCAATCTTAAACAGAATTTTCTTGTTTTCCTTTATTATTACTATTTATAGACCAAGGAACAAGTTAGTTAAAAGCCATTCAAATTAAAGACTAAATTTGGTGATACTTAAACAGTTGTGTACAAGATTGTTTGCAAAAAATGCATGGAAGAAACAGTTATATGGTATTTGGTTAGACAACTGAATGAATGGAAATACTTGCCTCTTCTTTTCCTCATATTCAAAAATATTTGTGACAAAAATTCTTTCCCTCCTTAGTTTCTAACAAGATCCTCCTAAGCAGGAAAAAAGATAGAGCAAAATAGATCATTTACAATAAATGTGACAGAAAACTAAATCAAACCACCAAGATAGGTTTGTAGATTAGAGATTTTTTTGGTACATGGCAAAGCTCATAAGGTTTGAGCTAATAAAAGATGGAAGCTCTCGTCCAATCCCGTCTCATAAAGTCGATTGTCTTTCAAAAATTCTGGCTGAGGTAGTCTGCATGAGGAACTTTTGATTCAGAATCTAAAAAAAATAGTTTATCTATATATCTTACATGTATATATCAGCCAGCGGTACAATTAGAACAGTCACAGTGAGAATTTTGAAGTGCCAAAGGTAAAGAATCTTTTTGTAGGTTGCAATTCTTAAGGCCAAAAAGGAAATTCCACATGATGAAGCCATTGTTAAGGCATTAAGCAAGATTCCAATAAGGTTCACCTGCCTGCAGTGCTTCCCTGTATGAGATCCTGCATTTACGAATAACAATCCAGGAATAAACCAACTGTTATTTCCAAAATCTAACAAAGTTCTTAGCTCCTGAATATTCTAAAATGTAAAAAGGTAAGATTACTTTGGTTCAAGATTTTACAATTCCTGAAGTTCTGTCAAACTTCTACAACAGCATGGCACCATGAACTGGTGAATGCGACCCAACAAATAATTGCTCATTTTGTGGTTCCGAAAGCACTCTTGGGGTCTGCATAATTTTGAATTTTGATCAATATCCATATTAAAAAGCAATTTTAGTGGTAGTATGTTACATCAGATATCAGGAACCTAGCTGGCAGTTAATGCATAGCTTTAGACTCTTGTTTTCCTAATGCTTCCTTTTTCAATATTAACAGCCTGCCTAAAAGAAACTGCTTTTCTTCATGTTCTGTGTGACCTTTCCTAGAGATGAGGCTGTAGAATGCATCAGATAATTCAATTTACTTTCATCACTCTTATGGTCGATTTGGACCCCAGAGTTGTTATCCGTTGATGTCATCTCTGGCACTGGGGCAAGAGATTTAGAGGCATGTGCTTTAGCTGGAAGCATTACTTTGGACATTGGTTGGTTCTCAATTACATCAAACTTGACCTTATTTCTAGTTGAGGCTCCTTTATCACTGGATAGATATCTCCTTACAGGAAGGGTAGGTGCCTTTGGCTTTCCCGGACGTGCCGGTCTCTCTTCAGGCACAGTAGGCAACTTTGGTGATATCTCCTTGCCTACGACTGCTGAAGAAAACTTGGACCTCCTCTGCCTAGCAGAAGAAACATTTCTGGCCTGTAAATCAAATATAAGCACAGGATATAACATTAATATCTAGCTGTTTTTAGCTGTTTAGAACCTCTATGGGAATCAGATTATTATGTTTTCAGTTACCTCAGAGCTTTTGGTATCATCATTACGCCGTTGCCATGTCTCAGGCTTCAAGTTGGGAGAGATTCGAAGCTAAGCACTTTTACCTTTTGTGATCCTGTTATGCTTCCTGTGTTCCCAACCCTCATTTGTTCTACTTCAGATTCTTTCTTCTCCAATGCCACATTAAGATTTGTTATCTAAGATAGATAAATATATATATATATATATATATATATATATATATAGACTTAACAAGGATTTGATGCATTTGAAAACAAGCCAAAAGGAATGTCATCTTTAAAATAAGTAGTTTATCTAAAAAAGAAAGGATACTTAACCTCTTCCTTTAATTCTAGGATGTCACCAATTTCTTTGTTAGATCGAGCTGCCCCAAGTTCTATTGAGGCAACTCTTTCAGCAAACTTCAATGTGCTAATTGTCTCTCCAATAGCATCAAGTTCAGGACTTACATGTACAAACATTAAAGTCTTAGAATGCCCGCCTATCATATACAAAACGAAAATGATCAAGAAATAAGAAAAGAAATGGCAGATTGTACGGAGAAGAAAGCTGTATACTACAAAAGAACAACATACCTAAAGAATTCTGCAATATTTGTGTAAGCTTGCTGTTTCTATAAGGAATATGTGTACTC